CCTGAGCAGCCAGGGCTTATCTGCAGGGGGAATTACTGAGGAAGGGTTATACCCTGACAGGCTCAGGGCCTTTCAGGGAAGGCAGCAGGTTCTGCCCGGGGAGATGGGGGATCGGACAAAACATTCGTTTCTGCTGAGCTCAGTTTTGCCACTCCTGTCCTGTCCTGAATGGAAGCACAACGGGTATACTGAAGGAATTCATGGTGGAGGCAGCCAGAAATTCACCTTTCCTCTTCCAAAAGCATGTGCACCTTGGACTCTTTGCAGCTGTGCAGTGCAGCCTGTCTGCCACCCACATTACATAAAAGGTGCAGTGCCTTTTCTGGTGTGCAGACTCCCCTCAACAAAGCATGCAAGCAACAGTGATATAGATATGTGCAATTGAAATGTCACAATTTATTCCTAAAGTAACAATTACAGCTTAGGCAAACTGCACTAGTGCTGTAATAACACTAAGGTGCCCTGCTGTTATGGTTTTTTTCAGGGCTTGACTACATGATTTTCAAATAAGAATCTAATAAATCCTGTAAGTTACTGAGGAATTACATAATGGTTTATGTTATGTTTATTTTCTCATGCTCTATGCTGCAGGAAAATAATGTAATACTGTTTGACCGCAAAAAAAATATTATAAGGGCAAAACCAATTATTTATATGATTATGCCATTGTTATCAGTATATATAGTATACTGTGCTGTAAGTAAAGGCTATCTGTAAATAAATAGAGTCTACTGAAGGCAATGCAAGGACTTTTATTAACTTCAGTAAATTTAAAATCAGGATCATCTGGCGTAGTGAGAAAGTTTTCCAGAACACATTAAGCACTTAGGACCACAGGTTTCAACCAGAGTACATGCTTCATACTTTCCTATATCCCACTCATATATTCCCTACAAATTTTTTACTTGTAACACAGAATTTTTTAAAGGAGAAAAAAAAAAAAAAGGAACTATTGTTACCCATCATTTTTGGTGGCTCATATTTGCTCTACAGGAGACCAACATGCTGCATCTAGCTGTAATCTTTAAGATGCCATGCACAACAGTGGCAGTGAAGGACACAGCACTCCATGCAGCAAAATTGTTTTCCAACAGAAGACACCCATAAACCCATGTTAAAGCAAGGAAAGGCAACCTAGCACCGGGTTATAAATCCATACTGGCCAAGGAAAGCACATTACCACAGGGGCTCCAGTATGCCAAAACTGACATCCTGACACAGCAGACCGAACTCACTTTCATGCCAACGTCACCTCCAGAAAGCGAATCACAAAGTACCTTCAGAATCAAACGCCGTCGGTAAACTCTCGTAGTAATTCTCTGCTCTTCACCTGAGCTTGAATCACTCTCAATCTCACTGTCACTGTCACTACATTCCTAATAAATGCAGTTTTAGTACATTTGAACAGCACGTTTGCAAGACAGAACATGCTGATCAGGACTAGGAGAAGAAAACAGAGGTTAGCACGGACAGTGTTTTCCCTGTCTCTGTTATGTACATAATGACTCGCAGGTTCACTGCTGAAGTACACCATGGGAGGAGGCCTTTTGCTCCTTGGCATGCTGTAACCTGATAATTACACCAGCTATGGAATATCGCAGCAGCTCTCAAGTCTAAGAAAATGCTATTTGGAATGCATCTGAACTTTCAAAGCCTTACGCAATTCTTTTAAATTTTATGTAAAAAACCCTAAACCTTGTCACAGCTCATTGATTTTTTTTAATTCTAAAAATTATTCTTTCAAACAAGTTTATGGATTCACAAGGTATGGGAAGAGAATTTCCTAATTAAAAAAACCAAGACGGTCACATAGAAAGATTCAGTGGAGCAGCTCCATACAGAATGTTACAAAAAGGCCTTCTGAAGAACTTCTCCATGTAAATGGCTTTCCTGCTCCGTATTTGTCTGCTTTTAGAAGTGGCAAAACTGCAGTGTGAAGCACAATCACTCCGCATTTTTTCCAAGAAAGGAGCTGTTAGAGCTCAGCTTGGTGGGCACAGCCTGGAGCTGGTCTCAGCCTGACAGGAATCAGAATATTCTGTCCTGGCACCCTCTGCCAGCCCTGGTGCCTTTGCCTCCAAAACCCAAGGAGCTCAGCTTTGGGGCTGAGCAGCTCTGTGTGCACATGATGGACAAAAGGCTTCCCACCTCTGTGTGTGACAGACCCTCTTCCCATGACATTCAGCTGAACCAACCCTTTTCTGAACAGAGAAATTTGAACATTTTCTCTACGTTTTACTCAATGACGACCCCAAACTGATTTCAAAATTGTGGACAGTGGATATTGTGACCTGCATATCTATTTCTCTTTCTCAATCTGGCCCAATACAGTCTAAATAAGAAGCAATTCTCAGAAATTATGTGCAAAATAAGAGTGGGCATAGGTGGGTGGAGGAGAAAAAGAACTATATAACAAAAAGCATTTAGGGCAGGATGACAGAATTCATCTGCAGTCCTCTGGCACTAGTCAAATATAGATACAAAAAATTATAAGCCAATCCTCTCCTGGAGAAGTAACAAGAAAGCAGCAGATTTCCAGAGGGCATGAAAGCTTTAGATGAGGAGTTATTTTTAATAAACAGCTTTAAGTGGTTTATTTGTGATGGAATTCTGACATTAAGAGTCACCTTGACCATGTGCTGGACATCATCCTCTTTGGAACAACAAAGCAATTGTGCTGTGCTCTTCTTTTAAAAAGATCACTGGAATCTGATGCTTGAGCATTTGTAGAGAATTTTATGACCTACACTGTTACTGCAATGCTTTTGTAAATGTTTATGTGGATTTGGAATGAGGCCAAGGACTTGTTTCATCCACATCACCAGGCGTCAGACCAGTACCAGTCTGAGTTTCATCTCTTGGTGCAAACTCTGTGCCAAAACACTGCTGCAGCCCTTCTCCTGCAGATGGGTGACTATTGCTTCCTGGCTCTTTCCAAATGGGTCACAGATAAAAATATCTTACTTTGGCAAGTAGTTTTAGTTTGTTCCCACTTTCCCTCCACAGAAGTAAATCTGTTTCTTCCATACTTTTCTCTTTATGGAGCACTTCTGAAGAATGCCTTGCAGAAAGACTGCAGTTGAAATTTTCTTTCTGTTTTCATGATAGCACGTGAAGTGCTTTACCATGAACTGGACTGTATTATTAATTAAACTTATCAAATTCAAATTAGATTAGAATGCATTATTGAAGAAATATCAACAAGATAATAGAAGCAGTTCATGTCATTCTAACAGATGCTAGTTTCTTACCCATTCAGACTTTGTGAGAGACCCACATTTTGAAATTACATTATTTTCTGATATTTATTCAAAGATTATGCCTATAAAAAGACTTATTATTTAGTAAATAAGATTATCAGACTTTACCATTAAAAGCAGTGCAGAAAGCAAACCTAAGAAAAGCACTTGCTTATTCTTCTCAATCCAGATGGGTTATCCAACAGTAAAGAACACAGAAAAGTGGGTGACAGCTTCTCTTCCCACTGCTGGGAATGCAGAGGGGGAAGTGCAGCATGTCAGCACATTACAGCATGCATCTCCACTCCTGCATTTAATCAGAGCATGGCACCACCAGACTGAGGTCTGCCCCAAAGCCTACAAACACTGAGGAATGCTGCCATCTGCCTTTAACTGCCTTTGAAGGAGGCAAAGGCTTTTACATTTTTTAAGTATTCCAGTAATTAGCAAACATTAGGAAAGATCTTAATGTGTCACGAACTAATAACAAGATAATAACAATCATATGCTGCATAACTGCTGAAACTGATTACATTACCATCTAATAAAAGAATTCTGGGTTGTGTAATTGAAAGAATAGCTTTAAATGAACTAATTTAAACCTGAATGATTTACTGCAGCCCACCACAGCCAACATTTTTATTGTGCTACAAAAAAAAAAAAAAATCTATATCATGTAGAAATAATTCTACTGAAATATCTTGCTTTCAAAAGATAAAATCTCCTCCTGCATTATACCCAAGAAAAGGCAATCTCATCAGAGAGAGGAATCTAGAAGAAACTCTGCAATTCCCCTTTTCAGCCTGGTTCCCTGCTGGCCCTGAAGTTTATTCTGTGGTGATCCTCCCACTGCTGGGGTGTGAGGTGCACACAGCTACTGGACAAGCCATTCTTTGAGTCAACTTTCCTTCTAAGCTTCTAGTAAATAAACAGAAGAAACTGAGAAAGCTATCAAAATGTTTATTTTCAGAAAGCAACTTATAACTGGGGTTCTGCAGTTAAGGGTGTATGAGTCAGGCAAGGTAGAAAGGAGGGGGAGCCCCTTGGCAGCATTTTAAGGAGAAAGAACCACCACCTGGAAAATGTTTTACACATTTAGAAATATTTTGATTTGTCTTGGCTGGATGGACTCTGAAATTGGGATGAGCAAGGCAATGAAAAAAATATATAAGGAGGAGATTAAATATCACCCAAAATAATTTTTCCCACAATTTAACAGAGTGAAAAAAAATGCAGGTAGTTTTGGGGAAAAAGATCAAGACAGAGCCTGAAGGGTCCCTACATTTCTTTGCTCCTATCATTTGCTTCAATGTCACAGAAGAGTGGGAAGCCAGTGGCAACACCTTAGTGTAAACAGACGGAGGATAGCTGAGCTGTTTGGCACTGTTGGCATAGGTGGTATGGCAGGGCAGGGAAGGGGCTGCTCCCCAGCGATGCAGCACAGTGCTCCCAGAAGCTGCTCCAACCTCTTCCAGGGCTCAGGGCCAGGCAGGGAGGAGATTATGCAGCCCTTCTTGGCTCCCCTGCCTATCCTGACTCCACCCTATTCTATTCACAACACAAATAAAAATTTCCAGTATTTTTCTCAATTCCATTTTTCTCAGTTCAATAATAAACTGAAAAGGCATAAAGAAGGATAAGAAAAAAAAATCTCTAACCCTGTCACGAACAACATTACAAGTCACACAAAAAAATTTGTCAACCAATATGTCAAGCAACAGAGAATCCTCACACTGTTAATTATTACAGGACATACTGTACCTTCTGTTCAGACATTATTGCTCCCTCCTCCTCTTGGATGCTTGTTCTTGGCTTGCCATCCTCAGAAGTACTCCAGCCCATCTTCTTCACACTGACAGGCACAGATGTTTTGCTGCCTTCTGTTGTTGGCTTGCTGGTCTCTTCCAAAGATTTCTGATATGCTGTTGATGATAATGTTTGCTCATCAGTAGCAGTTGAGATCTGGGACTTTGTTTTCAGGGCTTCTTTGTCACTGTGTTTTCCCACATCATTTAAAGCTTCCTGGATGTAGGATTTAGTTTTTGCCTCTGATGTGGACTCAGATAGGCTTCCATTTGTTTCTGGCTTCCCTTCTCCTTTGACATATGAGGTAACAGAATCCCGGCATTGGTCCGAACTATGAGTGAAAGAGAAAGGAATAGACAGCTGTTCAGGGCTTAAATCACAGGCAGAAGGGCAAAGCACCAAGCCTCTTACTGAACCTTCAATCTGAGCCCATACATTTCACACAGAGAAAAGTAAAACTTTAGATTCCACTTGCAGACATCAATCTAACAACTTCGTCTTCTGCATCGTGGCATCATTTCAGAAACAATGAAAATACAGTGGACTTAGGAAACAAGGCCAAATGTTTTATGTTAATCTCCTTCCACTTGGTGGATGGGAGTAAAAACAGAAAAAGAAAATACACAAAACCTACCAGTTCTCTTGTATAATCATGAGCTAAAGCCACAAGGCACTAATTTTTAAACCTCTCTCTAATCAAAGAGGTGATGAAAGTATCTGGTACCATGCAATTACCAGTTATTTTTTCCCCCCAAAATACAATATCTGTACTCCAGATAGGTCTTGCCTTTTAAAAAATCTGCAAATAAGTCCTTAGATGCTGCAGAGTCTCAATAATATGCAGAGCCAAAGGCAAGGAAGGTTATGAAAAGATAGAAAGCTGACCAGAATTTTGTGTCAGATTACCTATGGAAAGGTTTCTCCTGCACTTCCAATAAACAGTTTTCTTTTCCTTTGTATTTTTGCTCACTTTCTGTTTAAAACTATGACTGTGCAATGCTGACATATGAAAATATACCAGCTGTTTGTTGGCAAAACTCTTACAAAAGATAGCAAAGTGAATTCATCTAGCTAGAAAATTGGTATCTTCTTATGGAAGCCTTTTTACTTCCAGAAGTGATCTATTTTACTAATTTAACACAATATAAAATGCAGAGTAACAACACTTGTTTAACAACAGGAATCACATCAGTAGTACTTAAAGTGCTTTACAGCATTTGCTGAAATCAATCACCAAATTCTCACTGGATTTGATAAGAGAGTATCTAATGCTACCTTGAACCTTAAAACATCCTGAGTCAAAGATGCAGAGGATGTAAACTGCTGACAGACAAATGATCACTGAGCAGATAATCGTTCTGTGCTGATTTACAGCTCCTGCAGACCTGGCTCCTTCAATTAGTGATCACAGGAGCCCCTTGCCCAGCGGGCCCCAGTAGGGCTGAACAGCACAACACATACTGTCAATGTTGAAAGCTTAAGGAGGTCCAAGGGCTGGCTGGAAAAGCTTGTACAAGAGAGAAGCACTGAGGATAAATATATAGAAAGCATCCCTCTCAACAGGTATTACCTGCTTGTCAATGACCACTTGTCAAAGACAAGTGGAGCTTGGGAGAGTGCAGCACATAGACCCCTCTTCTTCCTCTGCAGCCACTGCTGGGAGGCAACACACAGGACTAGGTGGGTTTGGTATCACCATACCTACCTTCTTATGCCTCGTAACTCGGCTTTTAAAAAGTCTAGTAAATTAACATGGCATAATGTGCTTGAAGTAAGTGTTATAAAAAGTGACAATTCCAAAATTGGCTCATGGGAAAAGTAAAAATTATCCGAGGGAAGGCAATGAGATGCAAATGGAGAGGATGACTGCTATAAAGGTGCTCAAAAATAAGAGTAATGTAGTATCATGGTTTCAGATAATGTTCTTGATTCCAGCTGCATCTATGCACCACTGAGATGAATTAGATGAATTAGAAGTAGAAATACACAAGATAAAGAACGTGAAAAGAAACATTACCTGCTAAAGATAATATGAAATACTTCTCAAATGCCTATATCGAGAATGAAACCTGATAAATACAATTTTAAAAGACAAATATATCTGAGGCCAAATCAAGATTTTCTGTTAAATGTATATATAAGCAAACAGACGTGTTCTCACAGAGCAGAGAACAGAGAGCTGCTAGTGGCCGGGGCAGCATGGGCAGGCTGCTGACACGCATGCTGCAGTGCAGGGGTGCTCACCTCTCGTCCAAGCGATCCAGCAGGCTGCCGCCTATCCTGCGCCCCGACGTCGGCACCTCGGAGACGCTGGAGGAGTCAGGCTGCCAACCTGTAATTGAAGACATTTCGCGTTCTGCTTGTTGAACACCTTTAAGAATTGACCACACTCTTTCTTCCGTCATCTCCTCAGACTCAGCTCCTTCTTCCAGATGAATGTCCTCAAACAGAGACTTAAACTTTTCTGCCGTCATCTCCTCATCAGTACCAGACTTTTCTCTCTCAGGCTGTTCAGTCCTCACTCCTCTTTTACTAGTCTCTTCACTCTGCCTTTGTTTAGCATCTTTGGATATCCCACCATAACTACCGAGATACCGCGGAAAATCTTTAAGGTCCACTTCCTCCAACTGGCTCTCGCCTACGGAAATATCTTTAGGTGTTCCTTCTCTAGGCACTGAGAAATCAACTTTGCTGTCATCCAGTGAAGTGTCCTCTTCAGTCACCACTGGCGGTGCTGCTGCTGTACCATCTACGTGTCCCTGGGAGGTCACTAACACGTCACTCAGTCTACTGGGAGTTCTAAGGGGTGACTCTAGGCTAGAGGAGTCGCTAAGGAAATCGTCCTGGTGCAAAGGGGTGGGCGGCACGAAGCGCAACCCAGTGGGAGTTTCCAGTTCCACTTGAATGGAGGGATAACCTAAGGAAGACAGCACATTTGGACTGACTGGAATGAAACGTGGAGCAACAAATAAGCAAATGCCAAATGATTCATGGGTTACATAAAGTATGAAACATACAAGGAGGTGCAGGTGTATAAGAACCAATGCAGTTCTGATAGATTTTGTTACTTTGTCCTAAAGAAATGGAACAAAGAATGAGTACTGCCAGTGAATATTACAGTGAAGCCAGTACTCCTGACTATTTTTTTAGTAGTCTGTAAAGTTTTCAGCAATTGCTTGTGCAGCCATTTAAAACATTTTCAAGCTATAGCGGATTGTCTTATGGGCATGCAATAAATCAAATGTAGACAAGGGTGGTTGTCCCTTTATACACAAGACAATCTCTTGCAGTCATATTGTGTAAATCTTTATTGCCAAGTTTGTTTTTATTTTTTTAATTTGGAACTTTAATGAATAGATTTTAAAGACAGCAGTAGGTCATAACACAGGACAACCACTTTTTTGTCAGTAGGTGTTCTTTCTCAAACAGGTCCACATTTTTAATATGCTTTTATATAAAAATACACAAAACCAGAAATACAGTGTTACTAGCATATACCTCCAATTTAACCGCAGAGTACAAGAATGGATTAGTTAAAAAATGAAGAATAGAAATGGATCCTAATGAGGATACTAAAAGGTAGTAGATCTAAGTACACAGCAGGATAAAAAAAACTAAAGTAAGGAAGTTAACGAAGGGATAAAAGAACAAACAAGGGAGAGCTATATGAATATTTCAGGTACAGTGAAGTTATTCGGGTGAGAAGACTGTGGTGAGTAAGGAGGTCTTGGTGATCTTGAAGATTGAGGTGATCTTGGTGACATTGGTACAATCAGATACACTGATCAAATAAAGAGAAAAGAAAAATTGATGAAAACATAAAAAAAAGCATACATAAGGATTAAACTGAATATACACATAAAAAAATGGCAACAAAACCTTAAGTTCGCATTCTGGCAAATGAGGTTGGGCAACCTAGGAAAGGAAAAAACACATGCTGTGGGGTTAACTGGACATTGTGCTGCCTGCAAGGGGAGGTGCATCAACAGGGCTTGGGGCTTTGTTTCTTGAACCAGCCGAGAGAAAGGCAAAGGAGGTCTGGTCTTGGTGAGGAAAGGAAGCTTGAGGAAGGTTCAGAGAAGAGGAGAGACACAAAGCAACTGCAGAGAAGCGCTTTTTTCATAAAAACATTGATGCTACTATTAAAAGGCTCAAGCAACATTTCAAGAGCAACTTTCTTAAAATGTCAACAGAAAACTATTTCTGTAGTGCAATGATTCAATGACCAGCAATGCTGCTCAATAATGGAAGTACAATGAGCTCATATGCTCTCAAGAAAAAAAAACCAACTTATTAAAATACAGAGAAAGCCAAAACATAATTAAACAAATTACAAAAACCAAAACAAATGCTACTTACAAAAAAAAATCATATTTAAGGAGCTATTTATAACACAAGCAAATGAAATCAAAGTAATAATCCAGTGCCTGTTATCTAACATTTGAACCGAGAAAAAGTCAACATTTAGCATCTTCAATATACTGATAAATAATAAGCTCTTTCGTGGAAATTTTGTTTTACAAGGAGAATTTCATTTTTGCTTTTAATCTGACACAAATTAAACCTGGACAGTTCTGCTTTCAGTTGATACAGATTCCATGAGGAAATTATTACACAACCTTGCCCATTAGCAGACTGAAAAAGATATTCACTCATGCACTAAAAAACCATTTTCTTATTTTTCTACTGCCATTGGAGAAATGGTCCAAGTGAAAATAAAAAAGCAATTGATGTTCACAGGTCTCAAAGAGGCTTGGTAGTAAATTGCACATTAATTTATTCCATGCAAATACTATGCACTTTTCCCCCCTTGTTCTTCCTTTCCTTTTTCCTGTAAGAGTTTTTACTACTACAAATCTAGACAAGAAGCCAAAGAATACACATATTTCCAGGTAAATTGTCAAGCATTAAATGCCAAGTGCATAAAAAATAGACACGGACAAGCCTCAAAGGACAACTGTTGCAGGAGAAAAGCTTGGTCTTGTCAAGTGACAGAGGCTGGTGGGAACCAGTGTTTACTCAGGCACACATTTGTGTGACTCTGCACTTATTATTTGAGATATTAATGTGCAAGCTGCATATCCCCATAAATGACTTGGATGGAGGACTTGAAGGCGTACTAAGGAAGTTTGCTGATGATAAGAAACTGGGAGCAGCTGTGGACACCTCCAAGGCAGGGAGGGCTGGGCAATCACCAGCCATACAGGTGTAACAAAGACAAGTGCTGGGTTCTGCATCTGGCATGGGGCAGCCCTGGCTGTGTGTACAGGCTGGAGAAGGAGAGGCTGGAGAGCAGCCCCGTGGAAAGGGACCCCGGGGGCCCCGGTCGATGGCAAGTTGAACATGAGTCAGCAGGAAGCTACGTCAGGGGAGGTTTAGGCTGGATATTGGGAAGAGGTTTTTTACCCAGAGCGTGTTCAGGCACTGAAACAGAGAAGTGGTCACAGCACCCAGCCTGCCACAGTTCAAGATGTGTTTGGACAACACTCTCAGGCACATTCTTGGGGCTGTCCTGTGCAGGGCCAGGAGCTGGGCTCGATCATCTTCATAGGTCCCTTCCAGCTGAGGATATTCTATGATTCTATTACATCATGCTTCAGGAGAAGAAAACCCCTTTACACATTTTAAATTATTGCTCCTGTAGAACTTAACAATCTTTCTTTAAAGTGTAGTTTATACAACATTATCGTATTATTTGACACGTCACTGAATTAAATATGACTACAGAATTCAATTACCATCAATGGGATCATGAAATACGTTATTTTCATCTGCAAAACTTCTGGTGCCTGAAATATTTCCATAATCAAATATTGGTCCTTCCAACAGGGTCACAATATCTATTCGATTAATTTTTGTCAGTACAGAAGTTAAGGCATCAGCTGAAAAAAAAAAATAAAACACATCAGTAAAAGGTCCAGCATTGCAGAACGGTGTGATCATTTTTCTCAATTACATTCACATTTCATTACTTACAAATTGCTGGCATGTCCCAATGCCTTTGGTTCTAGCAAACCCCAGCATTTGTTGATCAGCTGCCTACTTATTCAAGATACACATCTATTTAGAGTCCACACTTTCTCAAAGTATAATTATATTACAACACAAAAGGCACAAAGAATAAGGTCAGATAGTTCTTAAAGAAAATATTTACTTACTACTGATACAAAATATCCTTTTACTGGAGTGTAAAAATCCTTTTACCATTCTGTTTTGAGGCAGAATAGGCAGTCATGTAGGCAATAACGCATATAAGGCTATTCATGCAGTACATAATGAAATCTCATTTACAATAATCCTGTTGTGAGAACACAGTAATACTGGAAATCACTTAGACAGTGAAAGAGATCAAAGGAGACTCAAATGGTGTGTGGGAGTTTGTGGATCAGAGAAGGGTAACGAACATCATTTACACCACAAAAAAAATAACCCCTCTCTTTCAGTTTGAGCAGTTCAAGTGAAATGTACAGAAAACCCAGAATCACCAGCACAGAATCAGCGCCCCCATCACTCCTCACAAGAAGTTTAGTCTTTTCCTATGAGCTGCAATACTGTGAGACTACCTAAATTTTCCAGGCAGTCATTTCCATGTTCCACATTCCTTGCTATTGGAAAGTTTTGCCTATTATTTTCTTTACTGGAGCTCAAGTTCATTACCTGTCACATCAATTGTGGATGTGGAAAACAGATAACTTCTTTCTGCATATATAGTGAATAAAAATGACATATTTCTGACTCTTGGTAAAAATGTAACTGAAACTTCTTTTTTCATTGATAGTTTGTGAAGGACATTCATAATGTTTTCTTCAACTTGGCAACAGATGAAATGAGCTATAACTTATAAACAACAAAAGTAACTACTTGAACTTACTTGTAGCATTTTTGCCGTCTCTGGTAACCCATTTTTTTAATAACATGAAGCTTTGAGCAATAAGAGAATTTGGGTTTTCTACTCGGATTTGATTTATTTCATCCACAGAAAAATTCAGTTCTCTTGCCAGTTCTATAAAGACAAAAAAAGCAAGCGAGAAAAGAAAACAAACCCCAAAACACCAAAGAAAGCACAAATCTCTCAATTGTCTTGTCAAGCTTAAAAATACTAACTTTCATCAGTCACAGAGACATCAACAAAACTGCCTGACACAAACTTTACAGATAACAATGAACATGGCATTATATCCCCATGCTTTAATTTCCTAAGACATCATTTTGAATTTCAATCATCTCTGGGAGCGATTATCACACTTCTACTCAGTAAGCCACTTAAACGTGATGAAAAAGCCCTCCCTGGAGGTTGCCTCATCACTGCTAATTTATAAACTCTGTTAATTTCCTCTGATTGTTATTCCTCTGTGCTGGGAGCACCCTGTGCAGCTCAGCACTGGTGCTGTCATCACCTGAGCCCTGGCAGAGCTGGCTGCTGCAACTGTGAGCCCAGGAAGGGCAGCTCTGCCCACCAACATAGGGGGCTACAGGTGGGCAGAGCCTCCAGCAGTGACTTGCCTGGCTGCTGGCTCCCTGCAGCCAGGGCTTGGGGAAAACTGCTATCCAGAGACAGCAGATAGCTCAGAGGCAGCCCTGAGCCCAGGCTGGTAGAGCCTCTCAGCTCCTTGGGAAAACATCCTGCCAGGAAAACCATTTAGCTATTTTCTCCAAGTTTCTCTTTGATTTATTAAAAGATCAAGGAATAATTTCCTATTAGGCATCTTTGCCCAGCAATACATTGCACGTTTTGTGTAGCAGGTCTGGCTGTGAATTTGGGAGAGCCTGATGCAGTCTTGCTGCATCTTTTGGTAAAAGAATACCTAAAAATACAATAGCAAAGACTGATTTCAATATTAAAGCAGAAAAGCTTACCTGTCCAGCTAAGTCCTAGGTGATCAGCTACAATTGCCATCCTTATATCTGTCCGTTCACATGGACTCTGTGGACCTGTGATTTACAATTTCTCAATTAAAAAGGTTTTGCACAGAAAACCACAATACCGGATAATAGTTTATTATAAATAATAGCTTTAATTGACTAAGTTGACAGTGGTTATATTGTTTACTCGAATGGTTGTGTGACCTACTAACCTACAAAACAAAATTTTTTCACAGCTTTTAGATTTTCACCTGTGTAAAGCCAAAATGTAAAACTACATGATGTCGTGTAATGAAACCGAACATGCTGACAATCTAGCTGTTAGACTGTAGACAAGTTGTTCAATTATTGGTGAAAACCACCAAGGCCAGATTATTGTCTATTTTCTCTATTTTGACAGAACAAATATACTGTCACAAAATACATCTTTCAATTTCTGAGTTACACCAATTTCTGAGCACATGAATGTCTTTGGCATGCTTCACTAGCTTTCTACAGTACAGAATTTGTTCGAAGGAAGAAAAAAGAGAATAAGACAGCACATACAGATGACAATGACAGAATGAAAACTACAGTTAAGTCACTCCACAGGCAATCACAACAGTTCATGCACTAGGATCAACAAGTTGAAAGTTTTACAAACTAGGCTTGATCTCCACGAGGTGAGCCATGAGAGCTCCAGAAACCTGACTGCCTTCATTCTCACCAGTCCTCTTACTCCTCCTCCTCTCACTGTCGGCCTTTTCAATCTTTGATTTTATAGATGCTGCCTCTGTTCTCATGTCTCTAGCAGACTTCGGTGTAATGGAAGGCAGGTAAACTTGAGTAGCTTCTGATAAGGATGTGTTCCTTGATGTACTGTCTTCTTCATCATCAGAGACCTCTGACTGCATCTTTTTCTCTTCATCAGAAAGACGATCCACAAGCTTTAATGTCTCACCACTAATTCCCTTAAAATATTCAATAGAATGTTTACATACCTCCCTAAGCTGATTTTTCTTTACTTTAACTGTTGTCATGGTGACGGAGGTAGATCTTACCTTTACTGGTAATTTAGAAGGAAGTTGTTTTGGTTTTTCTTTGTCTACCTGCTCTTGTTTTGGCAGGGCTGGAGTTCTTCTAGCTAGATTACTCCTATGTGTGCTTTTTACAGGAATCCTAGACCTTGCTTCTAGACAGGGAGAAGAATTATTTTGTTTTGCTTTGTTAGGCTTACTAGCCTCTTTTGCTTTACTCCCTGTATTGCTTTGGAGATTATTTTGGGAAAAGACTTGTTTTACTGAGCTGGCCTTTATAGGAAGCTTTGATTTTCCTCTAGCTCCTACCAACTCTGTTGACTTCTGCTGCTCTCCATAGGGTTTTTGCTTATCTCTTACTCTGTGTCCTTGTGTTGTCCCTGTACCTTTTCCTGAAGTGCTTTTCACTTGATTAGCTTTCTGGAGGGAACATTTCGGTTCCAAATGTTCTTTTATCACTACATTACAGGTAATATCATCTGTAGGGACAGCAGATGAATCCAAATTGTTGTTGTTATTAAAATTATCTTTTGGAAAATCAGTGTTTTCTGTTTGCCTACAGCTTGTCTGGCTAGAAGCTGAACTCGCAATCACTGCTACAGTTTCATTTTCTAATCCCTCACCACTTGGCATCACAGCTTCTATCTTATCTGTCACTTCGCCAGGGCCATCTTTCTTCAGAGTCATGGTGGAAGCAGAAATTCCCATTTTAATTGGTGTGCGCAATTTGGGATCAACTTTGGAAGCGTTTACTGCTGCCGATGATTTCTCCAGTGAGTTACTACCAAGTGTTTGTTCCATGCAATCTCCACTGGCCTGGATGCCGGGCTTATTTTCAACTGCTGTTGTTTCTACTGGTCTCTCTAGGTTTGTTTCTACAGTGCTGTCCCCTGCCTGTGGCTGTGTGATGGCAGTGACTGTACTTTTATCCCCTTCCCCCTTGTCCCCTGACTTCCCTTCAGAAGTATGCTCACCAATCTGAAAAAATTGGAGTCTTTCTTCAACAAAATCCCTCTTGCTCATGTCAATTGCACCACTGCGAGTCATCTCAAACATCTTCCCCTCATGAAATGGGAAGGGGTTGGGCTCGCTAGTTGGCGTACTCTCATCTGTTGGAGTTCTGGCTGGTGTTGTGTCAGGTGTTGTTGCTTGAGATCTGTCTTCCACTGCCAGACCAAATGGCTTAGCCTCATCATCCCTTGATTTAGTCTCAAACACTTCATCGTCACCTCGGTTATTCGACCACGGGTCAAAATCTAGACTCTTGGTGGCCACAGTTTTGAAAGGTGTTGCGAATTCTTCGTCTACTTTGTAACTGAAATACGAGTCAGGAAATACAGTCCTGTCAGGGTGTCTGCCTTCCAAAGAGAAAAACTGTGCCCCTGACTTCTTATCGCTCTTATCTCCAGCTTTGTCAGAAGATGGACCTTTTGAAGGTGTCTTGTCTTCTTCAGGGCCTACCTTGCCTTCCTCCTCAATGACTTCAAGCTTACTCTGGCTAAAGCAGCGATCAGTCTGCTTTAGAATGCCTTCTGTAGTCCATACGTCCTTTTTGGTTTCAACTGCCGGACCTGCAAGTTTAGAATCACTCTCAGTTAAACCATCATCTTCATCTTGCAAATCATAACCGTCAAGAGAGTCAATCTCTGTCGCATCGGTATCATGGGAGAATTCTGCAGTGGTTGCTATGGAACACTCTGTGACAGACTGGTCATTGTTACTCCCATTTTGCACTACATCATTCTGGGGTGAATCAAGCCCAGTGTCAAACTCATTGGGTTTCCCAGAAGTGGGATGTCCTAACTCTTTCTGTTTCTCAATCTTTTCAGGGGCTTTGGGTTTTGAGGTTTCTTTCTGGTCATCTTCCAGCTCTTTCAGTTTGAACGTATACTTTTTAAGCGGAACAGGTTGATAGAGGGATTCATCGTCACTGGAGTCACTGACATCTGCTCCCGGTGGTACAGGAGAAGGTGGCTGTACTCTGATGACAGGTTCAGCCAGTTGGCACTTGTCATGTTCATCTTGCAAATTCACTTCAGTCATCTCCATTTCACTCTCAGTGGAATAATGAGGCTTCTTTTCTGATTCGCCTTGATCTGCATCCAGTGGTGGAGGAGGAGGGAATTCAATATAGGCAACTCTGTTACCTTTGGGTCTTTTGTTAGAGTCCTTATTTATAAGATTAGGTAATGTTTTGTCAATCTGTGGTTCCTCAACCTCTGCCTGTTTCACAGATGTTGACTTAGCCTCTGCTTCCTCCTCTGACTCCTCAGACACCTCAGGAATAGGGCTGGGCTTGCCTGGGATATAAGCTATTAGTGAGTCAGGTGTTTTAGATGTAAACTCATAACTCACTTCCTCTGAACTCGGTGTTTCTGGTGTTAAAGGGCTTTTACCAGAGCTGTCTATAAAGGACACTTGTTCTAGTGTGTCATCTTCTGGACTACCTTGTGGAGAAGGAGGTTGTTTTTGCTGCCTAGCTGTGTAAAATGTCCCCCTCGTCTCTTGTACTGTCTTACTTTCCTGACTGACAATTTTTTTAATACTTCCTTGTTGCACCTCTTTCTCATACTGCTTTCCTACTTGAACAAAACTGACATAAACAGGTAAGGTTTTAATTTCTTTTACTCCCTCAGTGCTTACTAGTGGTGCAACTTTATTCAAGTAATTGCTAGCACCGGGGTCAACTATGTCACTTGAAGGAAATTCCTTTCCTGGGCTACATTCTAAAGAATCTGGTGATTTGCTAGGGGATAGCTCTGTTTCCTCAGCAGGAGGACTTAGACCTATTGAGCTCTGCTGCTTGGTGACTTTTCTGACTTCTGAATGCTTTATTTTTTCATCTTCCACATAATCAATCTGTCTTTCAACTTTCTCCTGAATCACAGCTGACTGGGATACTTTAGCTGAAAGTTCATAGACACCATCAAGCATGGCTCTCTTCTCCTCAACAATTCGGACTGGAATATGGGACACAGCAATTTCTTCTTTCCTTTTGGATATTTTATCGGCCACTTCACCATTACGTTCCCCATCCCTGACAACAAATTCTCTGTATAAAACCCTTTTTGAGGGGGATTTTACAGTCACTTCCTTCACTTCTTCTGAATGGATTCCATTTGAGGCCACTTTGTGCTCTGTCACAGTGATAAATTCACTTTTTTGGTCAGTTTTAGATTCAGCATGATCAATATGATTTTCTTTTACTGTATCTGGAACCAGCACATGTGAAAGCTTTTCCTTCTGTGCTTTATGGTTAGAAGTTCCAGGACTTTCCCATGTCCTATAGATTTTTTTGTCCCAGTGTCCCTTCATTGTTGAGTCTGAGCCATATGCCAGGTCTTTTGCCCGTGGTTCTGAAAAGCATTCTGGCACGCTTTTCCTCATCTCAGTTCTTTGTGTGTCTGAAGCACGAGAGTCTTCCACAGCTTTCCCTTTACCTGGAACAAGGTCTTCCTGTATTTTCACCTCTTTCTGCAAAGCTGTGCTCCCATCAATGACCTCTATTTGCTTTGCGTGCTTCTCTCTTGGATAGGACTGATACACTGGTAACTTACTTTCTTGCGATTTTTTAACTGGAATTTTGGACTGACCATCCAGCTTTTTTTCTTCTTGAGTTACATCCTTACTTCTGGGAGTTATACCTTGTTCAAATTTAAGCCTAATGGAACTGAGCTTTGATTGCTTCAGCTGAAACCCAGTCTCAGGCACTCCAGTCTGCTGAGCACTTCCTTTGTGTTCCATAGGTCGTTTAGAGTCCTCTACAGGTTGCACATATATCCTTTTTTCAGGACTGCTGGGCAAACTGGATGCTTTTCTTTCATCCACCTTGGGAAAGCACTTCCCATCATGTGCATATTGCTTCACCTTACTCCATTCATCCCCAGATGATGGCAATTCAGAGAGCAGAACTTTCTCAGGGCTGCTGCTGGCAGAGCTCTGGCTAGAATGTATTTCCTTGCCATTTTTTTTATGCTGCTTTTTCTCTGGAGACTGTAGCTCATCATTCAGCTTTTCTGTTTTATCCCGAAAAAACTGGGATACTTCAGTAAGTTTTTCTTCCGCCTCTTTAACAGTCCTGTCCACCCTGTCTTCATATATCAACTTTTCTCTACCTCTGTCTAATCTGTCCTCAGTAAAGCGCATCCACATTGCATGTTTGTGACTACTAACATCTCCAGTGTAGTGTAACACTGTCACTTTATCATAATGATCCTCCTTAGACATTTTACCTACACCATTTTCAGATACATCTTTATAGATTTTGGAGAGAATCTCTTTTTTGGGGGCAGTAGCTACTTTTTCTCTGCATCGTTTATCAGTCCCCTGTAACTCTGCACTAAGGGGTAGAGCATGGTCAGTAACTGACTCCTCAGTATCAGAATGAGACACATCTAGCTTTTCTGAAAGAAGCATTTTCTCAGCAAACCTGTAAGACTCCCCTCTTAGTTCTGACAACTCATCATCATGGTATTCTATTGAGTGCTGACTCAAAAGCTTCAGTGTTTTGTAAGAGTCATCAGACATGAGTTGAGCAGAACTAGGGCGACTGTCTTCTTCCTGGGACACGGGAGTGTTAACTCTAGAGGATTCCAGATAAGAAGGAAGTGACTCTTCGGCCGTGAGCTCCTCTTCTTCTTGCTGACCTTGTTCATCTGAACAAGGAAAAGTATCATGTTTTTCCAACTCTTTTAAGTTAATATCTCCCCGAGGTAAGTCTTTCTGATATACATACATTTCTTTTTCTGGATGCTTTTTTGTTTCTCTAATAATGACTTCAGTAGGTTCAGCCTGATTACCTTGTTCAATATGGACCTCTATTATTCGCTCCAGTTTGGGTTTCATTTTGCTGTCCTTCTCTGCATGTTGTGGTGAAGTTTCAGCAGACTTGCTAACATCGGATGTTACTGATGATTTATGTTCAAACAGACCTGCCAGTTCTTTGGAAGGGTCACGTCCAGACTGAAAGGCTTTCATTATGTCATGAACAGACATTGTTTCCTCAATTCTTTCAGAGGTACTTTCTGTGCATGGAGGTTTATGATAAACCATCCTTGTTGTTGTAGTGATATGAGTTTCTTCTTTTACTCGGACACCTTTACTGAGGACGCACTTATGGTCGTCTTCTTCACTGCCACTGGCTTTCATTTGAAAAGCTTTAACCTTCTCTTTAATGGACCCAGAAGGTTTTTGCTCCAGCTCCATAAATGTAGGGGAAGGTTTTGAGGCTGGCAGCTCCTCTGCCTTCTGCTCAGGAATATCTTCTGAAGACGGTTCGTAGCTGCGGATGACATGAACTACTTCAGTTCTTGTTTCTGTAATGACAGGAGGGATGGGCACATCGTGGAAAAGCGGTTTTGGCCCTGTGCTTTCAGCACTTTGTGGGGCAGAGGGTGTCTTTTCACTCCTCGTTTCAAAGCCACTGTCAGACAAGGGACTTTTATCTTGATCATGTTGAGAAAAGTCATCTGGAGACTCTAAAATAGTGTCTGTTCCAAAAAAGGAGTCTGCAATTTTACATAACTCCTTTTCCGACGTTGAAGGCCTCATGGAGGCTGGAGGCATTTTAAGTTTATGTTCCTGCAAAGCGATGGCTGGTTTTAAAATGCGCTTTTGTCTCTCTTCACCTTCTTTTTTCCCCTCTTCAAACTTGTACTTTATGTTTGTTAATGAACTGCTACCGATATCATTTGCTAAGTAATCAATAACTTTTGACAAGCTATAATCCTTGTCCGACATGGTTTTAGTTTTAATTTGGACCTTCTCTGGAACAGATATAGGAGGGCTTGTCAAAGCTTGCTGTCTCGCTTCATCAATCTCCTCTGTACTGAACTCTACCCAGTCATCCTCAGACAGGTGTCCTTGATCACTTTTGGGTACTTTAGCCGACCCTTTACTTTCTAAACACACATCCTTTTTCAGAATCTCGCTAACTTTTACTAAGTCCTCTTTTACTTTCTCAACAATTTTAAAGGGCTCTTCATCATCAATTCTACCCTCTCTTGGTATGTCAGGTTGGAACGGCTTGTCCTCTGCGACATCTGTCTGCAATATTGCAGTCATTCTTATCAGATCCTCTTTCATTTCAGCAACATCTTTCAATATCTCCTGACTGGAGGATAAGGAAGATGGTGTGGACAATTTGAGAGCAGAGGGTGCTAAAAACAAGGATGACTTTACTGGAGATGAAGTTCGAGTAAAGGTAGGCTGCGTGCGTGCCTCTGTAGTCAATGTTTTAATAGGTGACAGTAATGCAGCGGCTGATTTTGTAAGTGAAGACGACTCTGGGAGCTTCTTTAATGCTGGTTCAGACAAAACATTGACTACAGAATATACTGGCACTGTTATTGTTGATGAAGTTACTGATGAGGTAGTTGCAGATATTGACCCAAGGGCTGTGTACAAAGCACCTGCAGGAGGAGTTCTCATTGTCTGGAAAGCTGATGGTGCTGAAGACACAAATGACCTGAGTGGAGAAAATGACATTGTTGTAGCTGTTGAAAGCACTCTCTCAGCCGTGTCAGCAACTGCGTTAGCGGCACAAGTTGCAGAATGTGCAGCTGCAGAGATCTTGTCTTGAAAAACACCTGCAGCTTTGGATCCATTTATTAAGTTGCTAGAAGATGGATATTTCAGAGGTGACACAGACCCATTGAGCAATGGTACATCTGTGTGCCCAGCTACATGTTTTGCTGGCGACGAGAGAGACGAGGCCATCATGACTTTAGTGGATGAAACAGCATCAACTGCTGACTTAGCAGGTGACACCACTGACTTTAGAGGGGACGATAAAAGTGAAGATGCTGATGTGATGACCGATTTAAGTGGCAAGCTTGAAGAGTACATGCTAATGTTGGATTTGGGGGATGCTGGAGGCGTCATGGTTATGGATGATCTCTCCAAGAGAGATCCTGCTGTAGTCACTGGAGATGTCCGAGAGGGGAATGTGGTAGTGGAGGCCAGCCCTTTGAGACTGGCAGCTTCTGTGACTGCGGGAGCTCTGATGAAAGAGCCTGAAGTAACCTGCATGTTGTAGGGAGGCTGCGAGACCACAGTTTTTATTGGCGAAGAGATTGTCCGAAATGATCTAATTGGAGATGCTACATCGCTAACAGATTTAACTGAAGATGTGGTAGAAGCTCCTAATGTGGATTTGATTGGAGAAGTAGAAGAAACAGACCATATTGATTTTAATGGGGAAGCTGTAGGAGTGTTAGAGGAAGAGCTTGATAAGGAAGTGAAGCCTGATTTGGTTTGCCCAGGCACTGTAATTGGAGCTGTTGTCCATGACTGATATGGCCGTGTTGAAAAGAATGGCTTGTATGAGTAAGTAGCAGGTAGGGATCTTGTTGCTCCTGCACTCCGTTCAACTGTTTCTTAAATTGTTAAATTAAAATCAAACATAAAAATCAACAAAAATGGTTGAAAAACAGAGAGACCAGAGAAGAAAATTGGTCAGTAAACGTTGTAATATTACAAAAAGCAAGTACAATTGTTTGCATGAGTTGGGATGAAAGAGGCAAAAGAAGATTTAAAAAAGGAAAGAAAAAAATTAGGAACGAGCCATATACTGATAACTGGTCCAAACCAAAAACCAACATGAAATGAAAGACAGAAAGCACATAACAACCAAATCTGCAAACAATGGAGAACAAAAAACGCACAAAAGGAATCCATAAGGTAAAAAAAAAAGCCACATCAAAATTTCTTCTCTTACTTCCTATTGACTTTCTGATGTGCTACTTCTGAAATACTCGTATCAGCTTTATTTTGCCTGTTTAGGTATGTCTCTGCTTTGTGCAACTATTAGAATTATCTGTTTAGTAATTTCTATTGTTGTTCTGTTCAGATTTGATCCTATACAAAAATATAAACTTGCGTAAAATGACATTATATAGCTAAAATATTTTTTAAAACCACTTCAGAACTATTTCATGCAGAAACCAAAATTCCTTTAAGTGACAGGCAATTGATGTGCAAACTGTGAAGCAATTAGAATAAATTCAAATCTAAATCTTCCATGCACAATTCGGATATGCTTCACACTCACAAAGCCAATAAGAGCAAGAGCTTTTCTGAGTCAATACTAAAAAAAAAAAGAAAAAGAAAAAGAAAAAGGAAAAGGAAAGGAAGGAACATATGCATTTGTTTCTCATGCAATATTCCTTTTGTCTGGTTAAAATTAAAGTAAAACTTTTCATGAAATGATTTTAAGAAGCATATGTTGTAAATGAAATATGGCAAGTATGATGTATGATAGTCGTGAGCAGGCAAAGCAACTGAATCAGTTTTTATTCATGCACAAATGTCATGTCAGAAACGAGCACACAGATTAATACATTTCATATGGTGTCTTAAGCACAAATACGTAAACCTTACAAAATAATTTCACATGAGGTCATTAAAAGAAGAGTACACTTTTTCTACAAGATGTAGTGTCTTGGTACCTTTTGAGGAGATTTCTTGTATCAGCTCAAAGACAGACCTGTTCAACTTTACAGTTCTCAAAAGGTAACATTAGAAAAGCAGTCAAAGAAAAATAGATTATGAAATAAATTCCTAGCAAGGACAAACCTGTTAAATGTTATAATCCCCCAGAACTCTCAGCTTATTCATAGACATTTTGAACAGAATCATCATCAATCACATTCTGCATCACAGGAGGCATTCATGTCAGAAAGTACTTCTGGGAATCCCATTACACAAACATATCCTCTGATACAGCAATAACATTCAGAGAGTTGACACTGAAAGCAACTTTGAGAAATTTCTTTTCTTTAAAGTTGGAATTAGAAATGGAGCTAAAATATCCAAACAAATTATTCAACATACCTTTCTCTGAAGTTACACTAATAATTTGTCCAACCTACTACATCTGTCTTATAGACAGACAGGTAACTCACAGTGAAAGAAGCTCAACAAGGCTAACACTGAACTGTTACAGCACACACACTCCTATAAAATAGTGAATATTCAGTGCACCACAGGTCCATATCCTGCAAGGAGAAATGTGCTGGTCCTATAGAAGCCAATCAAAGCCCAGAAATCAATATGGATGGCTAGTGATACTCATAAGAACATTTATGTTGAAGAGAGCTTGAGTACTAGGCCTGACTGGCACAGACTAAATCAAGAAATGCCCACTTTTCCTTACTACAATATTTTTAAGTGGAAATAAACTTCTTTCTTTCCACCCCCAAAACCCCCGCAAAATGTACTTCATTAAATCAACTATTATGAAGATATTATAAATACTATTATTTATTATGAAGATTTAATTAGCAGTAGCTGCTAACATTCACCAGAACCTCATAGAGTCTTGAGTTCAAGAAACAAACCCCAAAATTATTCTGAAAAGAACAAATAACCGGTTCAGCAGTTAGTGTTAGGATGTGTCTTTACTGGAACCCCACTTCACCATCACGAGCAGGTCTGTCACAACTGACTGATGAGGCAAGCAAACCCACAGGCTGCACTCCTAACTTCTTTTTTGCCTGTCAAATCACAGATTCAGAGATATTTAAGATGCTGCTTCTGTGCTCCTTTTTGCAGTTGAAGAGCTAAAAAATCTGTCTGCCAATTTTTTCTGAATGAGACTTAATGGACCTTTGGTGAATAAATAAGACTTTTTTCCCCCCCACTCCAGTGAAGGGGGAAAAATCAATTGTGAGCGATATACACAGCCATCAACCTTCTTTCCAGCAATTTTATTTTCCCTCTCTCTCAGTTCCCATCAAGCCTGTGACAATACCTTAAAAGTCCATCAAGATGTCTCAGCAGATCTGATAGCTTCTTCAGATGTTATATGCTTGGGGTCTTCTTCCCGGCCTGAGAAGTGTAACACATTCTGGAGCACATCTGATCCAAAGAAGCCACAGATCTTATAGGATAATTAAGCAGCAGCCATCCAGTGGGAACTCCCAAGACCCGATGAAGTTTGTCTATGGATTTTATGGAATTATATCAAAGGGTCTGTTGCAGGGTAGCAACTGAGAAGTCAAAAGCAGGGGAAAAAAAGGCAAGATAAAGCCTGGAAATGGAGAACAATAGCAGCTGACCTCAAAAAGGAAAAGTGAGGAAGAAAAGCTAAGCCAAATACATTATTGTATTTAACTGGGGAGGAAAGGAATGCCACAGGTCTGGTCAAGGGGAACAGCACATGTTTAGGAAGAAGCAATGTGTGGTGCCAGGGAATAAAAAGCATCTGCAGTGAACAGAGGAAAAAGGGAAGGGGAGGAGAAAGAAGAGGGAAAATATAAAATATGAGAGACTCTATTTTGGCTAAACATCTAAATATTTAAGAGCTTATCTGAGTGTCTTTCTGAATTTTTGTGTAACATTCCGTTCTACAGCATCTTTCTGTAATGTTTCAACAGGGAGAGGAGGAGACTCTTTTTGAAAGCACTTTGCAATCCTCCTACTCTGGAACTACATCCCATTTTTGAAAACTATTATATTTTTACTTAACTAACACATATAATTTGCCAGTCAGGATTATTCAAGCTCTCACAACACAAGAGTTCACAGACCATCCAAGACTTTCATTTTAGACAGCTTTTTTGTTTTTCTTTTATCTTTGTTTTTTTTTTCCCCAGAATGACACCAAATACAACGTTTATAGAAAAAATGTCTCTTCTTATGAACAATCACATCTACACAGTTTAGTACTTTGGTAAGAGCAACTCACTCATTCCAGGCTCAGTCAGATAGCTGTAGCGCTTACGTAAAGCAAGGGAGACGAAGTTCTGGCGCCGGTCAGCTTTCTCCGTCTGCAATAAAACACAGCAGGATTTAGGGCCTTGGGAATCAGTGCCCCCGTCTGAACAGACCAGTCCTCAAACCTCAGCAGGATGGGCGGCTTTTGGTGGCACACAACCCCACAAGGGAGAATGGATGCTTCCATTCAGCTTCAGGATGGCATGCTGAAGCCGAATTTGGGCGAGCAGGCAGGGAGGGGGCAGAGCCAGCCTCTGTTCCTGGGTGCTGTGTGATGAGTGCCAGGCACTGCCGAGCAGGGAGCGTGGCTGCACAGAGACCTGCTGTGAGTGACCACCCTTCTGGAGCGTGCAGGGAGGGACTGCCACCCTAAAGTGAGCCCTCAGGTTCATTCCTCTGCTTGTGAGGTGGAAGAGCTGAGATAGCAGAAGCAGCTCATTATCCTGCCTTAAAGTGTCTCTGTACTGTCTTATTGCATTATCACTTAATAAACTGCTTCACACTACTAGAAATGGTGTGATTTTGTTCATTCTCTGTAAAATAAACCACCTTTGGCTAGAAACAGGAGGTCAACACACAAGACTACAGGTACAGACAAAACATTCATAAGTGAGTGACCGGTTGAGTGTTCCCCCCCAGATTAGTTTGTCCCGAAAGCACACACACCACAATGTACAACTGGCTTTAAAGTGAATACATTAAGGACAAAAAAAGGCATGGGAGGGGATTTTTTAATATGCACAAAATGCAAAGATGTGGATTAGAAAGCAGACTACTCTTGTTAACTAATAAATTGCCTCATAAGTTGCTGCGTTCAATGCGACAGCTGCTAGTGTGATGTCTTTAATATGAATAGTCCTTCAGAGATCAACTCACTTGAATATGTGGCTAAAAATACAGTTTGTTTAGAAAGAGAACTATTATTATAGCTATATAATAGCTCATTGGAAACAAATTCTGTGGAGGTAAAGTGATGTTTTTGCTATTATTATTTTTTAACATGTCAGGAATGTTTGGGGTTGCATTGTTTGGGTTTTTAGCTACTCTAACAAGCAGGTGACAACTGCAATTTATTTGCCACCAGGAAGAGAAAAAAAATTGCTGCTAGGTGAATTGGAAACACCTATGTAGTTTCTTTTACAAGATGATCTCATCTCTAACTACCTCTAATGAGTAAAACCCAGTCAGTTTTATGACAATCTAATGTTGCAGTTTCCATGAAACAGTGGGTTTTTAAGCTGCAAATATCTCAGGTTTATTTGAAAATAGATTTGAACACAATATTTAGAAATTGTTCTTGGCTGGTTTACTTTTTTTGAAATAATCCAGTTTATTTACAGAGGGTAAGATATTAAAGGCCACTACTGTGTCCTCAGCAGTACCTTTTTCCTTCTCAGAAATACAAGTTACCATAGCAGTGCCAATGTTACCCCAAGAGGTAAAATATTATGCACTAAACTCTTCTTGATTTTGCCAAAATTTGACTTGGTCTGATAGTCATAAATATATCCTTTTTCAGAAAAAAATTAGACTAAATTTGAGACTGCTTTTATTCAGTGCTTGGTTTAATTTCATAATTTATAATCATGGGGTTTCCCATATTTGTGCAGCTTTACTGTTTTACAACAGCCTATCAGAAGTTGAGGATATGGTTATTTTTCTGTAGGTATCATTTCAACGCCACCATTAAAAATAGTTGTTTGTTTTGCTCTATAACATACTACTTTTCTTCACTAAATCTGAAGGAAATAAAAACAGAAGACAGTGTTTATATTACCTCATCATCTTGATCTGACTCTGTTTCCTTTTGGTCCCAAGATGCATTGCAGAGACAAGGAATATTATAATGGACAGCAGGGAAAAGAATATCAGGATATGAAAAGGACCAAATTGGGAGCACAAAATGCAAGCTGATTTATAAGGCAAAGCAAATCCAAAATGTCAACACAAAAGAAAAAGAAAATCTTACATCCAATGCAAATAAACACGTGACATTACTGAAAGCATAAATCTATGATTTGCAGGCTGAAGCATGAGCTGTAAACAGAATCATAAAAATTATAGGAACTTGACACCACAGTAACAAGAGACTTTAAAAGCGTTCTACATACAAGAAACCAATAAAACATACATTTTAAAAGCCTTTATCATATTCCAAAGCATTCTCTTTACTGACATGTCACAAGGTTTCTTTATTACTAGCAGGAAATAAAAAAAAAAAAAAAGAAAAAAGAGAAGAGAGACAAAAACTAAAGGAACAAAAACAAATCCAACCCGACCCTAAGAAAAATGTTTACTTTTCCAAACAAATACCTTTTTGTGTGCTGGCAGAGTGATATTCAAGTTGCAAACAGCTGTTTGTGGCAGTCCTTTTGTAGTCTTTGGTTCTTTCAAAAATGATAATCGACCACAGGGTTCCTGGCTGGTGTCTCTTACCTAAAAAAGAAATTTTGCTTCAGCAGAGTAATATGTAGTAATTCAGAGTCTTAGAGGAGGTTCCTGGAATGGTTCTCAGAATTTCTTTCTACAAGGAGCTTTCTAGTGTGTAAAGACTAATAATACCAAGCTAGAGCTCAGCCTGAGGTGCTGCAGGAGGAAAAGTGTTACTGTGAAAGAGTCAGGTCAACCTGAAGTTCCCTGATGGCAAATCCATGCAAGACAAGGTGCTGAGTGAGAGTTTCATACTGGGATATTAATGACAGGCACTGTCTGCTCCCTTCATTTTATTCTGCCCTTGTGTTTACCAAAATGCTTAACAATCTCTCCAGCAGGGCAGCTGGGACAAGGCTGAGGAAAGTGAGCACCATTCCTGGGCATTTAGAGATGAACAGTCTGCACACACCTTCTGAGGGCTGCTCTGCAGTACAGGATGGTATTGAATGCATCTCCTTTGCTTAACCCCTCAGAAATTGTGATCTCCCGGTAAATATGTTGCTCCAATTTGAGATATGGTTTTAGTAAAAGGTTGTGAATTCATATAATGGGTATTTTGTTCCCATATCTGCCAGCTGTTCTGCTGTGGGCTTCAATCAAAGCACCCTCCCCATGTTATTCACAAATTAAAGAACTACACCTTCATCCCAGGGGCAAGTTAGTCCTACAGGGCTGAAAAAGGAATGAGGGACTGTGGGAAAGGAGGAAAGCAACAGGATAATTTATTTAGTCTTTCTTTTACCTTGATAGAAAATGGCAGTCTATTTTCTTTGAAAGCATAAAAATTAAAAACAAGCTGCTGTCCTCCTTTAGTCAAAGGAGCCAGATTTCCATAGCAATCAACATAAATAGGTTTTCCTTCAAGAACCTATCAAAGCAAGAAATAAAAGTCAATAAAACCTCTTTTAATATTAGATTCATGCATATAAACATCATTATTTCCCCCAACATCATTCCTGAGTTTAACACAAGTTCCCACTTGGTTACATACAACAACAAATTAGAATATCACTGTGCATTATGGCAAGGTATTATGAGTACAGGCAGTTTGGAAAACCACAAACCACCTGATTGGCTTTTCTAAAGTAAGAGAGTGTAATTTTCTTCAAGAAATAGTAAGTTAGTGACTGTGATTTCACCACAAGCCAGTCCTACTCATGACTGTGTGCCTGCAGGGCCAGTAAGAAGGAATTCCCTCTGTCTGCAAAGCTCAGACAGGGCTGCTTGACAGCAGCAAGGGCAAACCCCACTGCAGACTGTGCTGGGGCACCCACAAATCCTCATGCTCCTCCAGTCTTGCCCTGTTTTGTTCTTCCTTCGAGAAGTTTCCTGCCACAGCCTTGCTGTGAACCTTTATGTAACAGGGCTTGTCGCGGCTTTTGCAGGAGCTGCAGCTACTTGGAAAACACACTGCCCACCAACAAGGAGGGAGCCAGCTGCAAGGAATGTACCTCAATGTCTTTGCTTCTTGCAACTTCCTCAAAGTTCTCTTGTTGCTCCAAAGTTTTGTCCACTTTGTCATCAGTCATGCAGAAGCAGCGCAAATTGGATTCCACAGGGTCATTCATTTTGGCAAATATCACAAACTTTGCCATATAAGGAACACATATTAATTCTCTATAAAGCTGTGTTGCCAGCCCAACAGTCTCTAGTACTTGGTGGCAGTCTGCGAGCCAAAATCTGAGTGGGAAAAAGTAAAGCATTAAATCAACTTTTCATTATGCTCCAACAATTGTTTAAGGCTTAAAGAGAAACTGTGTCCTGTATCCTTGGTCATTTTGCATGTGTACTGTCCTTGCAGAATTGCCAGAGCTGTAATTTTCCTTCTACTCTCAGTATAGGTTTAACTACCCAAAAATGGGAATACCTGGCAATGAAATGCTGATATACTTATCTAACCATTTTCACACTGGTATCTCATAAAACTATCAATCTGAAGGCTCATTTGAAGCCAAAGTGGGGAAATTTAATTTCTTGTTACTACACAATGCACATTGAAGGGTGCTGATGCTTCACTATACATTTGATTTGTTAAAACAAGCACCTTAATAACACACACAGCAAATCACCTCTCCCATTCAGGCTGAACCAAATACGCCCATGGTGAAGTCTCCAGAGACAGGTGTTATTTTGTTATTTTTTCATCTTATGATTAAGAGTTTGAAGACAAGTGTGATACAAATTATAAATTATAAATTATTTATACTTGTATCAGTCTTTCCCACAATATTTCAGCCCTGACATACTTGCTTTTTGAGCAATTCTCTCTCTTTTCATAAATTTTTTTATAGTTGCAATATCATTTACTGACTGATAAACTCTCTACCTTCTATACCATGAATTTTCTTCACTAGGATATGTGATTTGTACAGATCCTGTTAAATGCCTCCAGTCAGCATGTAAGTCCATGAAGTCCATCAAGATTAATTTCAATTCATCATTTTTTGCAAAAGATATTTTTGTGATAGCAATTTAATAAAATTTTCAACTAAAAAAAGCCCACAGCCAGAAATTAAACATCTCTAAATTTTTTTACAAACATATTTTTATGAACCCCCTCTTTTTTTTTTAATAGGATGAACATTTTAAGCTTTCCCTTTCTGTTGCCATTTACAGAAAAACCAAAGCCCTGTGTGGCAGGGCTTCAGAGGAAGAGTCTGTGTGCCTGCCAGGAGCCTCTGTCACAGCCCGGCCAGAGCTTTGTGTGCAGCCCTGGCTGTGTGGGACGCTCATAGGCACTGACAAAGCAGCATCTGGGCCATCACCACTTCATCAGCCTCGTGAGAGGCTTCCAGAAAGCCAAAACACAGCCTCCCAACCCGGCATGGTGTTGGTGCAGCTGGCAGGGTCTGCTCCTGTCGGAACTCAAAATGTCCCTCAGACATTTTTGGATGTTCCGGGCCCAGGTCAGAAGCATTTGAGACCCTGGCAGGCAGCTGGAAACAGCTGTGATTTTGGATTTGAACCATGGAATGATTTACCAACCTTGCAGGAAGAACAAGAAGTCACAAAAGTTTAGATATTACAGTAGAAGTAGTCACAAAGTAGAGGGAAGAATTTTTGAGTCCTGTACAGGGGGTTTTGGTTTTGTACATGGGGGTCAGAAGTTTTAAGATGGAGGGATTTGGGCCTGTCCTGTCCTCCCTCTTTCTTCTTCCTTACCTCCATGTTCTTGGTGATGTTGGCACTCACATATTGGTTAAGAGTAGAAAAGCACCATTTAATATAGGTAATAGGCATTGGAGAAAAACTGTAAACATTTAACATGTAATGTACCATATAAAAGATAGCAGCAGCCCTGGGTGGGGGGAGAAGAAGCAGTCGGGAGTCAGAGAGGATGTCAGGGTGTGTGTGTGCCTCTGCCTGAGCTGTGAGCAAACCACAGCAGCCCCAGAAGAAAATCTTTTAGACAACTTGCAATAAACTGCCTTGAGACCGAACAACAGAAGATTTCTGAGCCTTTCTTTGGAACCACAGGTTGGAGGAGAGATTTTTCCACCACATGGAGCCACCCCCAACCTAGGGTGAGCTCCGGCATGCTCCCATACCTGGCAGAAACATTGGTGGTGAAGGAGACACAGTCGTTCGAAAACGTCAGCGGAGTGGTGCCCGTGATGTCCTCCCACTGCGCAGGCGAAGTGCCTCCTGTGCAAACACACACCAGGGACATCTCCTTTCAAACACTAAGCACACACAGACTGCAAAAAGAACATCTCTATCTCCACACACAGAAAGTGAACTAGACATTAATGTTCTCCAACAGCTGATCTCCATGTTATCATGGAGCATCAACAATTCTACATGGTGTCACACAACAATAAACAAAGATGTAAGCAAAGAACATACCTACAAGTCAACAGCAACCCCCCCTCAACATCAGCTAGGACAGAATTACTTCTGCAAGCTACTTTTACTGACAAGCACGTTTAATAAGCAAGACTGAAATTCTTTAAGACTGAAATTTAACACGTGTTGGGAGAGTCCTTTTACAATGGGACCAGATACAAAACTCAGGGAACCAGTGGGAAATAACCCCAGCTGGCTTTGTTCAGGAGAGCTGATCTGAGCCCCAGTGGCCAGCACACCAAGGTTCTCTTACTGAATGCAGGAGTAGTGAGAGTGAGCACAGAGCTGCTGCCACAGAAACCTGGGCAAAGAGCAGGATTTTTTCTCTAACCTGTAATGCTACATAGGAGTCGTAGGCTGGGAGTCGTGTCTCCTTTGTACCCGTTGGTTACTCCTTCTCCTGATGGAGGTGGCACAGGAATTGTCATGGTTATTGGCTTATGGAATTTTCTTCTTCTTGGCTCCACAGTGACAATGGGACTGAATGTTGCTTTGTTTCCAAGGATTTTTTTGACAATCTCTTCTGGAACTGGTTGAGCCTGTCAACATGAGGAATATACTTAAGCTAGAGCTGAAAAATTTTTATAGATATCCAGAATTATTTTCTAAATGGCAATTATATTTTCTTTACAGTTTTTGTAGATCTTCCCCCCCTACCCCCCCCCCTCCCGGAAGCCTTCTCAAGGGTGATTATTAGTGAAATTCATGTTCAGTTCTTATTCAACAACTTATTTCTGATTTCCTAATTGCTAAATGGTAGAGCTAAACTGTAAATCTCAGAAGGTTCCCTGCAGTATTTGCTGAGAGTTTTTCAGAGCATGTTTGGTGTTGTTCAATATTTACAGTGATTAATGACATTACATAAAATTTAAAAATGCAAAAACAGGCCTATTTTGCACTTGAGAAGTGAGGACTAGACACTGTCTCCTGGAGGTGATAGACCATTCTTGCATCTCTGAAAAACACAGATTTATGCTCTTGAGGAATACTGCACTTCAACTGACCTCTGCACTCAGTGCTTCCTCTGATTATTAGAAAGAAATACTTGTTTGGGTCAAAATCATAAAGAATGCATGAAGTTACAAAAGATTTATAGGTAAATTTCACATTTTCTACAGTCAAAAGTGACAGACATGGTAATGGGAGTTTGCCTCCATTTGCCTTCTTATTTTAATTTTTTTAAACTTTCAAGTCTGTTTCAATCAGGTTGACCCATGACTTGCTATTATTCAAATTGCAGAGTGCACTGATAAGCAGAGAACATGCAGTTACCCTGCAGTCTCAGCAGTCACAACACTGCATACAGAGCTGTCATACTTCCCTCATTCTGGAGAGCTCTGGGAAGGCAACTGTATAACCAGAGCAGCAGAAATTCCATTTTCTCAAGATTAATCATCTTGAGATGTGAAATAGAAATGTTTCAGTGTGAATTTCAAGAACTGCAATTCAAACCAGCATCTCTTTTTCATGAACCCATCAGACTTGTCATACTATTAAGAGAATATTAAGTGATAACTAACTGAACTCAAAGATGCCTCCTATTCCTACGGAATATTTTGCCACTTTCTGTGCAGTTAAAGTAGAATTTAAGCTATATGCTCTTGCCAGATTTCACCCCTAGAAATGCCAGTGGTGAATGTCCAAAGACACAGCAGATGTACATGGGAAGTTTTTGACCCAGTAACAGCTGGGGAACAGCTGCATGTAATCCCTACCAAACACATTCCTGTGGCAATGGGCAGCCCAGTGACCCCGTTCACAAGCTGCCGCTTTGCCACAGGAGATGGGGACTGCACAGAAGCTGCAGAGTTGCTGGAGCTGTGATGGTTCCAGCTCTTTGCTTTCCTCTCTCCATTCCTGGGATGCTAAGCAATAATCATGGAGGTGATCCAAGGGGAGCTGGGCTTGCGCCACAGGGAGGAGGACTGTGCACCTCCTGTGCCTGAGGGACACCGAGCATGCCCAGGCAGACTCCTGCCAGCTCAGAGCTCAGGCGTGAAAAGCCCCTTGTCACAACCCACTGCTAAGGAGCAGTGTGAGCACCTGGAAGCTCTGTAGCTCCCAGTGTCGTGCATCAAGACAGGTGCTCTCAGAGAAGCCGCCCTGAAGCCTCTTTACCTGGAGGCCGACGCGGATTCTCTTGGTCAGAGCCCCCTCGGGGAAGGAGGCCTGCACGCGCGGCACCGTGGTGCTGCTCAGCACCCCGCCCTCGGGGCCGATCTGGTTGCTCTCCTGCTTGATGCGGGAAACCACCGCAAAGTACTGGGGGAAATCCTTGGTGACGATCCTGCAGATCCGCTTCTTCTCCAGCTCCTCCACGCTGTCCAGCTCTGGGGGCACAAGACAGGTAAAACGTTCAGGCATCCCCCGCCCAGGCTCATCCCACACACACCTGGAGCTCTGAATAAGCCTTAGAATGCCTAGGGAGGTTGGGAGGTTTATTATTATTTATTTACTATGGCAGTAAAAAAAAAAGCCATTCAGCGCTATCAATTATCCAGTTTTGTTTTTTCTGTGAACTTCTGTATAAATCTTGACAATGAGGGCCAACAGCAATAGACAAAAAGATTTGCTAGGACACCTAAGTAGTCAGGTGTGACAGCTGCCACAGAATGTTTGTCACACAGCATAGAAATCCAAGGAGAGCTGAAGAAGATAGTCAAGCTTCTTCCCTCTCTTATTTCTATCTGATCTTTCTGTGCATAGCTCCAAATTATTCCCAGCCTCTTCCCCCATATGCTTCTGACATAAAGAAAACCACAGGAGATCACAGTCAGTTCATGACCTATCTCCCTTCATGCCAGGTGTGCAATCCAGAGCTTGGCCACCTGAGCCACTTAAGACAGTTACTGCCCAGATTGGCATCCAAAAAATCCACACCAGACACCGAGCTCTCCATGAAACTGTGGAAGCAACAGAGCTGTCTCCCAGCACTACCAGTGAACCAGGAGCAAGTTTCCCTTCCACATCAGCATTCCAGCCATTTGGTTATCTGTCCCAAAATAACTGCAGTGTGCCACTCAGCTCCTAGAGAATCTTAATTCATCCTCAAATACAACTGAAACAGAGTCAGGTCATCAACCATTAATGCTCTCAGTCCCATTCCCAGTTTGTAGGGTCACCAGGGCTCAGAAAGGTGCATAGAGTACCTATTCCTATTAATCAGGTAAGCACATGACATAAGTTTTCCTCATATACGCACTGGGGAAAACTCTGTGATACAACAAAAATATAATGGCTTTTGCAATTATATGTGTGTGTGTATACATTTTTTTTTTTTTTTTTTGTATTGGTGCCCCAAATGCATTGGTGAAATCCCTGTGATATAAACACCACACATAAATGGAGATAATTATATAACTCTCATGCATTTCTCCTTGTAACTTCTTGCACCTGGCCTTTTTATCTCTTGTAATCAGATTTCATTGCAGCACTCCACAAATTTCAGCTCTTATTTTCCTCCTTAAAAAGGGAATTTCTAAATAAAGTTTGTTCCTCAAAAGATGACATTTTTATCACATCCAGCAAGAGAAAGCAGGAAGACCAGAAATAATACTAAGGCAAAAAACACCTGTAAAATACTTTGCAACTGAGACATTTTACTCCTCTAAGCATGTAAGCTCAATTAAATTCCAAGAGAATTAGAATGCAAATTTGGTAAAATGTCAGTTTTCCATTTTAAAACATTCAGCAGATAGTTTGGATTAATCTCACAGTGGTGCTGTGGATCATATGTACCTACCAGAAGTGGATAATTTCTTATAATAATGTCAGCTTCCATTTACTTTAACTCACAGATTGATATCTGAAGCCCTCTAATGAATTAGTCACTCTGCCTGCAGCCTCTGGAAGCAATTGCTTGTGCAGGAGACAAACTGGATTGCTACACTCCCAGGCAGGTATCATCCATCTTAACTGGCAATTCCTCATCATCTCCTGTTTGTTGCTAGAGAAAAAAACCTGCTGTAAAACGCTCACAGAGGTAAAGGATAATTAAAATTCTCCTGAAGTAGAAAAATAGTGATTTAAACAAGAACATTTCAAAGTCCTTTGAATCTGGCAGGCACTCTCCTTCAGAGGAGGAAGATGGGAAGGTAAGAGTGGAAGGGCAACAGTCAGGCATAGAGAGGACCTGGACTATATATAGGGAGGTTATGTTTGGATAATACATATGTAAGCTTCTGTATAAGGTTGCCCTCTAATAGTAAAAAAAAAAAAGATGATGAGCAATCAAACCATCTCTCTCACTGCCCTGAGAAATGCAGTGTTAGCAGGACAGAATTAATGAAACAGGGAAAACTAGTCCTGGGAGAGGTCACGTTTCCCAAACACACCTCATGCATTTTACAGAGGGAGATATCATCATTACTATTTCCCTCAGCTGCTGACACTTCATTCCTGGGCAGAGTGTTTCAATGATAAACCTTAAAGCATTTTTGGTTAGATGGTTGGGTTTTGGAGGGAAGGGGGTTTTAGCCCCAGAGAAGTATGCTGTGCACCCCTTCATGCAGACAGGGACAGCAAAGCATGGAGAGGTTAGCGGCAGAGTAAAGCAAAGCAGAAAGGTTAGTGGCAGGACTGGGAAGAATCTCCCAATGTCACCTTCTCCCAGGCTTGTGCTAACAGCCCAAGAACTCTTACAGCCACTCAGCTTTAGTGAGGCAAGAGAAAGGTATTGTGAATATAATGTACACAGAAGTCTTCTCTTCTCCTGCCACCCATGTGTATGGTACACTTATCCTGCAATGGTTTGGTGTCTGATCTTCCCCAGGAGTGATGGAGGAGAGAGGAGATGGAGAGGGGAAGGAGGCAGGAAAAGAACGTTACAGCATGTGCTACATGGTGCCACATGAACATTAAGGCTCCAGGACTGGGGAAGAGAAACCCAGCCATGTCCTCCAAGGTCAAGAGGGACCTCACAGAGGCTGTCTCAGGTCAAGGAAAGCAATCACACCAGCTCTCTCTGGTGAGAGGCAGCTGTGGATCAAGTTCACCCACATCTAATACCTTTCTTTTTTACTTTCAGATAAGGTAACACAGAGGAAGAGCCTTTTGACTCAAAATAGAGCAAGACAAGTCACAGAACACCTGGCAGTTTCATGAGCTTCAAGGTGTCTTTGTGTAGATCTGGTTTCCCTTGCCAGGGCCTCAAAAGAATTTTGCTAGCACTGAAAAAGCAAATCTCACCTGTACCTCCCAGACTGAACAACTCTCTGAGTCGGGCAACCCTCCCTCAGTCCTGGCTGGAGCAGAGCTGACCTTGTCACAGTGCCCAGACTGCAGGGTGGGGTGAGCACAGGATCCCTGTTCTCCCCATACAGAGATGTGCCCATTAAGGAATTGCTGTGCTAAAAGCATGGCACGCAGGAGGCAGCTTCCACATGGAGAAAAATCCAGCGGGGGGATGGAGGCAGGGAGAACACTTGGCAAGGGGTAAGGAGAAACTGAGGACAGGAAGATGCTGGTAACCAGACCCACCCTCCCAGCCTCAGTGTTTCACACTCACAACTAGACACTCCCAGTGCCACAAGGATGCTTCACCCTCGAACAAGGCAATATCCTTTATGGCTATTTTTGTGTAGTCTCTTATCTTGCCATTCACAACATACAGTTTAACGACAATATGTTTAAAAACTTTTCTTGGAAAGGTGGCAAAATCACCGCAGAGTGATTTATGGTGGTATTTTAAACTTCAAGCATAAACAAGGTCACACTCCAGTTTGATCTGTCGATTCAGTTCTGTAAAAACTCCGGCTTCCCATCTGAAACCACACTGTGCAGCTGCAAGCTTACTGTAGCCACAAGCATTTGCATTTCTTGGCTCACTCACTAGTTTGCAAATAACTTTTAAAAGATTAGCTATCCCAGTGTGTGCATTTGTGCCCACAATTTATCTAGAGCTACCTCTAAAGGGTGAAGGAATGTTAAAAGCAAATAGAAGTTATCTATAAAAGGAGCCTGTCTGAAAACATGATATATTTACCAATTACAAGGCAGAGAGCTTCTTCCTAAAAAAATAATAAATTCCAAAAATAAATTCCACATATATTTTATTTGATTCAAGTATAAATAAATGTAATATGGCCAAGAAGTGTGAATTGCTACCCTTGTGTTTGCAGCCACACTCCTCCTACTCCTAAAAATGCCAAGATCTCTGTATTTGCTTATGTACAGCACTATCCTTAAAATAAAACCTATTTAAGCAGAAACCTGACTGCACCAAAAAAATAAGGCTCTTTACATCACGGTTCATTGTTCTCTGATGAGAATAACCCAGAAGTTCTGCTGTTATCTAACGGTGCAGCAGCCCCGGGGCGATGCCTCCTGCCCGGGATGATCTGGGCTCTAGGACAGTTTCCCAGCAGATGATGCCACTCCCGGCGCAGAGCAGCTTTGGCAGTGCCCGCGGAGGGCAGGAGCCGGGATGTCCTTGCTCCCATCCCTGCTGGCTAAGGGGGAGAGCAAAACAGAACCTGTGCTAAAGGTCTGACTGCCCTCCTTCCCCACACAGCTAGGAAAGGACTTGTGATCACAGCAGGTTTGACAGAGAAGTGCCTTTAACAGAACACTCCTGCAGCACCTCCTGGCACTTCTTGCAAAGACACATGAGTTTTCTTGCAAAGACACACTAAATTTCTCTAAATGACTATGTGGCTGCTTTTTATTTAAATTAAAGCTTGCTTCTGCCTCCAGAGTTCATACCTGGAATAAAACTTCTTTCAAAATTACGTCTTCTGTGAGATGCAAGATACTCCCCCTGAGCCAAGTCTGTGGTATTTTTAAACAAACCAAGTCTACAAATTTGTAATTTTTTGGTCATTGCTTGGAAGACCTTTTACATTGCAAAGGTGTCATTTAACTAGAGTGGAATTTTGTCAAAACCCTTGCACTATTTTAATGCAGGGTGGTTTTATTTTTAAATTTTTTTTGCTTTCCTAGCTAGAGAAGGATTAAGTTAAAACAAACGGAACAAATAATCACTACAGTGAATGTGTCTGCAGTATTTTTCTCCTTTTCCTCTCACAAATGATTGCCTGGTTTTGTAAAAGCCATTCCTGAGGTTTGGATTATAAGGTGTCAAATATTTTCACTCCAACAGGATAATGTCCATCATAATTTGTGAAAAGAAAGTTGTCCTGTGGCTCCATATTGTGAAACTTATTATTTTGGGCTCTAAGTCCTGAGGGTTTCAGGTCCAGCTCTCTCAAAGTGTTTTTATTTATTGAGCTCGTCTCTGTAAATTGTCAATTTATCCATATGTGAGCTCTTCCATAAGAGTTGCAAGCTGCAGCAATTCAGAACAATATTTCTGTGCCCAGATTTCCTATCCCCAAATCAAACTGAGCTCAGTTTGAAAAGCACATTAAACAAATAAGCAAGCTGCTGATCAGTGCTGACTACCTCACCCCTGTCAAGGCACCACTACTTCACCCAAATACCAAACCATCACTCCTCATCCCATGCAGAGGGACAGTGGTGAGATTTTTCTTTTTCAAAGGCTGCAACTACTGCATTCAATCCTGCAGCAATCATAATTCCCCAAGCCATACTATCCTGGACCATGTCCATCTCTTGCCTGTTCCACTGCTTTTAGGTACCCTTCAGTGATGAGGTTTATTTTATTTTTCTAAACACACTGGCAAAACATTTGCAGTGTTTCTGCCCTCCTGTCTGGTTGGTTCTATTGCATTTATTTTGAAATAAATAGCTACAATAGATCATCACAAAGCAAGTAGATCTTTGCTGTTGCTTTGTGTTTGTACAAGCTCAGGTGCAGTTCAAACAAGGAAAGGCTGAAATCAAAGGCAGGAACAGACACCCCCAGAGCTGCCATCCACAGCCCCATCATTCCCTGCACATGCTTTTGCTGATAATGAAAGAACTTTCCTGCAGCTTATAGCCTATCACACTATGACTTTCTGTAGGTTATCCAGGGAAAATCCTGTGGATAAACCCTTCTGCAAAGCCAAAGTTTACACCACAAACTGTTTCATTCACACTCAGATGCGAAGAGCTTGAGCCATGGTTTATCAGCACTGAAAAATGCTTGCTAGAAAAGAAAGCAGTGGTGCCAAGGAATCATTGCAGCCCCACAGCCTGGCTTTGCCCACAATTTATTTTCAGCAATCATCATCTCCTGATGACAGCATCTCCTGATGGACTTGTACAGCTGGGTCCCCTCATCTTGAGGGACTCTCACACCAAAAGCAATGCTCAAGCAAAAGAAGGGAGCCAGACTTCCCAGATGGGCATCAGGAAGGCAGGCTGTGTACTTGTGGGAGGCAATCTCTAACAATGCCATTTGAAATAAGAATGCTCTGGGGGCCAAGCTCCGTGTCTGAGGGAAGGCCCCACTGAGCTGATATTTACACTTCATCGTTGGTTGGGAATGACCTTCCCATGGCCCTGCCTGGGCAGCAGAGACACGTGTACCTCCAGCTGGGTGTTATTCTCAAACTCATGCTGGAAAGCAACTGTGCAAACTCTGCTTAAACTTGGCAAGACTTCAGACCAAAATTCACCGCTCATTTCAGGATGTCTCCAGGCCACTGCAGAACAGTTTTTCCTTACGCTCTTTCCATCAGTTTAATATGGAACAAATACTGTGTTCCCTGAAGTCAGACATCCCCTGCTCTGTTTTAGCTTGCTTTGGTCAGCCCATGTTAGCAAGCCTTCACAAAGGCAAGGCTAAAGCTTTGAGAAAATATTTACCTTCATCCATGCCATTTAGTATTTCAGTTAAGTCTTCATGTTTGCTGTCATACTGGTGCTCTTTCCACGTTTCACCGTTCTCACTTCGGAGCACGATCAGTTCTCTTTCCTTGCCTCGCATTGATCCAAAATGCGGGATTTCCACTATGACAGGGCTAGGGAAAAAGGAACCATGTGATTTTTAACCCTATATTTCCTCACTGCCCTCAATTTCCTATAGGTCCATAAGAATACTACAGTCATTTTTAATAGTTAACACTGTTACGGTAAAAATGCTTTTAAAATTGCCAAAGCTGCACAATCCTTAATCATTTAAACTATATTAATGGATAAATCAAAAATACTAATATATAGTTTGTTTTTAGTGCAAATCTTTTGAAATATTTGCCTCCAGGAAAAAAATAGTGACAACTTTTAGTAAGGAAAGTTATCCTTGCTCATTTATCCCAGGGTGTAGGTGATCCAATCTGCCTCCAGCACACACAGCACTGCTGACTTTTAGCTGTCATTAGCATAGTCAAAGTTTGGATTTGGCTCAGAGAGTTTGAAGGGACAAAGTCAGTTCAGAAGCAGTCTGTCTATCCCAGTGCATGCAACAGCCATTGACTGTAACAGGAACCATGCATTTATGCAGATTTTGAACTTCAAACTAAGTCCCATAGTTTTCAAAGCTCTCCCTGGCTCTCTGCTGATGCAGCTCCTGTGAAATAAAAGAGACTGTTTTTCTTTAGCTCCACTTTCTGGTTCTCATGCCCAGCATCACAGCTGCAATCTCTGCCCAGCAAACATCACCGGGGAGTCGTTACGTCATTTCAGAATGGACTTCTCTGAGTTGAACAACATCATGACCACATTTATATTAGTTACTGTCAAACGTTTTTGGGGGAAGGAAAGGGAATGAGGAGGTGGTTAATAATACACCTATGTCACCAGACAAGGTACCTTCAACAGAGGACTGCAAGTGCATTACTGAACAGTTTGTATGAACAACCAACAAAAACCACCATTCACTTCATGTGCCATTCCTCAACAAAACAGACACTGTTGCCAAACACTTCACAGGCAGGATATGCATTTTAAAGTATGCTAAGACAAACCGACTGAAATCACACAGTAAGTGAACATTTATGGATTATGCAGCTTTAAGACATTTAAATAGACAGTATCATTATTTTCCTACAGAGGTTGTAAAGGGTTTAACTGCTTTGTAACAACTTGGTTAAAAGCAGTGTCACATGATGGGAGAAGGGTGCAGCATTTCTGTGGTACTGTACATCTGCCAGGTGTTGGGTGCATTAACCAATCCATCACTTGAGCATGAAATCACAGCAGCCATCATGGGGAAAAACAAACTAGCCTGAGGCCCAGTTTGCACATGAAATTCCCAGGGAGAAGAGTTAGTCTTTTTTTCCCCATGAAAAAAAATAAAAATAGTGTAATTAATATATATTTTAGATGCTTTTAGCAACACCCAGTCTATTATTCAAGTCTCAAGTCCTTTAACAAAAAACCAGGAATGTAGCTGCTCTCTCCCATTGTGCACAGCAAAAAAACAACAAAAATTCAAATACATTGCTTAAGATATTTACTCTCTAGTTCGAAAGGAGCACAAGCTGAAAACTAAGGCTGTAGTACAATCTTTGCAGGCCAATATTTCAGATACTGTCTCTGTAAATATTTAGAAACTACACAATTTTGTGCATGACATTTAACAAGAATACTCAGTGAGAAGGTATTGAACAGGTTTGGAACACCAAACACTCACCAATATTTTGAAAACCTAATGCAATAAATTTCACAATATGGTTTGAAAACAACAATCAAAAACATATGGAAACATCCTTACATGTTTAGACTATACACAGCAGTCCCTTTGGGTAGCACACTTGGCTTGTAAATTTATGTTAACAAGATGCCTCTTGCAGGTTGAAAAGGCTAGTATTTCTCCAATCTTTCTGAATCAATTCATTCACTTGATAACATTTTTTTCTGAATGATCTTTCATAAGTAATGGACTTTATGTGATCACATTTTACAGATGCTCTTCTCAAAGCAGTCTCACTTGAGGCCTGTAAATACCTTCTCTACCACAGGGTTGAACTTAAAGGACTGCCACTGTGTATTAAAATGTACTTAATGCAGTAGAAACACTTCAAATTTAAAAAATTACAAAAGCACAGAAGTCATGAAAGCAGAATGCTGGCAGTGAATTTTACATGCCTATAAGCACAAGGTAATAGCAGAGCTATATTAAATCAAGCCACTATGATTTTCTTTCAGTGACATAAATCAACTGAAAGTTTCAGGAAACTTAAAGAAAATAATGGGATTAACAAAAAATTGGAAACAAAAGAAAAACTGTAGACATTCTGTATCTTTTCCGTACATATCCTACCCAATAAATTTTGTTCCTTGTGGACCAAGCTGCAGGATTCGGCTAACCATGCTCTCACCCTCATTTAGAGGGGGAGGACTTTTAGGAAGATGCAGTTTACTGAATAACATCCATGCAGCAGGAAGAGAAACGAGAAGGGGAAATTAGGAACAAGCTGTCATTCCCGACAGAACCAGCAGTTTATACCAGGGTGCCACTCACGGTAATGAACAAAATTTATAATTAGGAAAAAAAAAGGCCACATCATAGTGGATTGTTTCCCCTATTTTAAGCTTTAAAAACAGTCAGTTCCTGTCATTGGTACTACTTGTACCACCACTCCACAGCAGGTGCTCCAAGTGGTTTGGCTCCACAAGACGGAGACAGGCAGCTCCCAGCAACTCCAGAGGGAGCCATGCACATGCTGGGAACAGAGCTCAGTATCTGTGTCCCTGTGGGTGTCTCTAGACAATTCTTTGTGATAGTGCTGTTTCTCTAAATACTCTACAAGCAGGAGGGTCAAAACCTGCTCCGGGTTGTCAGTGTGTGACACCTCCTGACTCCCAAAGCAGGGCTGCATGACTAGATGGGGATGGGACCTGGCTTTCCTTACCTTCACCTCCATCCTGCAGTCATCAAAGAGGCAAAACTCTCCCTAAAATGCAAGGGTTCTTTACCGAAAGAATGGTAGGTTGGCATTTTTTAATGCTTTAAGTTAAGTAGCCTGTGCTACAAGCTCAGATGAGTTAATGTTTAACTACCTGGATCCACAGGATAAAGCGAACGAAAGGTGCGACATGAGCATAAACAATTAAACTCACAGAACAACTCACCCTAAAAACTGTGCCCCTGCTGGCCCCATTTCTACAAGGCGACTTGCCAATCCTTCTCCTTCAACCATGGGTGGTGGGCTGGCCAGTTTGTGCCTCTTGACCAGGCGGCAGGTGATGCGGGTGGGCGCCGTGCACTTCCGCGGCGGGATGATGATCCTCATGCCATGGTGCCGACTGCCCCGCATGGAACCCCCGCGTGCATCCACCATAAAACTCACCAGGAAACTGCACAAAAAAGAAAACACTTCAGTGAAAGTCGTCTTGAAACAAGCAGAAGATCAGCAAAACATCAGAAGACACAGACTTCAAAACATTAGAAAAGTCATCCCGATCTCAGCTAAACTAAAAAGAACATAAAGATACTTTTAAAATTTGTACTTGCATGTCAACTACTGGTTATCAAAAGCAGGAATTACTAAAGCTCTAGTAACATCATGGTGAAATGACCATGTTCTACTGAGCAATTTGGATTAAGAGTGTACACAAGTAGTGTATTAGTAGTGGTTTGTTAGCATTTTAAAACATCCCTTTGTTGCTGTTAGCTCTATTGTCCACAAATGAAAGTAATTAGCCTCACATGCATAAAGCAACCAGACAGTGTAGAAAAAGGAGAATCAAAAATGCTTATTATTTTAGGAACCTCATTCTCCAAAACCTTCCCTCTGCCTCATTTGCAACTACTCTTGATGGATGCCAGAGCAAATGCCAGCAAGACGGGTGAGAGACCAGGCTGCTATGGGCTTCCACTGATGGGGAAGGTAAGTGATGACTACCAAGTACATAACTTCCTTTAGGCTGTTGGCTCCCTGGAGGAAATCATGCCATTACTTCTCTTTGAAGATTAGATTCATTAGCAAAAAAAAGAGACATTAAAGAAAAATCGCACTTGCTAGTGTCATTCCAATGCATAACTTTCCATTTTTTCATAAGGGGGTAAGAAATTATATTTGTAAATGATGAGTGGTGTATTTTTTAATAAAATCCTTCCTATTAGCATGGGAATAATTAAAATTAACAATTCATATTAGAATAGCTTCAGGTAGAAGATGCAATAACAGGCTGGTACCAGGAGGGACACAAGTTACCAGCTCAGTCTTGAAGCCAGTACATGTTTTGTTTGTTCCTTCTGTATGACAGACACTGACATAGCTGACACATCTGTCATGTGGCTTCACTATTTTCAAGGCTGTTGCCAAAATTTCCAGCTTTTAAGAACTAAACCTTCATGTGACTAACAGGTGAATCAATTCAATTTCCTGGCTCCTGACAGAAAAGTGAACTAAGAGTGTCAGGGAGTACTCCAGGGGATTGAGATGACTCTTGGAAAAAAGCCCCCAAGTGCTCTGAAGTAGGACTGGGAATTTGTGCAACACAGTTCCATTTGCTTTGAGACCAGCAGGATATCAACAGCAGCACTGACAGGCACTGGCCAGGCCTGCAGAGAAACTGCATTCAGAAGTCTGGCCAACATGGGTGGGAAAAGTCTGCACAAAAGCAGGAGAGAAATCAACATTTGGTATTTAGCGGTCTGCAGGAGGGAAGTGAGTAGGGACACAAGCTATAAATATAGGAAGTATGATGGAAATGTTGTCCAGCTGAGTTCCAGATCAAGAAGTTGCTACATTGCCTTTCTTCAAATTAAAATCCATCAGTAAAGATGGGGAGGTAAAACTGCTTTCTGAGATGACCCTAGCCCAAATTTACAATTTCTCATACGCCAGACACTTTGCAAAACGGAGGCATGATATTTCACAGTAGTTTTCATACAGAAAAACTGTATCCACGTTCCATGCTTCTCTCCTAGATAAATGCACTGTACACGCCAACAAATCCAAATGTTGCCACTAGGGTATCCCAGCTCCCCACAAAAGGAATTGTTTCAGCAGGACAGGATCTTGGCTAACCAAATGCTTTCCATAAACATTAGACCTGTGTCAGAACCAGTATGCTCAATCTTTAAATTATATACTCTATAAATAGCAACTATAATCTTAGTATTTATGATGCTTAGCTGGCCCTGGGGCCCTCTCAGACTGGAAGTTTGCAGGGTGGAGGGATTCCTGGCTGGAGCATCCCCAGGGCTGAAGCTGCAGCAGCTCCAGGGAGGCACAGCTGGTCAGAGCACCATGGAGGAGCCTCCTGGGGAGCTTGGCAAGGCTGGGCTTGGCCTGATGGCCCAGCACAAAGCAATGTTTTGGAGAGCTGCCCATCATGTACATGGTAACTGGCTTGTTAAGCCACCTCAGAATTAATAATGGAAAGGAGGCTTTCACCTAGTGCAAAAATGCCAAAACTTACACTCAAATAAGATGCTGTCTTCTGTACCCAAACTATTTAAATGATGGAAAGCATGTAAGAGTAAATTGCCAAAAATCTCTAGGCACCTAAATCAACTGTCTTAAATTCATAATTAAAAAAAAAAAAAAAAAAAAATCAATAGAAGTTAAAACTAAGTACCTACAAAAATCAGTCCCTGAGTTACCAGGGATGTTTAGGATGTAGATTTTAAGGTCAGTCCAGCCTCAGCAACCAGGAGCTTTGCACTGCTCACAGCAAGGGTGAATAACCCTTGGCATGAGCCTGTGCCCAGGGCAGGAACCAGCCCCTTCCAGCTTTGGTGTCTGCGCCACACTGCAGCCCCCAGTGTAGACAAAACCTGCAGCACAACCTTGGTGCATATTGCTCCCAGAGAATGGCAATCACTGTCAGCAGCTTATTAATGAATTATTTCCTTGTTTAATCTTCTGATTAGTAACTTACCGTGTAAAACAATAACAACAATTCCAAACAGTATTTCATGCACTTTCTAGCTAAAAACATTAGTAGCTGATGCTTACCTAAATTAATGTTGCACTAACAATGGAAACTACAGTATGACCTCTAAAACATAATGCTAAAGGCTAATGAGTGTTTCTACTTGGATACATGGAAGGGATGAGGATGTGGTTGGATGCACTACAAACATCTACACACACTCTGTGGGAAAAAAAAAGTTTAAAAAACAAAATAAAATGAGGATTCACAGAAAGCACTGAGTTATCACCTTGAATCATACTGGGGGAGTGGAGAGGAATAGCTGCAAAATAATTTGGAAAGCAAATGGGAAAATTAATGTAAGATAATTAGAGGCAAGCAACAGAAAATATCAATAATAAGTGCAAAGAAAAAGTAACAATCAGAAAAACAACAAAAGCAACATGTTTGAAGGCCAGCTTTAGAAATTATTTGGCTTTTGCTTCACATATTGTGACATATGTCATATAAAATATGCTACACATGGAAAAAAAATCTGAAAGGGAGGCACAACTCTCTAAGTTCTCTGGAAAATGCAGAAGCACAAGGAGAAAAGCATTTGCTGCTAAATGCTAAGTTGGCAGTGAATTTATTGCAACACAACTTCTTCATTGAATTCCAAAAACATGCTCCTGTGTGCCATGGAAAACCAGTTCTTGCACTTTTCTAGAGCAGAGTTTATTTTTCTAGAGCAAGAGTTTATTTTCCAAAGCATAATGTATAAACATATATGTGGCAGGATGCTTGAAAGGAGTATCAGTCCATGCCATCCATTGCACTGCTGCCAAAAACAAGTTTTGTGTGCACAGCAGGTTGGAGTAAATTATATACAGTTCATATCATTAAAACTACATATAGTTAATATAATTTAAAATACAGTAAACTATAAAGAATCTGATTTATTCAACTTTGCAAGACTGGATCCAGTATTTCTGAGCTTTTCAATATTGGAAGGCAGTGTGGCACACTTATTTCTTTCTTTCAGCTAGTAAAATGAAGGAGTTAAAGGCAACACAAAGAGAGAACACCCACATATTACTTTGGGAAAGCTGCAGGAGTAAGTTCACATCTGACAGCTGAAGGTCATTTTGGTGAGGGTCTCTACCCTTCCAGAGGCCTCAAGATTCATGATGTATTTCAGTGTACTGCTTACAATGGACCCTGTTCAAAACATATGCTGGCAAAACAACTTATCTGAACTCAAGAAGAAAAACATAAAACATTCTCTTGGCTTGAAAAAAGGAAAAACCAGAAGAGTTGAAATCACTGCCAAGAATTTTTACTTTCTTCCCCTTTCACTGATACACTGCTGGATCTCCACATCCTGCTCCCAGAATTCCCCTTCTGCCTGGGTTAGGAAATAAGAACAAGCATTGATGCTTTCCCCTGACAGTGGGCAAATGGGGAAAGAGGGACCCGAGGCAGCAGTGGTGCTCCTGGCATGGCACATGGGGGAGCCCTGGGATGCTGGAGATGGCCAAGAGCAGTGGGCTCAGAGCCTGGCCACAGGGCCACCACACCACCAGGGCTGACAGCCCTGGCCACAGACAGAACTGGGGACAAAGACAGGGATGAAGCACCCCAAACAAGCAGAAAAGGATTTGCTGTTTAGGAAAAACTGGCAGAGGAGATGTGAAAAGTCATGGTCCTCTGCATATCAGATGGGCTGAGGGGCTGGAAGATTAGAAGGGAACATCTGTTGATTGCCTCTAGGTGAAGATAACCAGGAGAATCAAACAGTATATTATAGTATGGGGACACAACTGAAAAGTAAATAAGCAACAAGTGAGATTTGGGGTTTTTTTCCTGACTAAGGAACAGAATCCTCAGAGCATCACTTCTGATGGATTTTCTATGTCAAATAAGAAATGTAATGGGTCTGAAAAGCCCTGTATGTCTGGAGAATATTTTGGTTTATGCCCATCTGGAGAACTATACCTGTTTGGAGGATATCTGTCCTCTCCCTGCCACCCAGCCCCATGGTTCGCTCCCCTCTGGGCAGCAGCTTAGACCACCTCTGCATTTGAGACAGCCCATGTACCAAGGGAGCAGCAGATCTTATGTGAAAGCCCCCTTGTCCACAGAATCTATGTGTTGGAGGGCTGGAACCACTGGTGAACAGGCTGAAGACCTAAGGGCAGGCAAGTATTGTCCCAGAGGACTGGCAGAATGAAAACATCAGCTCTATCTTCTATCAGGATGAAAAGAAACCAGAAAATTTTAGATTAATCAGTCTAACCCAAATTACCAGGAAATATTCAGGAATAAATTATTTAATAATCACTCTATAAGGGCCTAAAGAATCAAGGTAATTAGTCAAGATATTGCACCTTTCCTACCACCAGTCTCAAAATAAAAACAAACTGAAAATATAAGTGGCAAGAGCAATTAATTCCAAATGAATATGAATTCCTTCTTTGATGTGTGGAAGTACTGCCTGGGTACCTCAGCAAGCAATGGAGGTAGAGTACAGATAAGGTAAGTGCAGGATCACCTGAGAAGTTACCTCAAAACAGATACCATCAGTGCTTTCCTGTTACAGTGAAAGAGAACTTCAAGGGCATATTTCACTGTACTGTCCTGGCACAGGCAGTAGGCTAAATGTCTTCTCAATTTCAGCGCAGAAAAAAGGTCTGAAGTGTCTTTGGAAAATAGGATCAGAATTAAAAGCTCTCTTGCTAATAAATGGGAAAAAGGAGCTAGAACCAGCAAACTGAAATACCATAGAGACAAATGCAAACTGAGGGGGAAACCAAGCACTTAAACACAACACCAGTAAAAATTAACCAAACTTCAGGATTTCAAGAGAGAGACGAGAAATTCTAGCAGATCACAGTCACCAATAGAAAGTGAAATTACCAAAAGGATAACTCTTATTGTGGGACTGCTTAACTGTGCTATGTGTCAGACCATGAAGGTGGAAATCCTGGCTTGCAAACAAGCTCTCATCAAAGAGGGGAGAGCTGGGGCAGAGCAGCAGGGATGTGCTGGCATGGGGAAAGCAGCACCTAGGAGGGTCTGGGACATTTCAGTCTAAAAGGCAGGATTACATGTCTTCAGACACAGAAAACAATTAAGAGACCAGTAAGATACTGTTCTCCATGCCCACTATGGATATGACAGTGGATATCCACTATGGGTAAGAAACAGAAGCCTGCAGCAATGAAATGTTAAGCTGAGCATTAGGGGAAGAAATAGTACAACAAAAGATAGTGGACTCCTGAAGCTTGGGGCCTATAGAATCTCTTATTTTTAGTGATTATTAGGACATTAGATATCTTTCAGGAATGGCTTGGCTACATTTTATCCTACAGCAAAGGAAAGGGTTGGGCTACCAGCTCTCTGTGGTCATTTGCCAGTGCACCATTCCATGATAACCAACAATCTTCAGCTTTTCATACTGCAATTCTCGACATTTTAATGCTAGTACTGGCCATGTGCATTGTTTTATCAGCTTGGGACCTAAAAATCCACTGTTGTACAGATCTGTTCAGCAGATGCAGATGTGCATTGTGGGACTGTGGCTTTAGATTTGTGGGGCTTGCTGCATTGGAAATGAAATATTTTGGTATGTGCCACACTCATTTTTATGACAGGAATGTAATTAGTCACAAAATGGGGAAGTAAATTAAAGCGGATATGAGATTTTATGCCCTGACCTCAAAAACTAAACAACAAATATTTACACTAGCCAATCTAATAATATGCAAAGATTACTTACACATTCATTTGCAAATTTTTACAATATGCATTCAGACATCACTACTACTGCATTTAAATCAAATCTGTGTGGCACTGTCAAGAAGCACCTAAATTACAGTGATGACTCATAAGTAAACAAATAGCACCACTAAAATCAAACTACAGATATTGAGACTAGGCAGGAGCTTGAAGTATAAATAAAATAAGAGACCAAATTAAAGCCCCTCATTTTTTCCTTCATGAAAGAACAGAAAGCAAAACATTCTATCTCAGATATCATATTCCAAATAATTTAACACAATGCAAACAAAATAATTTATGACACTTAAAACAAAGCATAAGCAAATGAAAAAGCAAAACAGGACTCTTAAAGAGAAGCCTGCAGGATTACAGTGTTCAGCCATTCAGAAAATTAAATACAGAAATAAGTTTTTGGTTTGATATTCAAGAATTTAGACTGACTCCTGTTATTAAGCACCCTCCTTGAAGTCAGTGTGAATTTTGCCACTGGCTTCAAGTGAAGCAGGAACAGACACGTTATCAGCCATTAGAGCAGGCTGTGCTCTGCACCTAACAATACAGTTCCACATCTAAAGATAAAGGAAAACTGTTAAGTGACCTACCCAGAATGGATGGGACTCGAAACAAGGTTAACATTGTCCAAGGTGTCTGCAGCCCAGCTATAGTGCCTGAGAGAATCAGAATCAAACTCCCTTTGAAACGTCAGGTGCTTCAAAACAAAACAGATAAATTGAAAATTAAAATTAACATTAGAAACACTTGTCTTAAATATAAGCTTGTTAACAAAATTATATTAAATTTAGATCTAGTCCTTTCCATTTAACAGTGCTGACAGCTCCAGGGTTAAATTACTGGACATCCTGTAACGGAAATATGAAATATACACACAAACTCTTGTTTCTTCAAGCATTCTTTTTGCCCACTTTTTGCACTTCCTTCCGTTTCAAGAATGTCTCTCCCCAGTCTTTACTTACTTTAATGTGCCAGGTTAAAAAGTGAAAAGAAAATATTACCATTTGTACTGCAGTCACACACCATGCAGACAGGCAGTGTAACACCACTGCTCAGAGGATGCCATTGGATAGATCCTTATTCGAGCAGAACCTGGGAATAACTTCCCTGGGAGTTTCACTGAGGCTGTGAACGCAGGAGGAGGTTGGTTTTACACAACCAACACGGGCACTGTTTTGTGGAGTGCCACTGCCCCTACTCATCTGGACAGAAATAGCTTTAACCCTGTGAGGCTATAATTAACACCCCCCGGGACAGCCTCTGAGGTGTGACTTGTTTCTCCTGCTGCCCACGCACATGGACATTCACACACCCTGTGCCCCACAACACCCCTCACACTACAAATCCTCCTACTGGGCAGCAAAGCTACTCCAGAAAAATACTTGTTTTCCTTTGTTTCTCTAGTCTTGGGAAATGAAACCAACTAAATTTCAAATACTGTTTCCCCCTATTTCCAGGGTGATATGAAAGCATCTCCCCAATTTAAGAAGCACTGTCATAAATTACATCAATAAAAGTAAGTCAAAAAGCAACACACAGTCTTCACCCAAGATGGTGTTAAAAATGTCAGTGTTTCCTCTAAGTAGGTTGTTTGCTGCTTAGAGGCAAATGCAGCTAGAGAGAGCAGCCTGTTTGGACTGAAACCTCATGGGCTGTTTTCAAATCAAATTCAGTGAGTTCAAGTCAAACCAGAGCCAAGCGCATGCTTCTAAAATCTTATTATTTCCACCTAGGTTTTTTTAATATGTTGACACATGCTGGTAGTGGAAATTAATTATTTTGAATAGAAATATCAGCATAAGAAGTAAATCTGGCAAATTCAGTCATAAACACACAAAAGTACTTCTCTTGAGAAGCTTCCACAAGATAAGCAGGCAGAGAGTTGTTGTGTTGCCGGCTGGAATGTGCAACACTCCCATCACTCTGGGGTTTCCAAAAAACTGCTCTCTTTAGGCATTTCTTTCATTAGAAATGAGGATCCCAGGTTTCCTTCCAAAAACTATTGACACTGTAATTTACTGCCCTTCAACAGAAACCCCTGCAGAGTGCAGCTCTGCTCTGTCACTCCTGGCTTGGTGCCTCCTCCTTTCCCTGGTTCAACACTTCAGTGAAGGATCTTTTGTTAAACTTTGTGCTCTAACAGATGTACTTGAGACCTGACAGTTCAACACAGAGGGCAAACTTGCATATGCTAAACAGCAAAATACACCATCAGACATAAAAGGTAAAATGAATGCTGTCAAAACAATGACAATTAAGCATCCCAAGTGGACTTAATTAGTGCCATTTGAAATATGTGTCATAATTTAGTTTAATGAAGACAGTTTTCTTAGTCTTTCCAATAAGATACTAGGGATTCTCCAACATTTCTTGGAGAGTCTGTGGTTTAGGCAGGAAAGCCATCACTGGGGATTTCTGCTATTCCAAATGATTTGTAAGAGCTCACACTGAGCACATTATTACTTTTGATACCAAACAGTGTAAGATTCAGACAGGCTGTCTCAGGCATTGTAAAAATGTAGTTAAACAAAAATAAATATATTATTTTGATCGGTGATAAACTTTATCATCAAACATAGGACAAAGCAAAAAAACCACAAGAAGTGGGCTAAAAGGAACAATACAATTTGGTGTTTGTCCCTGAAAGGCCTTCTAAACTCTATAGTCACTGCACCGAGGCCCAGACATGCACCAGGACACACATCAACAAATAAACGTGGGGTCAGGGTCCCTGTAACAGAGCTTATGCTCCCTTAGCAGAGGGATATAGAAAACTAAACACAGAGCCATATAAATTCCAAGGAAATACCATCACTCCAAAATAATCTGTGCTAGACAGAGGTGCTCCTGCACCCATGGATGTGCTCTAGGTTTGCCTACACACCCAGGTGGGTTCCTCAGTCTGGCTCCATGTCCTGAGACATGGTCTGCACTCCAGGTGACTGGGTTTTTTTAAAGCATTCCTTTCTGACCAAGTGCAGTCAAACAGATCTTTTGGACATATGTAGAGCAAGCAAAAGCCCTAAGTCTGCAGCTAATAATTTGGTGGAGAAAGAGAGTAGGAAAAGCTGATTGCTGGACACACTCATCTTACACAGAGCACAAATATGTGAATCTCATTTTTTCAGCCTGTTGAGGTGCTGGATTTTCCATGCACTCAAAAAAAAGAAAAAAAAAAAAAAAAAAGATAGTACATTGCCAGTGACATTAAATCACAGGATCCATTCTACGTTTGGTCAGGTCCCAGTGATCTCTCCCTGGACTGGGGGAGATTAAAAATGCATTGCTGAAGGGTGTGGCAACCTCAGATGCAAATGTGTGTATAAAAATACTGAGTGTTCTGCTGGCAAGGATCCTGCTGGTTGCATAACTGAATATCCAGGCTGTGTAATATCAAAGTTCAGCAAACAGAAAAATTTATGCTTCCTCCCAGATGAATTTATCCAGACTGAAGTGATTCAGCAAGCTGCTATTTAATGGACAGCCCAAGTCATCCTGCCTTTGGCTGATTAAATTCAGAGGTTGATGTAAATTATTCCATGGAGAAGTCATTTGGATTTAGTCTGAGTTGCTGCATCCAAGGTAACATGCCAGAACACAGAAATTTTAACTTTGCTCCAGCCAGGTTATAAGGAGCAGTGTGGGCTGGATTCAGAGTTCCCTGTGAACAGGGTCAGCAATAAAACACCAAATGCAAACAATGGAGAATATAATGACTTCTAAAGAATTATTAGAAACTCTTCTCTAACATTCCATGTGTTATGCTGGCAGTGAGGTTCGGTAAAGAATGGTTTCAAATCTTCCTCATTTGACTCCTTCCAGTCTCCCAAGTCTACCAGGGATCCTGGAGAGAGGTGATGGGAACTGCTATCTTAACTAGACCAAGAGGTAGGCAAATGTTCCTTACTCTTTAACATACTGATGTTTGTCATAAAATTAATTCCCAATAATTGACTCCAGACAGGTTCTGAGCTGTACAAAAGGAGAGGAAATGGCATACACAAGCAGGCAATGGATCACTCTGTTTCAAAGTAGTGTGATTCCCAAAATAGCCTCAACTCCTCTCAGTACCCAGACAGACTTTCAGAATATTGGCTTCAAACTACAAAGATCCTGTGAATCTCATTGGTGGAACGCAATAGTGCTTTTTACCCCTGCTTTCTACTGCCATAACAGAGATTATCTAGGAGCCCATTAATGTACAGAGGGATGAGAAAGAGGGGCAAGGATATTCTCCATCTTCCAAGTGCACTTCTCCTGTTTCAGCCAAAAGCTAGGGCTGGGCTGGGCAGAAAATCACAGGAATTACAGAGGATGGATATATTTTTGTCAGGACATGGAGGTTCAGCTGGTCTCCCTTACTCATGAAGATAGTCTGTTGTTTTCATATTTGTTTTGCACAGAATCATGGCTTTACTAACCTCTCAAGACAGGATTGATATTTTTTCCCAGTACCACATTCTTTGAGAGTTGTCAAGCATAGAGCTGGTTTTAAGCCTTGCTATTTTCACCCTAGCTGCTCAATCCACGCCGTCTACTTTAATGGGAATCACGAACATAGCCAGAATCATAAAATGATGAAATATATTCTCAGACTGAAGAGTCTCCCACATCTCTGAAATTTACATCATATCAAAAATGCTTAATGAAGTCTTAGTATTAGAGGGCATCAAAGCAGCTTTAGGTGCGCAGCCCTGACATAGAATTTCCAGTGCCAGTAGTTGCAGATTTTGTTTTATGACTTCAAACCAAACAAAACCACAAAATCACTGCTATGCAAGCTTTGGAAACTCTCCTTAGATGGCTGTTGCAAATTAAGGTTATTGGAGGTTTACAGCATTCCACTTAAAAGTAACAATCTAATAATAAACATTCTGTTGCTAAACAGAATCCAATGTCTGCCATTCTCATAATACTACCAGAACTGTGTGTAAAAGCCGTAGTAAAACTGGATGGCTTATCCTACAATAGAATTTACAGACTAATACAATCAAGGTTAAAAATGTACAAGTCCTGCTCTGTGGACCCTTTCCCCCATGAAAATATCCTCTGAGATCAATAACCCCCCAGTGCAGGAATGCTATGTGAAAACAGCAGCAGAAAAGCTCTGTTTCATTACAATCCACCTTAGGCTTTTCCAGGACATAAAAAACAGTTCCACTCCACAGTCCTTTCCAAGTAAGGATTTTTACGAGAATTTTTGTCCAGCTTCCTAGCAGGTCTTTGACTTCTGTGCATCTAGAAACTCTTGATAAATTCACAAACAAACTCACAAACAAAGCATACTGTACTCAATCATCCCCAGCTTTTGTAAAGACGTTGCCACACTATAATCAGGTCAAAAGATGCTGCTTTTGTTGCATTACTCATTGCACAAGTGTTTGGAAGATATATAAACTAGAGAGTCTATAATAGCTTAATCTTTACAAGGCCAAATTCTTCCCAAGAGTGAAAAAACAAGGACAGCAGCTGGAGTCCCCTCCATGTGGACAGAACAGGCAAAGTAATTCCCAGTCTGTGCAGTACAAAGGTTGCTTAGTGCAAAACTCGTTGCTCCCAGCTTATCAAAGCACTCTGAAGACACACAGAGTAACAGGAGCCTCGCAGGAGCACCCACTGACCTCGGCCAATAACCAACCCCACACTCAGAGTCCTAACTGGTCCTTTAAAGACTCTTTTGGGTTGGGACCCCACCACCTGCCCCTTGCAGGATCAAACCCAGAAAACGGTAACCCCACCATCTCTTGTTCACAGCTCCTTCCTTTCCCAGCGAGGGGAGCAGGCAGAGTCTCTGGAAGCACAGCTGAGGCCTCCACACTGCCATGCCCTGCAAATGGGAAGCACAGCTACCTGGTGGCACAGGCACAGCACATACCTGATCCTTGGCTGGCACCAGCAGCTCCTCAATCATCATGCTGTCCCGGGCATAGGAGCTCCTGTTCAGCGTGTAGGACCTATCCGAACTGAAGGAGCGGAGGCTGTTGTATTTACCATTTATCATAGAAAGTGCAGGTGACAATGAGATGAACAGAAAATAAAAATAAAAAAAAATTAATACATGCAACTTCCAGGGATAGCACAAAATGGCAAAATATACATCATATGTGAAATAAATACAAGGAGGAAAATGGAATAAAAAGTATTTGACTATAGTTAAATATTCCCTTCCCTACAATATGCATAAGCAAAATCTCAGCAGATGCTTACTGCTTTGGCAGTAATGTTGTGGCTTTAGAATAAATCTGGAAAAGTGTATTCAAGTATTTAGATGAACTTTGATAAATATCTCCATGCCCTAATCCTGAAGGCGACCCACAAGGGCAGGTCCCAGGGGAGCTGTGGGTAGGTCACAGTGCCTGCCCACACAGCTCAGGTTGCTGAAGCAGGTTTAACTAAGAGCAAGTTTCATGTGATGTCATTCTCTTTGTGGCTGAACCACTTCTGACATTGTTACAAACACCGTAGTTATCCCTAGAGTTAGAAAGGAAAGGATAATAAGTTGGAAATGAAAGGAGAAATAAATTTGCTTAATGACAACTAAGTACAGATTCTGATGTTTTGGGAATTATTTTGTGCATGTTAAACTATTTAGAAATAACTATGATCACTCTTAACGTGTTGCAATTAAACCAACGTGGGAGTGTTTTACATTTAACCCTGGAAGGTACATTATGGTATGTGCTAAAAACATGCTGCAGGCCTAGACATGCTTGCTACGTGACAAAAAATAAAGTAGTAAAAAAACGTGAATTAATACAAAGCAACATCCACCAACATATTACACTTTTGAACTAGCAACACTTTTCACACTCAGAACTCTACAATGTGTTTCATGCATTTAGTAGTTGCTAATTGAATTTCTTTAATCCCTTAGCACGCGTTCCTTCTTGTGCTGGAAGCAGAACTGGGATCTTAATTACACACTGTAGGCATATGTTAAGCAGACTTTTACATGATAAAGGGCATAAAGAATTTAAGTTATATTTGTTATAACAGTGGGATATTCTCTACGGGTAAACCCCCTGCTCCCCAAAATAAAAGCATGTCACTTTTATACTAAATAAACTACTAAATAAAATGAAGATGAGCAATGGCAGCAGCAGAAAGATGAGAGAGATGTAACACACGATGCCATGCCTTCTTACCTGACTTTTGGACTAAAGCAATTTACATTGGAAAAGAAACAGGAGAAATAGAAAGCAAAGAATCAGACAGGAAAAGCAAGATGTTATGGCTGGATGGCTTATATATTTAATGTGTTCATTTCTTAATGTTACACTCAGAATCAGCAGTAAGATACATCCACAGAATACTTTTTTGGCTAAATTAAATACTTCACAGAAAAAAATCCACTGTATTTGTCTCCTCTGAGCATAACATGGGCAACGTAAAAAATGAGCTACGCAGCAACAAATAGTAATGGCACTGCTAAAACCAGAAGCATGGGAATATTAGATTCCTCTCAAAGAAAAGATAACATGGGGTTGAACCTCAGCTCTCCCTAACAGATGGTGACTGTGGAATCTGCTCTCCCACCTGCACAGGGAGCACTCTGTGCAAGAAGAGAGCTGTAAGGAGTGAAACGTGTCAGGTAAATCAGTGTGGGGCTCAGCACAAAGAACATGTTCCCTCTGCATCCCCACTGCCTTGCTCCAGCCCTGATCACAGTGACAGGGCTGTGTGATCACCCTGCTCACAACAGATTGGAAAGCAGCACGTCAACTTTGTTCATTCTGGTTACGATGACATGAGATTCTGCCTTCAGATCTAATTTGCTGATTTTCTGGCTAATGGACTATTTAAAGCATCTTGGCATTTCTCATGAATGTATTATCTCAAACACTTATTAACTTCCCTAAAAATTGTAAATCAAGCACAACATGGCTGGGGACTACTAAAGAGCAAATTTCCACTGCATGCTTGCATTTCTAATGTGGCCATAAGAAACAAGACTGAGGGGTAGGCATCTAAGCTTTACCTTATGGGAGTTGCCATTTGCTGTTAGACAATGAACTCACTTTTTAAAACAGATCTTTAAACTACAGCATAGGAAAAAGCCCTCAGGGCTCCAGCTTATGAGGTTTAATTATTAGCTTCAGTACAATTCAACTGTCAGTAACTACACTGCAAGTCCACAACTATGGAAGCAATCTCTGCTCACACAGTTTTAACTGTTTTGAGCAACATACAATGAAGGCTTTAGCAACAATCAAAAATAAAATCTAAAATGTTGATCTGGAAATACCTGCATTGAAATTAACATTAGTCAGACAACATATTAATTTTACAATGTTTTATCAGACTCACAGAAACTTTGGCCTGTTTTTCATAACACGTAATCCATTCCCTGTCAAAATTAATCCTGCAACAAATTTAGGGGAACCTGCCTTTTTTTTTTTTTTTTAGAGGGGAGGAGCATTTTTTTAAAATGTTGTCTTTTTCAATTGGATTACTCACTAGCACCTTTAAAGAAATAAAGCACCAGATAGCAAAATGATTGGTCATTCAGTTTTTCTGGCATTTACATTCTTCAGCAAAACACAGCCATTAAGGAGCCCTCAATTGTGAGCATCAGTCTGACCAGCAGTAGTCAAAAGGAACCAGGCTTTGCTGGCTGCTCTAGATTGGTTTCTAGAGCAGCTGCAGACTGCTAGCAAAGAGGTACCTTGGAGATGTTCAGAGCACGAGCAGAGACCAGAAAAAGTGAATAGTTAAGGTTTGTGCATCATTGCCATAAGAAGCCAACATGAATAAAGAACATGAAATAAAACTGCAATGAACATATGCTTCAAAGGAAGTACACCCCCTCTACTTCACTTCAAAACAGACTCCAGTGCTGTGTGGAAGAGCACGCTTGGTTTGAGAAAACTTGTTCCTGTGGTGACACACGAACATGAGAAACAGCAAATACAGTACCTGGCAGAGCGCGCTCCCAGGCTGAAGCCCATGTATCCTTCAGCAGGCAGAGAATCATCTCCCAGCTCTTTCAGATCCTGGGGTCCGAGGTATTTGTCTGTATCGCCTGTCATTGCATCCTCACCTGCCGGTACAAGAGCCAGGCTGGAATCAGAGCTACACGTAGGGCAGATGTTTGTGCGCTTAGTAAGTCATAACGCCCTTCCCTGCTCGCCAATAAGGAATCAATCCAGTCACCCCCACTTTCCCTAAGGCTCTTTCCACGTTGGATGTTAATTATCCACCCTCTGAATGTGCCTGAGAAAATAATTTTATTGGGGGACAAATGAAAGAAGCAAAATTCCACCTTGACGTAAACCCAATAAAGTTATACGAGGGATGACTTTTGCCCAATCGTCCCAGCAAGCTAAAGAGTTCCTCTGTACTTTGCATCATTGCGCTCACTTTTGCTTTCCTTATGGAAAAAACGTCCGAGCTGACAAAGTTGGATCGTTCCCTGTGAGAGGGAAAAAAAGCCAACAAAACAACAAACCAATCCACAAAACCAAACCAACCCCTGGCTGTGAGAGACAGATTGTTTGCCCACCAGCCCTGAAAAGTGCAGCAAGTTTGAATGGAGGCTGAGGAGGGAAGGAAGAGGCCCGCCGTCCACTTTGGGTATTTCTCAGTACCTTTTGGAAGTTTGAATGTAAGACGGGAATTTTAAAGGTTTATTTATTTATTTATTTGTTTTTAAGGAAGCGCTCCGCAGTGCCAGGCTGAGTCCCCAAGGTAAGCGCTGCCCCATCCCCGCGGTGCGGAACAAATCCGGGACCCCGGGCACCCGCACAGAAGGACATCCATCCTTAGCTGCTTTATCCAAAAAAACCCAACTGCAAGGAAACTCAGATGTTGGGAGAGGCGGGCAGGAGCCACGAAGGGTTAACGGAGCAGCTGCCCGCGGGGAGCATTTGCATGCCATTACATCATGCAAACCTACATTCCTGCACTGACAGAGCAAGCCCCAAAGATGCCTTTTGTGGTTGTTGGGTCCCCCCCGCCCCCCGCCCCGCTCCCTCCGCAGCACGGAGCGGAGAGCGCTCCCTGTAAACTCATGGCTTGCCGATATTCACTCTCCTCCTTTGTTGTGAGCGCCTTTTAGGTGTGCTGGTTTAAACTGCACAACAGAGAAGTTTAACAACAGCGCGTTCCCGAAGGTAAGTGACTCCCAAGCCCAGACTCGCGTTTCCCGCTTTCATTCAGGAGTTTAGACTAGTTTCCATTCACTAAACTCAGGAAACCACAGGCGAGCTCTGGTTTTAAACTAACAATCAAGTCTAAAAATACCCCTTCAGCTACTGCTTTGCAAACGGCAAACAAACAGACCAACTTTCTCCTCCAGCCCAGAAACAACCAGTATTTTAAGCAGCAAATAGAAAGCTAAAATGTTCACAATACACCAGAAAGCATTCGAAAACCCGAAACAGAAACATCATACATCAAGTGAAACTTTAAATAGTCTTACTGTTTTGGAAAGCCATTTTCACCAGCCTGGTCTATAAGGTTTTTTTCCCCTGGTGTTTCCAAGAATTCCTATTAGTCCTATTAGTCCTTAAGCAGTGATTTAGACTTAATCTCCAAACCAGCACAAGCAAACTAATCCCTGTGGGTCATATTCGCTTTCCACACAACAACTGAGATCTTCTTAACATCTTGATCTCTTCGTATGTACTTTAAGACATGTGCATCTTTGTCCTCTCAACTCAGAATAAAGTTCTTTGCAAATATGAAACAAAACGAAAAGTAGCAAGTTAAAAAAAAAAATCCCTTTTTAATCACTCTGCAGACATCCCTTTAAAGCTTCTGCTGATTGGATTACGGACTCCCTTGGCAAGCCTCTTGAATGGTGACATAAATGCAGGCACTCCAGTTATTTGTATGTAAATAGGGGTGCTGCGAGGGTGTAGTTTTTCTGTAACTCGATGCCGGGGCTGCGCGGGGCTGCGGGGCAGGCGCTGCCTCCGCCCGCCCCCGGCCCCGGAGCCGCCCTCGGCACTGCCCCTGCCCGGGGTGGGGGCTGCTGGCCACCGAGGAAACCGGACCCGAGCCGGGGGCGAGAGACCCGGGAAACTTCCAGCAACTACCAACTGAGCCGCTGAATTTGGAAACTTCTGCCCTTGCAATGCCTTCGCCCCCGTAAGGAACAGAGGCGGCATTTTCTTTAAGAGCATCGTTTGTCAAAAGCAAGGAGAATGACAAAAAAAACAACAACCAAACCCCATTCAGTCGAGCTGTAAAATTCATTAGATGTTATCCTGCTCTGCAGCTAATCCAGCCGGGGCAGGATTACTCTGATGAAATGCTCTCATCAAAGGAAAAGCTGCATCTAGGAGTGGTGATTTCAAAGAATTCCAGACATTGTTTTGTGATCGTGGGAGGCTGGAGCAAAATGGGTGGTGCACGTTTCAGCAATCCCACTCTGTTTAATTAGGTGCTGCAGCCTAATCCTCTGTGCTTCAGGTAACAGTGAGCAGTGTTTGCTCACTGCACACGGAATTCCTGCAGAGAGGGTCCCAGGGAAGACCGAAGACCAAACTGAACTCAAACAAGAGAGAAATGCCCAACAATGAGGCACCGATGAAAAAACACCAACAGATGTTGCACTGCGTTGCTGCCTTTTCCATCCTTCCCTTCCTAATAGGCTACATGTTGAAGAAAGGTGATGTCCCTGCTAACAGTGGGTAAACACAGCTATCACAAGTAGAGGAAACGGCTCAAAGTCCAGGGAAAACCAGGGGCAGTAGGTCACACAAGGGCCCATCAGTTCTAGTGCACCTTAGCCACATTTCACAAGAGACTATGGGAACATGGACCAGCAGAAGTACTCCAGGACATTTTTCTAGCTGGCACTGACTTGAGCACGTTTTCTAAACCTGAAAGAGGTTTGTATAGTCATGAACAGGTTTTTTTTCTTCTAAATTTTTCCAGTTATACTTTGAACTTGTGTAAATTTGTTATGCTCCCCACACCAAGGACTCGTGCAAAGAGTCATAAAAGTCATGCAGGAGGAGCAGCGCTTTCAAGCTGGATCTGACTCTTGCTGGTTTCACTCATGCCCACATATTTTTAGAGTTCTGGAGAGCAGCAAGCACTGCTGCTCACTTTGCCACCCATTGTATGTTCCAGCCTACCCCTCACATAATTTGTTTTATTTTCTGGGATGGAAGGTTCTACTGTTTCTAGTCTTTTCTCCCCAAGAATAATTTTCTTACCTCTTATCTTTCTCATCCCAAGTTTTCCCTGTTTTTCTGGTCCCCTAGCATGCCTCCTACAGCTGGGAATCGCAGGAGCACAGGGTAGGTGTTCTTTTTAGAGGCCAGTGAGAAATACAGGCTCTCTGGCAGCAGGAGAGAAGGCATCATGTGGCTTGGGAAAAGTCCCAGACAAAATTTAATCATAGGCTGGGATCCAGATGAGCATTTGTCATTTGGCTTTGCTAAAGATACCTGAGGATTTTGCCACTCCTTCATCGAGCCTGTCTAGGGCTGTCTTGATGACAGAAGAGGTAAAGCCACAGGGAAAAGGAGGATGTTTCAAGTCGTAGCCAAGATTTTGGTTTCACAAAATACGGACAAAAGCCAATACCAAACCACTAAAACTTTTATGAACCTGTGAAATTTTATGGAGCCAAAGAAACTCTGAAAACTGAGCTTAAAATATAATAAAATCAACCCCTCCCAAGATGACCAATAACATGCATGGTGATGTTTTGACCTGTCTTAAATGCATTTAAACTGTTGTATCTTAGCACCTACTCAGGGATCAGGCAGTGTGCATTCATGTTCAGTTAGGACATCTGTCTAATCTTCCAGGGATCGATTAGCAAGATACTTATTCTTACTGAGGCGGGCATTTCCAATAATGGGTTTAAAACTCTGTCCTGGTTTACATCCAAAAGTTTGCTATCTACTGAAGGCCAAATTAAAAAAAAAAACCAAAAACTTAAAAGTTCAAGAATAACTGTTTTTGGGTTTATGGATTACATTCCTTTTTTTGCCTTTCACTGCTCACAGTCTCTCTCCTCTGTATCAGCTCCCATGGCTTGCTGTCCCTTCCCCTCTGGGACAGCAGCAGCAGCCTCAGGGAGGGCTGTAGTGACGGGACTCCAGCTCCCTGCACCAGATTAAAGCATTAAAGCTCCTGCAGCTATCCAGAGGGATGCTGAGAGGATGAGAATGGCTCCAGAGGAGGGGATTCCTTCCAGGCCTCCTGCAGACAACTGGAGTTGATCTTTACCACGGTTGAGCCCTGCTCCCCACCAGCCCCATGGACACAGGGCTGGGACTCCCAGCTGCATGGGGAGCCAGCTCACAGCTGGAGATGGTGAGGGGAAAGTCTCAGTTTCTCCAGACCCAGGTTTACATTTGTAAGATTAGCAATATCTTCAAAAATAAAAGCATAGCACACACGCTCAGTGTGCATTAGAATTGCTCTTCTACAAACTCTCTGCTGTGCATGAAGGTGACCCTTCATTTCTTTTCCCCACAAAATCATGTTCACATCTTTCAAAAAACACCATTTCTTTGCGGTGTAGCAATTTCCCAACACTTAACCTCATTTGGGCAGACTTGCCAGAACAGTCTAGGAAAAAGAATTAAAAAAAAAATCTCTCTTCTTAACCAGTTTGACTCCAAACCAAACTGTCCTCAGCAGGGAAGAGAAATTACACAATTCTCATGTAAATACTTATTTAGTGGGCACAGCAAGACATAAAACACAAGGAAATGGTTTCCTGACATTTGTCCCCGAGCTCTGAGTCTCTACTTTCCAAGTCTTCAATTTCTCTTATGAGAGAAACCTTGAGGGTTGTGGCTCATTGAGAAGCCATTCAACAAGTCTGTCTCACTGAAGAGTCTTGGCTGATGATATGAACACCAGCCAAGCCAGGGAGAGCTTGGATTTGTTTGCTAAATTTGTGCCTTTCTCACACTTGGAAATCAGCTCCCTGGCTCTGAGATTTGTCAGAGTGCCTTACCATCTTGAACAGATTTGTTTTGGCTGGTGTAAGTGGATGCATTGTATGTAAATACCCCACTAACACTGAGGCATTGCAGGGATGGGCGTCACTGAGTTGTCTTTAAAGATCTGCACATCAGGGAAGATACACAGGCCAGTGGTCATCACCTCAAAGCTTGTAATTCATCACAAGCCTTGCAAAACACCTGTTACCTGATTTGTGAGCTCCCTTTCAGTGCTGGGTTTGAAAACGACCCTGTCATCTCAGCATCATGGAATGGCCTGGGTTGTAAGGCACCTTAAAGATCATCTAGTTCCAACTCTGCTGCCCTGGCCAGGGACACCTTCCACTAGACCAGGTTGCTCAAAGCCACATCCAGCCTCGCCTTGAACACTTTCAGGGATGGAGCACTCAAATCTTCACTGGGAAATCTGCTCTAGCTCCTCACCACCCTCAAAGTGAAGAATTTCTTCCTAATATTGAATACAAACCTACCCTCTTTCCACTTAAATGCATTCCCCTTGTCCTGTCACAACATGCCCTTGTAAAAAGTCCTTCTCAAAGTTTCCTATAGGTCCCATTTAGGTACTGGAAGGTGCTCTAAGGTCTCCCTGGAACCTTCTCCAGGATGAACAACTGAAGTCCCTCAGCCTGGTTTCACAGGAGAGGTGCTCCAGCCCTCTGATCATCTTTGTGGCCTCTTCTGGACTTGCTGCAACAGCTCCATGTCCTTCTCACGTTGGGAACCCAGAGCTGGATGCAGCACTCTGGTGAGAGCTGCCCATGGTGCTCTGGATCAGGCCCAGGACATGGCTGGACATTTCTGGGCTGCAGGTGCACATTGCCAGGTCATGTCGAGCTTCTCTTTCACCAACAGCCTCAAGTCCTTCTCCTCAGGGCTCTTCTCAATCCATTCTCCACCCAGCCTGTATTAATGCTTGGGATTGCCCTGATCTTGATGCAGGACCTTGTGCTTGGCCTTGCTGAACAGCACGAGTTTCACTTTCCCACCTGTCCAGCCTGTCCAGGTCCCTCTGGGCAGCAGCATCCCTTCCCTCCAGCATGTCAACCACACCACACAGCTGGGTGTCACCAGCAAACCTGCAGAGGGTGCACTGATCCCACTGCCCCCAGTTCCAATACCAGTCCCTGCGGAATGGCACAATCCCTGATCTCCCCTTGGACATTGAGTGCCCCATCCAGCCAGTTCCTTGGGCACAGAGCTATCCATCTATCAAATCTCTCTCTCCAATTTAGACACAAGGATGCAGAGCAGGACTGTTTATATATAAATGACTCTCTCAGCTCCCCTGGCCACAACACGGGTGCAGAATGCAGTCTGCAACATGCAAGGAACCGATTGTTCCACCTGCATTCCTGATTTATGGTTTGTCTTTGTTATACTCAGAGTTAGTGACTAGAAAAAAACCTCCACAGATTTGGCTTTAAAAGTGATCCCATACGTTACAACTGGCATCTCTAGCTCCAGCACCCAGGCTCCCCACAGGGTATTTCTGGTGTGTACCTCGCTGTGCAGTGGGACACAGCAAGTTCCTGCCCTGTTTACTCACACTATTATGCATCAGTGTTCCTGTCAGCTGAAACAATGCAGTATTTTGAGCAGGACAATGGCCTGGGAGAGCTATTTGGAAAACGTGTATGTATGGTAAGAACATGATCCATTTGGAACTGCACAATGACAGATGGGAAACAAACCAAAAGCCTCAACGCATAAATTAAACAAGAGCTGCACACAAAGAACTGAAATATCTTTTACACCTTGCTGCTTGAATGCTATGAAAATTAGAAGTAAATACATCAACAGGGATGAAGAAAGAGAGATTGACTAGAGAAAAACAAGAAAGTTGAACACAGTCATTTGTTTTTTATAAAAACCCAAGAACTTTGTTCTTTCTGCCATTGACTTTGACTATCAGCCATTTCTTCCAAAGTGTTTTGATATTTTACCCTCTTGTCCATTATTTCATTTTTCAGTTTAAACAACAAAACAGTTATTCACTTTATAGAAGCATCAGCAAAATTATTATTCCAGGAAAGTGAAGGTAATTTGATCCAAAAATCATAAGAAATTCAGAAAAAAAGTTAGAGGATTATCAGCAATAGCTCAAAGAATTTTTGAAAGCGCTCTTAATTGTAAAGCAGAAGTTATTGTTAGTGGGATAATAAGAAAATTATCTGAAAGGATTAGTTTTCAGACAGATGAAATAAAAGGAAGAGGATTAAGTTAAATATCAGCGCAATACAAAAATGCACAAATACCTTCTTCAACATCTGACAAATATTCAGCATCACTGAGTATTTCAGGGGCATTGGCTTTACGAACTGCATGATTTAAATAAACAAAACAATTAAAGAAAAGCACATACTATTGATGTGTCAACAAAATCAATGTACAACAATAACAGATGTGCAATGACCATAGCCAACTAATAATGTGTGTTAGTCTTGGGTTTTTTAAACAGACATTTCTTACAACCACAAAGAGTGAAAAAAAAAAATTAAAATTTTTAATACCTTCATCATCTGACATATCAAGAACTTCATTCATGGTTTCTGGTACATTCATTTTGTGCTTTTCTGTAACAGTCTGTAATAGAAAAAAAGTAATTCTAGAGTGCAGGCAAAATCTGTCTTAAAATTCTATTTAATTTTTAAATTAAATGCAAGATAAGATTTTTATCTGCAGTTAGAAAAACAACATAATTTTTAGCTTTTTATTCACTTTCTATTTTAAAGACGCATTGAACTATAAATTTAAAAGATCACAGAAATAGACAATATTGTGTTTGTTTTTTAAACTATGTTCATATTGTCGTAGCAGAAAAACCACAAGTAGAAAGCTTAGATGATGATATCAAAAGAAGAATCACAATACTGAAATGAACTTCACTTTAGGGGGCTTAATGAGAACTCTACGTAATAAATCTAAATTTTGAGCAAGGATTATGCCATCTCTAATAACACCAAACCTTCTGAGGGAAGTATTTCTCCTTTGACATAAGAAGAATTCTGCAAACTGGGAGTGGCTGAACCTATGTGAATTTTTTCAGAGGTGCCTCAGCACGAATTGTGTGTTTTTCTCACAAATAAGAGCAGTTGTAACCACATGCAGGCTAAATGATACCCCTGAAGGGCATTGTGCATGAAAGACACTCAGAAATAGTTGCATGGTTTTTATCCCAATATTGATTCAGACTGAAAGACCAACGTAAAGAAAAACAAAAGCAGGAAAAAAAAGTTCAGAATGCACCTGAAATCTGTTCCTAGAATACCTGTATCCTAAGAATGACATACATATGTACTCTTTTTACATTTCCAGCACAACAACTGGTAGAGATTTGGGTCAGACAAGAGCTTCTGCAGAGATACCATTCAAGTAGTGCAGTGGAATTAAAAACAAATCAACGAAAACAAAAGAAAGCCACCAAAAAAAAAAAAAAAAAAAAAAAGAAGAAGAAACAAAAAAAAAAAACCCAAAACCACACCAAAAAAAAAACAAACAAAAACCACACCCCTCAAAAAAACCAAAACAAAAACCACAAACCCCAACCCCAAACAAAGACCCACTCCCATCTTTATGGGGATTTTAGATTTTATTTTTTTAAACCATAATTACTTCTCATGCTTCATATGCAAATAAGAAATCATTAAGAAGTTCAGAAGGGCAAAATAGCCTTTCCATTTTCACTTATTTAAAAAAATTTCAGTTTTTCTCTGGCCTTATGAATACTCACTTGGCATTTTTATGTTTCTGAGTCGACTGCCATCACTTGATATAGGCAGAAGAGCTCCTCCATGCTCAAACATTACAAACATTAGAAAACCTACAGAAAAGCCTCATGCAATCATTTTGTGGGAATTACTTGCAAAGCTTTTAAATATATTTTTAAACCACCAAGATCACTGGACTTTTTTCCAGGTACTACTGCATTTTTTTTAAATTGGCGTTTGAGTACATATTACAGTAAAATTAGCTATTCATCCCTGATGCCTTTAAATTTAGCTCTGAGAGTTGTTTAGCCACAAGCCTCAGAATATAAGTCTCAGCAGTCAAACTGAATTTTTAACACTTTCAATTATAAATCAGATTTCATGTCTAGACTTCCAAGGTCTCAAAATTACACACTGATAAGTAGCATATTCTGATTTTAATGGGAATTATTTCCCGGTTTCCCTTGAAAGTAGATATTTGAGGTAGTATAGGTCTTTCAGCATCTAACATTTCCTCCAGCACAATTCAGAGCCTGACCCACCATCTCTCTACTCTTCATCTACAGAAGATAAATCATCAGTCACTTTATGCAGCACAAACATCCCCAGCTTGTTGGTTTTAAGAGCCAAGAACAGCCCTGTGATATTGAGAAATTTTAGCAAAAAATGTGTGGTTTTCCTGCGGCTAATTGAAAAGTAGGTAGTCATTCAAGTTTTGCTATCCTGTATAACATTCTCTATCAAATTTTTCTGTGTGGAAAATGTTTTGGAATCTTTCTAAAGAGAAATTTATTCCTGGGAAAACATAGAGAAAATGTGTAAGGAAAAAAAAAATCAGCATTACTTTTGAGCATATTCCTTTATATCTTATTGTTCTGAAATTTATCTTTTATGTGGTGGGTTTTCTGTAAACTACTAAAACCACAGCCAGGAAAGTCATAGGAAGCAAAGGTGCATGCAGTAACAGAACTAAAATCTGCCAGTCATCCCAAAAGCTCATCATATTGCAACCACCTGCTTGCATAAATAGACCACACAAAGGGGCGATGACAAAACATGGAACATGCACAGTAAATCTTTTCCACCCCTGGCATGTCTAAAAGAACATACATGTGCATTTTATCTTTTTAACCAGAAAAAGAAAAATAGTTGCTGAAAGCCAATATCCTGAATTTATGTTCTTCAGACCAAATTTGGGCTTTATTACTATAGTAATGCATGGAGGTGCCTCACCTCAGAAAACTTCTTCAAGAGAGCAATCTGGCAAAACATTAGTGAGCAAAAGATCCTTCTGAGAAATGTTTTGGATTCTGTGAATGTTTTTGACAGCAGGTAATATTTGACCACTGCTAGTCCCTTCAATGTCTCCTGGCTGATGCTTCCTGAGAGGCAGGACAGACAAGCTGGAGTTCACATCTACATCAGAGAATGGCTATTTGGGATTGCAGGGGCTGGCTGTGGCTGCTTGCAGAACACAGCCTTTCCCCATCCTATGGAAGGGGCCAGAAACCACACAACGAGGAGCTTTTTAAGTAAATTCCAACCATTTTTTTTTATATTGGAATGTGTTCTCTTAGGTCAAATTCAAGCCATTAAGCACCAGATCATTGGGAAATGCTCTCAAGCAGCTTCTGTTTACACAAGCCTGTAGGAACATCTTTTCAGCTGCAAAATTGTTCCCTAAACAACAAGATGTGTGGACAAAAATTGTGTGGAGAAACACTGCAGTTGTGGCCAGTCCTTTACACTGCCCATTTTCTGGTCATTTGGTACTCTTTCTGTGCACATCCTCACAGTGTCTACTACCTTAAAAATAGACAGCTCATGTTTCACTTAATATCAACTTTATACTGCTGAAAGGAATTAGGTGACTGGAATCTAGGTAGTCACGTAAATAAACAAAGTTTAGTTATAGTCATACTCTGGCTTTGGAAAAGTTCTTCCATTCCCTGCTGAAGTGAACTGTACTTACAATTGTAGTCATGGTCTCTTCTGTCACCACCTTCAGCGTGTCAACAACTGAAATGTAGCCAAGTCTCTTAGCAATGGCGAGGGCAGTGTTTCCATTCTAGCAATTGAAAATTTGTAACAGAAGTTGAATGGTAGCAAGAAGCATAAGAACTGTTGGTTAATTATAGAAGAATGTAAAATAAAAGGAAAAATGTTTACATTTTCTGATGGAAATAAACATTTGGGTAGTAGGATATATAAGTGGGATGAAATGGGATGAAAATGAGGAGGTTTTCAGATGTTTGTTGCTCTCGCTCTGGGAGAGATGATGGTACAGAGGATGTGAGGGTGATGGAAATTGGCTTCCTCTGCTCTTTTCCTGTCCCACCAGAGGCGTGTTTCAGGCCAGCACTTACCACAGTGAGCTCGTTGGGCGCGGCGCCGTGCTGGAGCAGGACGTTGATGATGTGCGTGTGCCCCTGCTGTGCCGCCTGGTGCAGCGGCGTGTACCCGTTCTGCTGGCACAAGGAGAGAGCAAAGGCACGGCTGTGGGGGCACGGCACACAGCGGGGCAGCCCCCACGGGGACAGCTGGGACACTCACCTTCGTTTTGGCATTGACTTTCGCAGAGTGCTGCAGAAGGAAGTTGACGATTTTTATGTTTCCGTAGTGGCAGCCAACGTGCAAAGGAGTGTATCCCATCTAGAATGAACATCAGCAGTCAGTAAATGTGGATATCCCACATGTGCACTGATTAAAAAAAATAATCAAAGAAAGAAAACAGGCATGAAACAGGAAAAATCCCATTAAGCTTTATTTCTTTGGACTATGTGAAAAATCCTCCAGCCTTGGAAAAAAGCACACTTCTCATGAAAGTGAATTTAAGTGCTCAGTGAGTACTTCCACTGGCTCCCTCAGTGCCTTCAGATGGATCCCATCTGAACCCATAGACATATGTGTGTCTCTCTAGGTGGTGTTGCAGGTTGCTGACCACTTCTCTTGGATTATGGAGTAGTTCACACAAGGTTACCTAATTTCAGTTGTTTTAACACACGCAAGGAGATGGTAGCTGCAATAATTACTTTAAATTTGCCTGTGCCATTTGTTTCCAGTTAATGATATACCCTTTGCCATCTATAGAAATGACTAACTTTGACAACCAGGATGAGTTAATCAGTGCCAGAAACAGCACTGAATTGAAATTCCACTGGCATCAGCAGAATGAAACTTTCTGCTGACTTACGTGAACATTGGATCAGATGCCAAATGACTACAAGGAGCTTTTCCTGCAGAGTAACAGCCCACAGCCGAAAGAGCTGGAGCAGTAGCTTAAATGAACTGAACACACAGACATCATCTTACAGATCTTGTTAGTTTAGGGTTGGCCAAATAACTTCCTGTTCCAAGGAGTGCCTGGAGTCTGACTCTCTGACAGAGCTCCCTGGGCTGTCCAGAGTCTTGATTCTTCAGCAGCATGATGACTCACAGTCATGTACCTCAAACACAGCTTCTACAGCCCCTGTCTCTACATGGGCCAAAGATAAACTCAGATTAAAGAACGGCCAAGCTATCAAAACAGTTCAAAAAACAGTAAAAAAAATAAGGCTGTGAGACCTTGTCCTACAAAACCTTAATTCCCTTCTCCCTCTTCAAAATACAGGCCTCTTAACATGACCAGCAAGGTCAAAAAAAAAAAAAAAAGTCAGCATAAAACCAACTGGAGAGATGAAATCCAAAGTCGAGGACCACCTGCCAAGAACCCCCTGTGAATAACCCTAAAACATTAAAATCTGGAGCATATCAGAGAGCCAAGACCAGCTGATCTCAGCTTTCCCTTTGAAGTGATCTGTAAAGGCTCCTCTCCAGCCTGTAACAATGAATACTGAAAAAGGAGCTATCAAACCACCCATATTTACTGCAGTGCAATGACAGTTTCCTTCTAGAAATGGTGTACACAGAGACTTACATGTGGTGCCTACAAAAATGGCTGGAGGAGCAATTATTGATGGTCTTTGTCACTCTTGACCAGTCTGCTGTTTAAATCAGAGACTATGTGAAAGCTTTTCCTCCTTCTCCTCCCAATTAGCAGTGGAAATCATGACATTTTCCAGGGTCACAATTCAGCTGAATGTGAAGGAGGCCTCCTCTGCAGCTCTGGTTGTGTGTGCAGCTGGAGGGGTGTGCACTGAAAGGCAGCTCCTGCCACGGGCACGTGTCCCCAGCAGCCGTGTGGGCACCTGCTGAGCCTGGTGGCAAAACACCAGTCCTCTGTCTGAGGTCCTTGGAGGGTCCTGGCAGCTTCCTTTTAAGTTTGCGGTAGCCTGTGGTCACCTCGTGTCAGGTCCTGTTTGGCTGACAGCAGAGGGACAGAGATGTGACACCGTGCCGTGGCTGGCTGGGCACGCCGGCCCTCGGTGCACAGCACGGGGCTGTTCATGCTCCCAGCCAGCAGCACAGGGAGCCTGGCATGGCTCAGAGTAAAACTGGTCAGCAAAACACCCTCTCAGTGCCTGAAACTTCTCTGTTAGAGCTCAGGTTCCTGTACTCAACTCCTTCCAGCTCAGAAGGCACAGCAATTGTATCCCAAGATCCCCACGAAAACCAAGGTATTCCAGTGACTGCTCTGAAACACTCCAACTGGCAGATTCTGCAATTACACAATTCAATTAACAATGAAATTAGCAATTCTCAAGGCTACTTGAGCTCGCTACTTTCATTGTCTATAGAAAGTTGCCCAGGAGGCTAAAATATTTTACTTCAAAAGGTATTAATAATTAACCCACCCACAAACAGACAAAACCCCCAAACAACAAAAATCCCATTAAAAAAAACCAAAAAACAAACACAAAACCAAAAGCAAAAACAAAACAACAAAACCCAGCTCACAATTATATAAATTTCTGTACAGCCATTCAGGCTTAGTTATAATTACTGGCAAAGCACTAAGGGATTTAGGAGGCAGCCTAATATTGAAAAAGTTACTTCCAACAAAACCAGGGCTTTTGTTTAACACAGCTCTAACAGACATCACCTTCTGGCTGTTTTAAAGAATAAGCAACAACAGGGGAGTTAGCAGCTGGGAAGAGTTTATCAAGAATTACAAGAATAAGTGCCAAGAAAAAAGAAAATAATAAATAATGAACTTTTCATTTCTGACGGAACACATAAGGAATACCTTATCCCCTTGCCCTTCAATTTTTACTTTTGAGGGGAATTATCACAAGTCTTGTATATCATGTCAGTGAATTACTTTAATATCCTCCACTGGCAATAACCATAAATCTTAACAGCTTGAATTACTGCATCTTTCTAGTCATGCTGACTCTCAAGCTGCTCAGTTTTTGTTTTTCTGCTGTCAATGTCAGACAATGAAGCTATAGTGTTGTTGTTTACAGGGCTAGAAATTGCTTTAGATCCAAAGATCACAAAGGCCTGAGTGAATGAAACAGGCAAACCTACGTGTACACACATAGACACTTCCCTGCTTTGCTGAATCAGGACCTAACATGTTGCAGTACCTTGCAAAGGTTCATTATTGCATATTATCCGGCTGGAAACTTCCACAGAAACGTCTTGATAACAACTGAGCACATACAAAGAGCCAAGGAGAGACAGTTAATGCACCATGAAGATATACTGAAAACACCAGTGTTTGAGTGTTTGTATGAAAGCCATTTTTCTCAATAGTGCTTCCCTCCCTCCCTCCCTGCCTCCTTCTTATCTCTTCCTGCATCTGAAAATTAGATATTCCAATGGAAAAGCTGAATCACTGTTATGGTCTTAGGCTGCTATGGGGCTCCTGTCAGAACAAAGCAGGCAGACATGAATTAATCTGCAATAAAAATCCCAGCTCAACCTGCAGAAGAACATCATGACCTCTTGGCCACTATTATGTTCTATCACAACTACACTTTTAGAAACAAAAAAGGCAGTTTTAGAAACAAAAGGCAGTTTAATACTGGCTTTGTTCTCCAGACAGTCATCAGCCAGGGATTGGGAGACCATCAGTTCCCCCAGGGGAGGCCCAACACCAAGAGCAGTGTAGTGACTGTTGGACTAAAAAAAACCTGCACTGAAATAAAAACTCCAAACCCTGCCTTTCATCCTCGACTGAACCAGCACTTTTCTCTCAGCCTTCCTTTGCCAGTCCACCACAGTACTGCTGTATCCTACAACTGCACTCTCCAATGGGATAAACAGTGGAAAAATGACATGAGGAGACCTGCTGAGCCATGAAACAATATTTACTCGTGCCAACTACCAGCACAAAAGCCCTGAAACAAAAGCAACACCACATGTACCCGGACAGCTTTTTACACTCAGTGTGACCACTGATCTGCTTGCAGCCATGGCTCCAGACTGATTTTCAGCTCCCAATATTATTGTGAAGGGATGAGCATGCCTTGTGTTAAGCATGATACTGCACAACACATTTTCAGCACCAAAAACTCTTTAGCATACCCAAATTCAGGCAAACAAATGAAATGTCAGAATAGACAAGAGCTGCTGCCTTTGCTGCAGGACACTAACATGCCTCCTCTGAACACCAAATTCAATTATTAAGGCTCTCTAAATGTGGAGGATTTTGAAGCAGCTCAAAACTTTACCACCTGAAGTGTATTTTCTCAAGTGGCTGAGTTTAAACTACCTAACAAAATTTCATTTTCAAGTGGTAGGAGCAGCCTTATGGCCTCTCAGGCACTAGTTCTGGCCAGCTACACCAGTGTTGTTTACACTTCAGTACTGATTTAGACTCCTGCAGCTCTGGGATTAGAGGCTATTTAGTTAATTAATGCAGCAAAACCAGAAGGATCCCACAACACTATTAAAAAATTCACTTCATAACCAGAAGCTATTCTTCCTTTTATGCCTTTCTGTACTGTAAAGGTCAGGAAAAAAATTTCTTGGGAGGGAAACCACCCCAAGAGAGACCCAGAGATGCAACTGTTCACTTCTGAGAGCAATTCTGAAAATGCTCATAACTGCCAGAACTGATCCTAATCATTCAGACTAATCCCCTGTACAAGTGATTTTCTGCAATACTGGGTTTTTTTTCTTCCCTGATACAGCTTCAAGATGCAAAATGTGTTTCTGCCCCATCGTCTCCTTTAACCACCTGAAAACTCCCCAGAGTGTGTGCAGGGTCAGAACTCCCATGTGTCAGAACTGCAGACTCTGGATGTTACCACAGGGAGGGTAAGTTATATATAAATGATGACTAAAGACGAGGAAGATGATAGTTCATTGGTCCCTACTCAAGAGTTCAATGACCTACTGATATTAAGTTAAATGATATGGAGTGTTCTCCCCCTGTTGACAGGTACTGTGCTGGAGTGACACAACCTATGCTTGCTTATCCTGGGAAAATGAGACATATGATAAGGAGGGAAAATAAATAAATAAAACCAACAAAAAAAGTGCTACTGAACAGTCATCCACACCTTAAAAGCTGAGGTAAGAAAACAGAAGGTTCATGGTGATACTGCTGGTAGCAGAGATCCCCAGTATAATGCCACTCTGAGCTGTGCTGCTTCACTGACTTTTAGGGCATGGATGGCCACATCTCTGCTGCTGTATGTCCAAAGGAATGAATCCCAAGTGGACATGCTGGACAGGATTGTGCAAACATGCAAGCATAGCAACAGTGCCTCTGAAGCCAACTCAGCTGTTGCTTATCTTGTCCCCCTCTGGTTTTAGAGGCAGAACGTACAGTTAATCCAGCTAAATGGGAGAGCTTTTAACTGCAGGGCTGCTATTTTACAAGGCAGTCATTTAACCTTCACCTGTATAGAACATGAGGTCAAAGGATAGCCGTTCTTATAGCATAACATTTTTCCTTCACTGGAGAAATTCTGGGTTTTTCAGGAAGGAACTCAGGGTGATCATCAGTTCATCCAGAAACTATTCCCTGCTAATACACCCAGAACTGCTCTGGCCCTTTCCTTACATCACAGGCAGCAGTGAGCAGATATCTGGCAGACAGCTCCATGGGGCTGGCTCTGTGGAGCCTGCAGGGCTCACTGCTGCACAAACCCAGCAGATGGGACCCTGCAGAAGCCAGTGGAAAAGCACCAAGCACGTGCCAGTGTATAAGCATCGAGCCCATTCCACTCTAACAGAATCCTGCCAGGCTTGTGGGCACTCTCTTCCCAAGGAGCAGACAGTGCCCTACAGCAGGGAGGACTAACTAGTAGGGTGAACAGGAGGACAAGCTGCTGTGGATGTTCTTCCCCACAGAAGCCTACAGGATGGAGAATTTCCCCAGACAGGTGACTTCTTACAGCCCAAAGCAGTCCTGCTTAAACAGAACCTGACTTATGAGTCCCTGAGCCACTTCCTAACAACTATGGAGCAGTCACATGGAAACAAAAGTGTACTGGGAAACTATTCTTTATTCACACTAGTTACACATAAAACTGAGGAATGAGGGTGAGCAACAAGGGATTTACTTCTGTCTTCTTTAAAATTATATGGCTATTACTGATCATGTGTCACACAGTCAAATATGACTGTACTTTCTGAAGCTGAGTACAGAGCTCCTGCAGCTGCACCACGCTGTCCCTGGGACCCAGCAGACATGTCCTGCCTGCTTCTCAGCTGTGACAGTAGCTCAGATGTTTCCACCACCCCAGTGTGACTCAAAGGCCACTGCAGCCCAGAATGGGATCCTGTTTGGGCACTGGAGAGCCAGCAAAGCAAACACGTGTGTCCGCCTGCACCTGTCAGTATAAATGTCTCCTCAGACTGCTTGCTATTTGTGGGACAGCCAAGAGCACTGCACAGAGGGGCAAAGGCAAACACTCAGATGAGTTGTATGGCTTGGGAGGGAGGTGATTCAGCTCTGGCCAAGTCAAAAGAACAGGTTCTGCTATGTCCTGCTACTGAAACCAACACCAGGTAGAAACTATCTCTAGAAAGGCAACCACATTCATCGGAGGAAATGTGCAAAGAATGAACCAGGGCAGATCTCATCTGCTACTGGGTGCTCTGACAGATAAGAGCCTGGACTGTTTCTTCTTTAAAATACAGACTGAGGATATGTTACAAAAGTATAAACCTGGAGAAACTCCTGGGATTTTAGCAAAACTCTTTCAGGTTTATGTCAGGATAATGTTACTGAAATCAGTAGCTGGTACAATTAGAATTACACTGTAGAGAAATCAGATAACAATGACTTTTCCCTCTGCCAAAGATTATAATCGGCTGAGCTGCAGCCAGACATGATGATGGACTCAGCCCTTTCTGAGCTGTCAGTGTAATATGATAATGTTGCTGGACAGTCTGACACACCTGGATGTTCCTGGCATGCCTAACTTGTGGCAGAGAGCTGTGAAAGCTACTCCTCTGCAAAAGAGTGCAGGCCAGATTGTGAGACCTGGCTCATTTAGCTAATTTGATCTGCTACAGTCCAAGAATTTGATCTCAACCAATTTCTTGCCCAGCTAAAGGAATGCCTGCAAGATCTAGACAATGCATGAGGAACGTAAGCACAGTCAACACTGAGATCGTTAGCATTAAATTCTGAGCACTGTACACCATTAAGGGAGCATAAAACTTCTTCTGCAAAGGGTCTTTGCTTCAGGACATGGATCTTAAATGCAATACTGTGAAGTGGGAGGTGTCATTGCTGCGGGTCTCAAAAACCATCCCTAAGCACCTTGAAAATCCAGGTCTCTTACTTAGGAGTCCGAATATTTAGACAAAACTATTTTTAGGCAAGTAAAGTTGAAATGGACCACCACTGCACATATGTATTTCATATTAGATAACAGTTTCCTTACTCAAAAACTAGATCAATCCCACTTACCTTCAGTGAAGCACAGTAATAGGATACAATCTAAACCTATATTGATTTAAGTATTTGGCAAGAAATAAGCTTACTGCTCAAAGGCTGAGCTTGACATTAAACACCCAAGCTCGTATATCTTCAGTTTTCAGAATATATTCTGCAATAATTTATTACGAGGAACATTTCCCTGCTGTGATTTCAGTTTGACCCTGAAATCAATTCCTAGCCCTGTCCAGAGGCTCGTGGCTCCCTGGAAGGAAATGTTTTGTGTGACAGTGGTGTTCATACCTTTGTCTGTGCATCAACAGCAGCTCCCTGGTTAACCAGAACCTCTGCTACATTGACCCTGTCCTCTTGGGCAGCCAGGTGCAGGGGCGTCAGTCCACTCTGTAAATCAGAAACAAGAAGTAACAATCTCCAGAGGAGGCACACGACTACTAAAATGCAAATTCAGGTATCAGTAAGACTCTAAATATCTGACTGAATTTAAAGAAGTTACACATTCCACCTTCACTGTGTAAGGTGCTTTGTTATCACACTGCTGATGAGCAGGAAAGTACAGCTTAAAAGCCAGGAATATGATGTATCTTTAAGACAAGGAAGATTTCTCCATGCAGTGTTACATGTGGGATAGCAAATTAGAGCACTTGAAGGAAAAGTCACACTGTATTTTTTACCTCTTAATTTACTTCCTTATAATGAGTCAGACTTTCAAAGCAATATTGAATCATTGTTTACACTTCTGCAAGTTTTTTTACAATCACTCAGTTTTATCCTTACCATTTACTCCTCTACTTGACCATTTTCAAACACAAACACAAAAGAATAAAACTGCATTTCTCTGAGATCAGGCTTAATTCTCTCTGCTCAGCGAGCATACAGATTGGATAGAAAATGTGTACTGATAGCAATTTTTCTTATTTAAACCTCAAGATCTAAATATCCTTAAAACCTCAGAAAACTATGCAACTTTCTGCCACATAAAAGGGGTAGAAGACAAAAGGGGAAAGAGAGAATCTGCTGAGAAGATGTTGTTAGGAAGGAGAAAGAATATACTTTCCTTGCAAATTATGGTTAATTTTCCCTCCTGTTCCTACTGCCTTTAGCACCAAGGACAGAAGAGCAAGTGGTAGCAGTTGTCACATCAGGCACGAGCACTCACTACTCTTGAACCCAAACCCACATCCATAGTGCACTCCCTATCAAGGCCAGTTATTTTGAGATTGCCCCATTACATTTCACTCCAAGATGCAATCCTGAGGATAACACAGCTTAGGTGGGTCACCTGACACAAATATGTAACAATAACCAACTATAAATTACCTAATGGAGCCTGGATGTTAATGGCCAAACCTTCTACAAAGATTTAGTAAGTTCTCAGTATGGCAACTCTGAGTATGCAGCTCCAAACCATTCTGTGGGTCCTGAAGAAATAAATGTTCTTTTTACTCCCATTGCAAAGCTGCAACACTCAGAATTCAGCAGGCTTTAAACATCTGGCTTCAAATGTAAAGGTGGTGTGCTCTGAGGAAATGTGCATCCCTGAGAGGATGGAGGGGAATTACTCCCCAGAGGTGGTGTTATCAGCACAGTGAGAAACTGGAGATTACAACTGAACAGATTGCTGGATGCTGCAGGTAATTAACCTCTGGTGACACTGAAGCAATGGGCCAAGCACTTCAATCATGCTCCCTGTATTAGCCTCAGCAGCAAAATGGGATAGCCAGTGGATGCAGAACATGTACGTGGCAGATTTCCCTGTGGGGATACAAAGTCTATCCTGCACTGCATAACCCACACAGGATTGAGACTTGTGGTGAAAAAAATCCACATCTGCAAGAGAAGCTTTCTGAAGGAGGACCCATAAATTATCAAATTGGAAAGTTAGAAGCAGGAAAACACAACAGCCCTGTTCAGAACACCCACTGCTTCAGAGGATACTGACTCTTCCTATCTGCTGAGAATAAGAAATATTTTCCATGAATAAAAATTTCTACTGCTTCTCTAATCTAGCCACACAAATCCATTCTGAAACTGCATTTGACAATGTCAAATAACAATGTCTAGTGGGGCATTTAAAGAATTAAGGCTGCACATCTACTGGAAACATTACTGTAGAGCAGACTGTAGAGCCTGTGAATTCACACATAAACTAAAATACATCAACTTTCCTTTCCTACCAGCAGGAGAAATGACACCAAAAGTCACTGTGGGCTAAGGAACATACCTTTGGGAGGAAGAATAATTTATATTAAGGAACACAATCTCAGAAAAAGTTGCCATTATTATCCCATTAAAAAGTCACCATCCCTGAACAAGTCAGCTGTTACCATGAGGTGGCAATATTTGTTACTATTCATTGGTACATGTTACATTTTTTTTCATAAAATATTATAGTGCTAAAAATATCACATGTAAAAAAAAAATACAAAAAAACGTAGCAAATGTTACAATTACACAATTGAAAAATGGGCAGGCATATTCCTAGAGGCTGATAAATGATAGGTGCCAGCCCCAGTAGCTCCTATGGGGAAGAAGATATTTTCTCTCTGGCCATGTTTTGGCAGACTAGCATAAATCAATGCTGGATTAATAAATTCCACTTCAGCTTGTGTTATCACCAAACCTTGGGTACTACAAAGGTTCACTCAGTGTGACATGGCATGCTGCTGTGTGCTAGGAGAGTTGATGATGTGTGTTCAGACACCTCACGTGCAGAATCCTAGGGGGCAAAATTTAACCGCAGGGCCCTCTCCTCCCCATCCCATTTCTCCATCTGGGCCTCATCCCCAGGCAGGGGGACACTCACCTTGTTGCTGAGGTTGACATTAGCATTTCTGGAGAGCAGCAGTGACACCATGTCCACGTGGCCGTCCTGGGAGGCGAGGTGCACGGGGGCGATGCCCTGCCGGGTGACGGCGTTGGCGTCGGCGCCGTATTCCAGCAGGGTGGTTGCAATGTCCATCTGGTTCTTCTTGGCAGCTATGTGCAGGGGTGTGTAACCATTCTGCCAACAGAAAGCACCTCCTTGTGAGCTGCTCACTCAACAAGGTGATAAAGCACTTTTCTGTACCTACCCAGCTCTGTGAATAATTATGCCATTAGTTCTAAAAATTCTGTCAAACATCGTCAAATACAATGTTAACAAGCTGTACGAACCAATGTATCTGACATTTAGACAATTTTTTTTTTTAAGTACTGCTACAAAGAGGAGGATTCTGAAGTAAATTTTCAAATTCAGAGAAAAATACCTTTTCAGGAAAGGACAGTCTATAGAAATAGGAGTTTGAGTTTTGTTTCATAGACATTTGCTCCTTTTCCTTAAATGTACATAAAATCTTTAAACAACAGAAGAGCAGGATGTGTGTTCATAACTCAGAACAGCTGTTATTGTTTGGGTTTTTTTACCCATTTCCCAGTGTGAATGAAAGCATTATGCACATGAAATATGGCCTTTCTTGCAGCATTTACCTTAAATCTTACTGACAAGCAGTTTTTTTTCAGGTCAAGGGAAAACTGAAACATATAACTTTAGAGTCATGTATTCCTTATCTTTTTATTCCTTCCAATATGTGTACCCAGGAAGCCCACTACTAAAAATAAAAATGCAGTATCTATTGCATGATACAATTTTGTAACTCTAAAAAAAGACAGATAGAAAAGAGATAAATGGATATAAAGAATAACTGATTAGCACACAAATGCCAAAACTCTGATGGAGGTACGACCAGTTTTTGGTACAGATTGCAATGACTGTTTAGTCAAGAACTTTGTCTGTCAGAAATGTATTAGCCCTCATTTTCAAGTAAATTACAAATGTGCATGCATTTGCACTTGAATAAGAGACAAGGTCAGGGGGGATGAGACCCAACCTGCATAACTCATTTTGTATGGCATCATAAGTACCATTTGCATCTCAGATTCCCCAGCCCAATAAAATCTACCTAAAGGCACAAAGCTTTCACCTGGCTGGGCTCTTCCTTGCACCCATGCTCCAAAAAGGAAGGGAGGTCACAAGAGATGCAGAGCAATGCAGGTATGAGCAAGGAATAAGTACATGGGGGTTCACAAATGATTACAAGAGAGCTTTAATGGGAGCCTGGCAGCAAGAGATGCACAGTGCTAGTTTTCTGTGGAAAAGGTTCTGTAACCTTCAAAATTCAATGCAGATTCAGTTCAGATCTTGGATACTAAGGAATTTGAAAGCGACACTCAGGAAATACAGTGCTACAATCAATAAAGGAAGCACATGGCCACTGCATTTTCACTTTGAAGATAAAAGTGCTCCAGGAAAAACAAACATAATCCTCTCCCATAGACTTCCTGCATGACACTGCCATGTAAAACAACCACTGCCACATGAGCACCTAATAAATCCTCAATAGAACGTGCTAAATCCTGCATATCTAGTAAAACATAACTCCTTAAAAGAGAGCTCATATTACATTATATAAAATAACAAATACAGTTTCCAAGCCTCTTCCTCAGAAATGGGCATATATTGCTTTCAGTGGAATGGACAGCAGCAGGTTGCCAGGAGAAGGGAATAAGAGAGCTGAAAAATAAAAGCTGAAATTCAGCTCAGCCCCAGTCTGCATCTTCTCCTCATAAGGGCAGCACTCTGTCACTATGCATAGATGGAGAAGGGAACAGAGAAGTTCAGAAGGAAGGGTATTGGGTTATTCTGGTTGCCAGGGAAAGGAGTGGAAAAAAGGAAAATGGTTAAAGATGGAAGGACAGAGGAAAACTAAGGCTTTGGGGATGGCGTGGCGAGGAAAAAAAGGCACTGTAAAGTGGATGCCAAATTCAAATTAGGGATAAGCTGCACATGAAATTAGGCACAATTTTTGCCTATGAAAGAGAAGAATGGTTACTTTCCACAGCACTGTACTCCGACATGCCCATTTCCCATACCCTGTCACTTATCACTCTTCAAGGCAAGTTTTGCTGGGCCTGGCTAATGGGCCACTCTTAAGATCAGTGTTAAAGACAGTAGTGTGACAGGAAAGGTAACCACTGATGAAACTAACTGTGGAGCCAGTGATGAGATATGACATAACATTTATTTACTGGAAAACATTTACAAAAAGTTCAAGAAATCATCTGCTGTTACCAACATCATCTTTTGGATGAGTGCACAGTGGGTGCCTGAAGCAACAAACATGTTATGGTTAATTTTATTTAGTATTGATGCTCTGCTTACTGCTGCCATGGCTCACTTGCTGCAGAACACCAACAAATGCTTTCTTTTAGGCACACTTACAGCTGGCACTTGAAGGGCTGAAGTGGCAGCTGCAGAAGTGCTCTGTTACAGATGGGGAAGCTAAGGTGACCTGAGATGTGTGTCTGTGCAATGCTGTACCACAGTCTTTAGGGCTTCCACCTTGGTCTGGACTTCCCAAGCCCTTGGCAGGGGCAGCTGCAGTCTCTGTCCCTACAGGATGCACAGCTCCCACTGGCAGCTTCTTTCAGTGAAAACTGGGTCAGTGCCTTCTCATCCTCTTCAGAAGGCCCTTCCTTCCCCCAGTGGGTTTGAGAGTGCTGTGCTGCAGCAGTGAAAGATCACAGATCACTCTGGCTGCCCCCTGGGCACTGCTCTGGCAGATTGCCGCTATCGACAGCATTGATTTTAAACCGCGCGTGGCTGCTGGTGAGCCGTGTTTATTTAACTTCCCCCTCCTTGCACTGCAGACCCTGGACCCACCGTGCATGGCACACTCCATGCAGAAGGGCTCCAGAGCTATGGCTGCACTCAGCCGTGTGTGAGAGGAAGGCAAGCAAGGAGCACTGCCCATCTAACTACAGCACTGGCTTTTCCATCAGCTCTCCTTTCTTCACAGGGCTTTTCTTGGGTAGTGATTTAAGGAAATTGTCTGGGTTGTTTCACATGAGGTGTTTACACTACACTTAACCTGCTTTAACCTGCACATGTTTCCATCCTGCTTTACCTAATGTTCCTGTTCAAATATAGATTATACTCTGATTGATTATAGTATTTATCCATCCCATACTTAAAACTGGGATACACAAAAGAAATAGTTTAAGCTTCTCTAAATTCTCTTTGTTTTATGCACTACTAGCATAAATTTACATATTTATGCTTTCATATCCTTTGAAACCTTACACTAGGCATTGTCTTGCCTACAGTAAATTACAATCAAAGCAGGGCTGTGACTAGTTTTATTTCTTGCCAGTCCATTTATGCTGGGGTAGAATATTGTGAAGCACATGAATAATTACATGTATTGTGCTGAGAAACTTATCTGGCCTCAGAAGTCATCCTGTGGCACAAACAGAAGTACTCCTGCATAGCTGGGCTTCAACACCAAGCTTGCCCTGCACAGATCTTAAAATGCATAGATACAAAGCTGTCTAGCTTGGAGAAGTTACTGAAGAGGCTGAACAAATGAAAACAAGGCTCAGTATTTTCTGAAACTAAAACTGGTGATTTGAAGCATTTCTGCATCTTCATTTGTTTTTTGGTTTTACTGCTATTTTATTCACCTGCAGGATTATTCTAGCAGGTTTATGTGGATGTGAGACATTAACAAACAAGGTCACTGAGCCTCCTGTAACTGCAAACATACACAATCTAGAAAGAACAGGGGTAGGCAGGGAATAAAGTGACATAAAAAGCCTGGGTATTGCTCCCCCAGAGTGGCCAGTACTTGTACCTTGGCAGAGGCGTGAGGTGAAGCTCCCTGGTCCAACAGGAGGAGGGCCACTTTTTGATTATCGTAGTGTGCAGCTACATGCAGTGGTGTTAAACCGCTCTAAAAACACATGCAGAACAAACAAGTGCTGTTACAGACTCTCTCCAGGGGAAACTCAGGAGTTTGGAAAATTCCAGTAGATAAGGTGAAAAAACACATTTGTTACTCATTCATGTATCCAAAGTCTTTGGGAACTTTTAGAATCAAAAAATAAAACAAATTTGGAAATCCTTCATGAGCTGTGAAAGCCCCAGTCAATTTTCTCAGGGAAGATGAACAGAGAAGCACAAATTTGTGCTGCCCCCAGGGTAAGGAAGTCACACCCTTGGCAATGTTTTCCTTTTACTGCAGTGGATAAGTAAACTGCCCCTTGGATCTGCAAAAAATCCAAGCTGGGCTGGTTTAAAAAGCTTGAGGTCTTATTGGCCTTTGCCTCCCCCCACCCTCCCGCCATGAGACTTGGGGAAGCAGAGCCAGCTACCCAAATACTCTGATAAGGACTGTCAATAGTCTGGACAGGAACACAGGGGAATGGTTTGTCTCCATTCCCCTATATGTGACTGCAGAGCACATCACTTTGTTGTCAATTAATGACAATAAAAGTCACTTTGTTGAGAGTTTGCTGGCTCTTCGCAGTCCCAGCAGGGACTGGAATACCACATGAAACCAATTTCAGCTAAACCCAGGCTGTGGATACTAGTGTGATGGTAAGTAGGTAGGAAGACATAAATAAATTATCTGGTTTGAGATGTTTGCTGTGCAAGTGGAGGTGGTTTCTTCTGTCCTACCTTTCCAGAAGCATCAGGAGATGCATTCTTCTGAAGCAGGAGGTTGGCTACCTCAATTTTCCCATACTTTGCAGCCACATGTAGTGGAGTGAATCCTTTCTGTAAGAGAAAGCAGGAATATAGCACCCTGGGCACTCTTTCTCAGGGCAAACAAGGTTTGTCTCTGATCTGCAAGGATGCAGCTGCTTCTATCCACCCCCTTAGATAGTCCTGAGTATAGGCAGTAAGTCTGCAGATTCCCAAATGCCCTGTGAGGTCTGGAGGCCCTTCCCTTGCAAGGATAACCACTATCTACTTTTAACAAGGGAAGAGTCCGTTCCTTTCTTCACACTACCAAAGACCCGAGGGCAAGCCCATCAACACCCGCCTGGAATTTCTTCCCTGCATTCCTTCCATTCCAAGGAAATGCATGTCTGTCTCTGGGCTGTGTTAAACATCAGGTCCTGAGGTACAAGCGTGAAGCTTTGTACCCTTCTAATAAAATGTAGCTCACACACTGTACATGTGTATGACTCCTGCAGAATTCCATCCACAAGCAGCCCCTGCTACAGGTGTGCTCTCTACGATTCTGCCACTCACCTTGGTGATGATAGACAGCGATGCACCGTGATCCAAAAGAACAGCAGCTACATCTTCGTGCCCTTCCCGAGCAGAAAGGTGCAGGGGTGTGTAGCCTGAGGTGGTGGCCGCGTTGGGAGAGGCTCCCTGCTGCAGCAGCTGCTGCACGATGTCTGCCTTCCCCAGGCGGGCAGAAATGTGCAGCGGCGTTTGGTCATCCTAAACACAGAGGGAACAGCACAGGCCAGCGTGAGGAAACTGCCCCTCACACTGCCACACGAGGTATTTGCCCACATTCTGTCACTTTTCAAAATTGCACACGAGCATTAATGCCATGGAGGTCTCAGTGAGTGGATGCTGCACACTGGCTTTCTCTGTGTCATATTATAAAGACACCTTGCTCTTTGTGAGCACATCAAAAAATATTCCAGACAGTGACATAACCCATAAAAGTTAATAAATGGATCAATTTTCTTCCTTATCTGGATTTGCCTCACTTTGCTTTGGAGACCTCTCTTAAAACAAAGGTAGTGCATAATTCTTTTCCTCACATCATGATCTCTTTTATATTTCACAGCAACATTTAATAGCTCCATCAATTACTGCCTGGAAACTTGCATAAAGTATCATAATTTTTGTGCTTTTTTAACTGGTGAACGATTGTTTGGTATTTTGCAGTTAAATTTTCTGTAAGTGTAACTGATGATAGAGCATGGTGTGGAAAGTAATGGTCATTTTCTACTTCTCATTCAGAAGACAATAATCTGAATAGTTTTAAGTATGGCATTTCCCTGACATGAATCTCATGGTTTATTTCTTTTCCTTCACTGAAAATATTAGGGTGTTGTGACCTTGTTCTGAGCATTAAGACATAATTTCTCACCTCTTCATTATCTTGTTTTTGTATTTTTGTCCTCCCCCTTCTCTGATGTACAGTTTTTGGATTAAGCACACTATCACAACAGTGTGGCCGAGCATCTTTCTCTCCCCATTTCCCCCTGCTGAATTCCCTACCTTTTGAGAACTGTCCTGCAGTTCTGGGCTGTTCTCTGCAAGGGAGACTTCTGCCCATGCCCATCCTACCAGAGTGATTTTACACCTCTGGCTTTAGGATAGGAGCAAGCCAGGATATAAACGCTGCTCCTCTGCAGTGGAATTCTCTGACTGGGGGAGCATCTTTGTGGTTCTTAAATTATTCCAGTTTGTGCCTGTTCCTCACAAATTTCTCACAGCTGATGTTAGCACTGGTGTATAACCTACTGCTTGAATTTAGTTGTTATTTATGATAACAAACTGAATACAGGCAATGGCAGTTTGCACAAATTAAATCGTTCTGTGAATTTACTCAGAAAATATTTGCATGACTGCTTCTGAGCATGAGCTGTTCACTTTCAAGACTGTCTTTGGAGATTTACAAACCACATGAATTGTCAGGCTATAGATATCAACCACATCTATTGTCAGGCTCCCTGCAGATGTAAAGTGTACCAGCCAGAAATATTTAGTCAGAGTTCCTTACAAGTAGACAATCTTAACAACAAACTTACTTGTGACACAATTCACAGATAATTTCACAATGAAAAATAGTTCTGTTTTTTTTATGTTACATTCATTTTATGACCAACTGGGGAAAAATATTTTCTGAGCTTACCTATTAAGACTGCTATTTATTGCACCCATTTATCTCCTTGCCCTGCCTGTTTCCTGAAACTCTTTGAGTTCCATAATTTTGCATGTTTCTTCATGCCTCTTGACCATTTCTTTTTCCTCCACCCTTACCTTCCTCAACTGCAATTGTTTCTATAGGATCTGCTCCTTCTTTCCAGCCCTCTGCTACATCCCCTCACTGTGCCTCCTTCCTTTAGGTGGTGATCTTTTGAAGTCTATCTATTTTTGAATACATATAGGTTGTTGCTTTAGGGACATGACAGGGGACACCAGAAGCCAAGGGTTTCCAGTTCTGCTGAAATAAAAGCAGATTTGAGGAACTCCTCTCCCTCCTTAAATCCCACTTCAAAACAAAACTCTTCAAACACATGATAATTTATGTTAAACATTAGGATGGTATCAACCATCTTGTCTCTTACAGATCGTGGCTACAGTAAGAGGGTACATAATAAAATATCAGTGGGCACCACAAAGGCTTGGCTTCATCCTGAAAGGCACACACAAGATGAATGCGAGTCCTTGCGTTTTCCAGCACAGATCAGCCAGGTCTGTTCCACCTGGGCCATCTCCTCACCTTGGCTTTTGCCTCCACCTGGGCTCCGTTCTGTACCAGGTACCGGACGACCTCTGTCTGGCCAGCTCTGGCTGCCATGTGCAGCGCTGTCTCTCCTCTCTGCACACAGCAGCAAAAACACAACAGAATTAACAACACACTGCAGGGAGAACAAACACCAGCGTGCTTCATAAACACAGAAATACCAGGGACCCAGCTCAGAATGATCTCCACTAGAAAACTCTGCTGCACTTGTCTGTAGGATGTAACATTAAATCAATATTTGACCTGACACTGGGTGCTGCAAAGCAACTTATTGCAGGGTCAGTTCCCAACTCAGTAGTGCCTTTGTTACTATTTTTTGCTGAAAAGAGACAGTGCAATGTAAAAAGGAGGCCAAACGGATGAAGAGGATCAACACGCTTCATGCTTCTGGCTTCTCTTCCACTTGCCAACTTTCAAATACCCATCTAAGAGCAAGTTCAGTTTTTACACGTGCCCTGGGAGCCTTGGGGCACGCAGCACACAGCCGGCAGAGGAGGCTGGATGGACACAGGCAATATGTCCCCACAATCTGCTGCAATCTGTTGAATTTGCCTTAAATGGCAGACCCCCGGGGTCTTGGGAGAAGACTGCTCAACAGTCCAGCCCAGATCTCAAAAATCACATCTGAGAAGCTACAGTATGTTTTTGTTCTTTACTTCAGAAAATCAAGAGATTAGAGCCTGCTTAGGGTCAGCCCCTTTGGGAATTTCCTCAATCTGCCAAACATCTCCCAGGTAGGAGTCAGCAGGCTGCACTTTGCCATGACTCCAGCACCAGCCAGAGGTGCTATGGAGGTGGGTGGTGGACAGCAGAATTAGGCACTTGAACCCAGTACTGTTCCCAGATATTATCACACATTCATTCCCAGTCCTGCCTTGCTGAAAGGAAACCTGTGACTCACCACATTGGTAGTGTTGGGGGATGCTCCATGATGCATTAGCTGTGATACAATATTTACATGTCCCATGAAGGCAGCAACATGGATTGGAGTTAGGCCCGACTGAAAAACAGACCAAAGTTCCATTAAAATACTTATTTCCACATACCTTTTCGAGAATGTCATGAGGAGAACATAAATTTTTCTAAAGCGAGTGAAGCCAGCTGCTTGCTCTTCTGAGAGGGTTTTATCTTCTTAAAATCACATACATGTGCTTAAATGAAAGGGCACACAGGATTGGGAGCACCTATGACTGCAGTTCACGAGCAAACATAAACATTCTAGGAATTCAGTAGTTCTTCATCAACAAAATCAACCATAACTAAGCAAGATTAAGATTAGGCATTTGCTAAATATTGTCTTGGAACATGAGAAAAAAATATATAGAAGCATTTCTAGTACTTTCTGAAACATTCAGCTTGTGCAAAAAAAGATCACCATCATGAATCTGCATCACTGCCCTTATACAGTGAAAGTCCAACTGGAGAGAAAGAGAGGGAGAAAAAAGGGAGCAGTTATTCACCAGGGTATGACCTCAAGGATTTTGCTTTAAAAATCCAATCAGTAATTAAGATTTCCCCACCTAGAATCACCCTAAAGCCTCCTCAAGCTGCTTCTGCACAGCTGCACCAACAGTCAGACAGAGCCTTCAGAAGGGCTTTTTGCTACCAAAAGAAGGAGAAAGCTCAGTGGATCTCTGGAAATCCCCATGATTTAGGCAGCCTCCCCACAGGTATATACAAGTCCCAGAGGGTAGAAGTGAGGAAAGCATTTATCTTACTTTCTCATGCACAACAGCAAACATAAGCAGGAAGGCAGAATAACTGGCCGAGTGTGTAAATTCTTTTACCTCTTTCAAACAATTTAGTAAATGCTCTTAAGAGTTTTTAAACACTAGTCTGGAGCTACATGAACTGTAGCCAGGGCAGACTCCTCTCCCTCAAGCAAGCCAGGAAGGGATCTGTATGGTTTGCTGCTGAATGGTTAGAACAACCCCACTCACATTAAATCAAATTCCATTTTGTGGAGATGAACTATTCCCCATTGAACCTTGTTTAATCCATGGAATTCCCTGTCATTTTCTAACATGGCCCATTCCACAGTGGTCACACATTCATATATGTGATCTTTCCTCACCTCCTAACTTGGTACAATATACATACATGGAGATGAAAATTCCCATAGGTACTGAATTAATCTCAAATTTATTCCAAGAACTGGGTGCAGAATTTCTCATGCTGACTGAAGTGACAGCATATTGATTTCTGTCTAGCTGATTTGTGATATATGATGGTGGGTGAATACAACTTCTTTGTGGAAAGCCAAAACAAGGTCTGAATTAAACCACCCTTTAAAACAGGACTTGAGTAAAGCATAGCCTTCACCTCAATGTCTGTAACAGAGCAAATTTCATCCTTAAGGCCTTAAATTACAAAAAGAAAACTGGCAGAAATGGTAGATTTTAGGAAGTTATTTTTTTAAAATTTCGTTTGTTATTTTCACTGCAATCACAACATATATCAGTTTTTGTGATTCCTTAGGGCAACTGACTTTATTGTTCAGTTTTATTATTTCATAATACTAGTTGGAAATAATTGTTGACTTAATTGGTCCATGCTCTTTCAGAAATACTGAAATATTAATCAATACAGATACAATGAATTTTGTAAGAAAAGCAAAGACAAGCATGGAAAGACCATTTCTTACCTCAGTTACAGCTTGAATTGATGCACCGTGCTTTAGAAGAAGTTCCATTACTTTTATTCTGTTCTTCTTGCAGGCAATGTGAAGAGGTGTGAAACCATTCTGGAAATGAGAAAGAACACACTTTCTGATGCTCTCATGTAATGAAAAAATAGAACTGCCTATGGAATTCACAGAATAGATTTTTCCATTTTAAAGGAAGAACTCCCAAATTTATTTTGGTATTACTACATTTTTCATGTATTAGAAAGTAAAAATTTATAAGAAGATAAAGATCTATTTCATATCTCCAGTTGTAATTATGAAATATACTGCCCACTCCAATAACTACTTATTAAAAAATCTCAGTTTATGCAAAACTATCTGAACCTTTTTTGCTTACCTTTGAACTGGCTAGGGTTTTCTGCTGGAGTTTTTGGGAATTTGGGGTGGGTTTTTTTGGTTAATTTTCTTTCAACCTTTTAGAACTGCTGGTAAAAAAACACTTTACCTTTCACAGGCTCTGGATTTTACATCTAAACTATTTTTACTACTTGTTTTATTTGTTTGTTTTTTCCATTAATTCCCTGTCAGCTTACTGCAACTAGAAGTGTTTCACCTCTTCCTTTAAAAAGATGTGTGCAGTGGGGTGATCATTAGAACTATCATCTTATTTAGTGTGAGATGATACCACAGGAAAAAAAGTAAATCAGGAAATAGGCTGTCTAGAGCACCCACAATTGGTGCAGTAACATCAGAGCACTGAATGCTGATGCTGCTCAGTACAACAGAGCCTTTGCAGAACATTCTGAAAACAGCTGGCAGATCTGATCAAAATTATCCTTTTTTTATCTGCCATATAGTAAATATTGTATGTTTTCATGATGTGAGGTCCATGTCATTGTCTGTTCCAGGGTAGCAGCTCTCACCCCTCTCTTTGGCAGTGGACAATATCCAGGGTGAGTTCAGCTGTGTTTCAGATATCGTAATAGCTTGACCACAGACACCTGAATGCAGGCTGATCTGCCCCAGAAAACACAGGGGCTGAGAGAAGGAAATCTGTGGAGCCTGTGCTGCCTTCAGGAGAGTCAATCCCACCTGGCTCCTGAGGGTTTCAGGAGCTCACAGAGCATTTCAGGAGTTGAATGAATGAGCATGAGGCTGTGAAACCAATCAACCCAATTCATGTCAGAATGTAAATTTGTTTGGAACAGTTCTTGAAGAACAAATCAAAGACGTTTTAAACAGAATGGACTGAGATTGCAATTTGAACAAAAGATATTAATGTATTCTGTTTGTATGCAGTTTACCTGCACTAATGTATTTTGCTGCTGAAGTTGTTTCTAAAGTAGAAAGGCATATGACTCCATTGACATAGAATACCACAAATACTCATTATGTAACTAATTCCTACCTTTTACTGTTTCACATCACTGAGAACTTATGAAAATTCCCTCAGTTTTAAATGTCACTGATTATTTTCTCTGTACAAACACTTGGAAAATAAGGATTCTCTCCATACGAAAAACTACAGCAGTTATGTCTGCACCTGTTTTATCTACTCATCATCATAAAAACCTATGAGGAGGAAAAAGTGCTCTAGTTACACCAGAAATTAATAAATCATAGCTGAAATTTCTGCAAGCAAAGGTCTTCTCTGATTGCAGGGTACATTATTAACACTTTGAACCTTGAGTGTTTGTTCTTGGGCTGCAGCACATCCTCTCTGTCAGCCACCAGCTGGCAGAAAACAACTCCCAGTAAGTCCCAGCACAACTTTGCAGGGATGTTTGGCTGTGAACAGTGCCCTGCTCAGTACTCACCAGTGCTTTGGCATTGGGATTAGCTTTCTTATCCAAGAGAACCTTGGCAACTTTGTAGTGGCCGCAGTGGGCAGCAACATGAAGCGCCGTCAGGTAGTCATTGGTGACATCATCCACAGGCACGTTGTGCTGGATCAGGAGCTGAACACAGTTTAGATGATCCCCTTGTGTTGCCATGTGCAACGGAGACAAACCATTCTGCCAACAGAGAGACCCAGCACGGATGGGTTAGAGGATGCTCCGAGAAGGGAAACTCCTCCACGTTGTTCTTGGAGTGTTTGTTGTAGGAAGAATTTTACAAGCCCAGAGAGAAGCCAAAATAAACTTAACATGTTCAGTGTGAGGATGGGGGTTCTTACTCCAGAATTTGAAGCTTGTTTGGTTAGAGTTTGTAGGCAGCCCCAGACTGAAAAAACGTCATAACATACCAGCCATGCTCTAAATGTAGTTTCCTTCCACGGCATGCCTCAGACAAGCTGCTCAATTTACATGAGTTACATGAGGAACAGCACTTTGTGACTTTTAACATCCCAGCCAGGGAATTTGCTGGTTTTTAAAGCGGAATTCTAAATGTGGCCTGTATAAACCAGGCATGGCAGCACAGGTCAGAGCATCACCCTGTGAAATCTACAGCCTTCCTTCATCCCTCCATTCGTGTTTTACTGAATTTGGGTTGTACACATGCTTACACCACATTATCCAACTCTGGAGACCACTCTTCCCAGTCCACAGTGGTAAAACACCAAAAGCTTCAACTGGGCTAAAAATCTCTGAATAAAACCTCCATGCTGTGACCTACCAGCAACAGTGGTAAAGCTGTTCCACCAGGGAAACCCCTGAGAGAGACTCATGCACCAGTGAATCGTGTCTTGCCATGTTTAAAATACTGAAAAAAGCTGCCAAAATATATTATATTTCCAGAATAAAACCATGAGAGAAAATTCTCAAAAATTGAAAGGCCTGACACTATTTCATGATGAAAGATTAAAAATATACGCCAGAATGAAAGAGCCTTTGTTAGCAGTGGTACACAGCTCCTCCTCTCAGCTGTAGGTTTTTTTCTTTACTCGATTCTTCTGATGCCAAAATTAGTTTTGAGTGCAGAAGCTATTCTTGTAGCAGCACACAATAGTTTATAAGCTGTAAGTGACTGCCAGTACACTGTGTCTGCATTGGGGAACACAAACCTTTGCTCACAGACGCAGTGCCCTCATGTGACCGCAGCCAGCAAAGGCAAAGCAGCGAGGCAAAACCAGCCCAGATCTCGGGCTCTGAAACAGACCCTTCCTGTGGGAATGCAGGGCATCCCTCTGGCTGCCCTGGAAGGTCTGGGACCCTGGCAGGGGTCAGGAACCCCCCTGTACAGAGCCCCCAGAGACACTGTCTCTGATCTCTGTCCATGGAAAAGAGTTTTCAATCTTACAGGATGAATTACAAGCTCTGAGTGTTTGATAAAAGTAATAATTAGTGTGGCACGGGTGCAAAAGTAGAATTTTCGAATTCTAGATAAAGGGGTTCAAAGGGGACAAGATGGAGGAAATTGAGTGTGTCTTGTCCTTCTTCTTCATGCCTTCCATGTTTCACTGTAGTGTTGGCTACAGTGTTTTTCTATTGGTTTAGGCTGGGGACACACTGTTCAACGTAGGTGACAGATATTGGCACATTATTGTAATTATAGCACAGGTAGTTTCTGGTATTTAATGTTTGCAACATCCCACTGAGGGCAGAGCCCCACACGCTGACCTGCAGGACAGAGCTGCGGCAGGGCAGCAGAACATGTTAGAGATAAACAGAATAAACAACCTTGAAACCAGCACAGACGAATTATGGCTTCTTCTTTGGCAACGGGGCTGAAAGACAGAGACTTGCTACAATCTCGGGATCATTTAAATACCACAGATTCCATCACCTTCCCTCAGCCATGTGACAACAGCCAGAACCCAAAAGAAAGGTGGAAATACGCAGTGGAACAATATTTGAACTCGAGATGGAAGCAGGATGGTGAAAGCAAACAGGCACATCCTGTCAGAACTGGAGAGCAGTTTACTTGCAGCACTGAGACACAGACACTCTCGGACACAGTTATATCTTTCAAGTAAGATTATCTCATGGGCATCTCACTTGTGATTTATGTTGGCTTGGATAAGCCTCTCTCCCATTCCCAAAGGCTACTACAGCAATTATCTGCATGGAAGTTTGATACTAACAAGGCATTTTAAATATTTTCACTGTCTTCTACTGCAGTTAGCAGTAGAACAAAAAAGATTAATTTCATTTGGTCACCGAGTCCTCCTGGTAACAGTTTATAACTGATGATGCTTTATAGGTGAGAGTAAAAAAATAATGAAACTTTAAACACCATCCTGCTCCATTTTTATAAGAAAGATCCTTCAGGTGAAATGTGTCGTTCTTCACAGTAACAGCCAATAAACCATGCCTATTAATGGAGTAAGAGATTGAGAAGTTGATATGAGACTCCCTCATAGCAGAGACTTGTACCAAAAAGACTAATATGGACGGAAAAGAAAAGAAGAAACAGCCAATTTGAAAAATCAGCAAAATACTTCATAAAAATCTGTCATGGACAAGAGAAGTGAAGAGCTAGCCAGACCTCATGCAGAAAAGTAAGAGACAAGACTGGATGCTAAAGAATATTAAAAAGACAAAAATATAATTGGAAAATTGTCTTTTGTTATACCCTAAACAGGCTTATTTCTGTTGCAGTTGATGATACTCTATAACCTTACACAAGTCAATATTTCAATACCACATTCAAAATAAAAATATTATATGCAAGAGTGTTCTTCAGGCCCATATCCTTCTTGTGAGAGACAACCCAACAATGACCCTAAGAAGCGATCTGGTGCTTTAGGATGGAGCTACTTTATAAATACTCTTACATTACTGATTTTTTTTAAAGATTGCCAAGAAACTATTAAAAGGGAAAAAAGTTCAAGATTAATCAAAGATATTGACCATTAAGGACCATAAGGTCACACCATACCTTAAAACAACCAAATAGAAAAACCTCAGAACAAAACAGGGCCATAGAGATGGTACAAAGTATCAACTGTCTGACTGGGTAAACCTAAAATTACTGAGCTTATTTTGTAGCTGTGTCAAAGAGCTTTAATCTGGGAAAGTGCCATTAACTCTAGGGCGAGAAAAAAGAAAAAGACAAAAAGCCAAAGAAGTCTGGAAAAGCAGCAATTAAAAAAAGATGTACAGTTATTGACAGGAATGTAATTTCTTACATCCAAAATCACTGGCATGTTCAGGACTAGAATTCCCTTTTCATTTTGCCTATAGAAATTCTCATATAATTCATTAGGTCACCGCCTTCCCTGAAAATAAATCTAAGGATCTTCCAGTGCACAAAAGGGTCAGCACTACACTAAACCATCTCTAGCAGGAAATAGCTATCAAACTGCAGCCTAGTTATTATTCTGAAAGAGTTTTATATAACATGAGAAAACTTTGTGAAGTTCAAATTCTTTCAAAGATGTGTCCTATTTCCAATAATATATGATTTAATTTGAAGAGAATGGAGCCACTTATTTTTGCAGGGGACAGTACTGCAGTTTAGTGCCAAATGAATGAATTCATTTATGCCGTTCAGAGGTACAGCCACTTCCTAGCTTACTTTCTGAAAGTGGTAAAATTAACACATCAGAAGGAACTGCAGGAAGTTCTGCACTTTCTTCTGTTCACTTTTTAACATGTAACAGCTTTCCCTCTTCCAGAGGGGGCTCTTATTTTGCAAAAGTTGTTTATATAAGCCTCTGCAGATCAACATCCAGTCTGTCTCTCAGCCTTAGGCAATTTCTAACCCACTATCCCATGTAATCTGCCTGATTTTGTCTAGTGAACTCAGGCTAGGCTGTGTGAGTCTGCTCAGGGAGAGCCACAAACTCAAAAGCTACAGTCCTTGAACAGCAGCTTAAGCTTGGGGATAACACCTGAAAATACAACAACACTCAACAAAGAAATGTAGTTCCTTAGGAGAGATTTTCATTTACAATGGTGGAAATGGAAGAAATAGGGTGTATGTTTATGTGGATCTCCTTTGGTTTGGTTCGTTGTTGTGGGGTTTTTTGTTTGGTTGGGGGTTTTGTGGTTTTGCTTTGGTGGCGGTTTGGGGTTTTTTCCTTTTCTTTAAATAAAAAAAAAGATCTTTCCAAGAGGGTGAAAGAGCCTTTCTCCCTGGAGTATGAGCTCTAGGCTCCACGAGTGGCAGATGAGGCCCAAGGGGTTCCTAGACAGCCCCTTGTGGTTCTCCCCTACACATGGAGTTTGCAAGCTAGGACTGTGGGAGCCCATGGAAATTCCACATGCAGAGGATGGGTGAAAACTGTCTGTCAGATTACCCATGACAGCCCTTGCAGTGACTCACTAAGCAGAGGAAAGCTGGTGCCAACCTCCCCAAACAAATGCTAAATATAATCCAGTAAAGGGGGAAAAAAAGGAGGGAGGAGAAAAGCAGAATATAGAAGAGTGCTGAGACAGAATAGGACAGGATGACAGAGAGAGAAAAGAAATAACAACGGAAAAGAAATGTTGCTGAAACACACTGGTTACAGACTAAATAAAAAAAAAAAACATGTAGTGGAAGGTTATCTTTGGAAAGAACCTCAACAAATTGCACAGCCCAAATGTCATCCCTGAATGGGGAAGCCATGGATTGCAGTGGTGCAAAGCAGGCTGCTGTTCTGAGATTTGAAATCAGCAGTAACAGCAGACACCACTGCCAGAAGAGTTCTGGCAAGTGCTTCCTTTAATGCCAGCCCTTGGGTCTAAAGCAATCTGTGCATCCTGGCACAGGTGATTTGAAACTATCAGGAAGAATTTTGCATGATAAACTGCAGAAAGCCAGAGAGGGGAGAATCTGATAATCAGGCTAAGTCCTTAGGAAATACGAGCTGTCTCTGCAAAGGGACATTGCTCTATTTTTATCTCTTGTCTCTTCTCTAGCCTTAGGGTAAATTGGTACAAGCTGAAGATTTATTGTAATCACTGTGTATTTATTCCAGGATAGACACAGAGTTCTTCAGCTACTGAAATTCTGAGGGATAGGGTTACCACACAAGCCTTTTTGGTTGGCACAGAAATCTTTTCTTGTATATCTCGATTTAACACATTTTACATATGCAGACATGCTCTACATACGGCATTCACTTTGGAGATCTCCCACACAGTTACTTTAAATAACTAAGAAATAGAAAAGTTATTGCCAAGCCCTTAAATATATGAGACATACAGAATTACATTAGGAAAAAGGAAAAAAAAAATGTGTAAGGATTATCCCACCAGGAAAGAGTATCAGTTACCTTGGTTTTGGAAAGAATAGGGGCACCACGATCCAGCAGCATTTCTACAACCTGTTCATGGCCACTTCTTGCTCCACAGTGGAGGGGGGTCAGCCCATCCTGTGGGATACAGAGTTAGAACTGATTAGTGTCAGACATGCTAAAGTCTTGCACACTTTTGTAGAGAGCTGTGATGTCCCATGAGGCTCATTAATTCCTGCAAGGCGCTGTAAATGAATACTTGAACCTGTTTGTTCAAACCAACAGAGCACATTCTGGCTCTGATTTTCTGCATGTGTGAATAGTCATATCACACTGGTGCCCATGCAATGGGCCCCTTACAGGCCCTCACTTCACATGCAAGGTAAAGATGAGATTGCACTTCAGGTGCTTTTTGCCTGCATGCCTTGGAGAAAACTGTGCCTCTCATTTGTCAGTATGCATTGGAGTCAGTGGATAGTCAGTTAGTCTGAGAGGGAAAAAAAATCCTCCTCAGAATTTTTTATTACACTGATTTTGACAAGTGTACAGCAGATGAGAAAAGCTTCTTAATCCCAGGTGATGGAAGTATGTTGGATTCACTTCTGTCTCACTGTGCAGACTGTGCTATGTGACCTCCAGCTGAATGACTGGCCTAGAGTCAAGGCATACTGCCCATACCCCTTTTGGAATACTTTGCTTAGTAATAGTCAACATTCTACTGCTTGTTGCAAATAATGATGCCAAAGTTTAAAGAAACTTTGCTTTTTCAATTTACAAGTCACAAAGGAAGGGGCTTTTCTCTGGTGTCTTCCACTACTCTTAAAACATGTATGTTGTATTGTCTAGAATAAGTATGTCACATCATTTTAATACAAGGGATTATCTAAAATTCCTTCTTACATACTCTCTTCACACACATACACTTCCCCTCCATTTCTGTATGATAGCAAGTATTATTAAGGCACCTCCTTAATAATACGTTTCATGTGGAATTATAATATTCTTCCTTGGTAATTCCTAAACCACACTCTACTGGAACATCAGCTTAAACCCTGCAAAGTGTAGAGGGCAGCCAGGGAGAGGGAGGAGCTGGTTCAGAGAGCATTACATTCTCCAGCTTCTACATTTTCGCCTGCTCCTGATAAACCTATAAAAGATAACGGCTAGGAATTGTCATGATAAACTTTTCCTGGTACTTTCATTTAAAACCTGTACGGTTCTCATTGTGCATGTTTTTCCATTTAAAATAAGGCATATATTTTTAGCATAGATGAAAATAAAAATTTGGTTCAGACTTTAGTCCCTTAACACAGGGAGTTATTTGTTCCCACAAGATGAATGCAGCTTGGCCCACAATGCTTCTTACTGACAACTCAAGTCAATTCTATTGTAATTTCTGTTTCTTCCTGCTATTTAAGCCCATAAAGTACTGGGAAGTGCATCTTGTTAAAATGATACTACACAAATTCAAGATGTATTGCTCAAAACACTTAAGACAAAAAGATACCAAAACCCACAAATTAAGCATTTTTTCAGCTGAGTTGCAAATGTTTTGCCATAGCTTCATAAGTGTTTAAAATGGGTAATGCATATTTCTTATACCAGTAGCTCCCACAGGTGAGGGCATTTCACGTACCGAGCAGACACAAACATTTGATATGAAAATATCACCTACAATAAAAAAGAAAACTTGTATATGAAAGAAAATCAAACCCAGCAAGGCTAGGTAACTACAGACCTGTAGGCAAGAGCCGAAAATCACCATGTACATTAGATTGTTCACCCTTTTTACTTCCTATAATTATCACATGCTGCTGGTACATCAAAGTCAGATACTCAAGCTGGTCAGGAACCAAAGTTAGAGACAATTTTCCAGATTTAACACCTCCCTAGGCCATTTCACCAACATGCCATGGTTAGCTCACAGAAAATGAGCCACATTTGATTATCTTCCGTTACCAGCCTAGACCCTTCCAGTGCTCTCAGAGCACAGCACTCACCCCTCTGTGGGTATTTCTGCCTGACAAGGCTTCTATGGCTCAGGAGGAGCAAGAAATCATGCTTGGCCAGCTGGACCTTATTCTGGGCCACACAGCTGGACCTCATTCTGGGCCACACAGCTGGACCTCATTCTGGCCACACAGCTGGACCTCATTCTGGGCCACACAGCAGATGCATCACATGTGACACAACAGGACAATGCACAGGGGTGCTCGTCAGGACAGCTGATCTACAGCTATTGTTCACATGATGTCAGGTCTCTCTCTGCAAAGAGCAAATACGCTCCAAGACAGATCATTTGGCTGCACAGATTTTTTTTTTTTTTTTTTTTTTTTTGGGTAGTTTCAAAAAGCACTATTACTGGTTTAGTTATTTGGTACATGACACTCAGAGCAGGTAAAGAAATGTGCAGGGGCAATCTGAAATGCAGATCAGAAAGACATCTTTTTCTGAGATTGAAACAGATTGCCATGAGCTCAGCAAGACTTCACTGACTTTGTTAGGAGATTTTCTAGTTGCTTATTTACTCTTAACATAGACTATACTATGTGAAGCATAAAATATATTACATGTATTAGGAAGCAGACTTGCCTTAATATGAGTCTGCAATGGCTCAGAAAAACCATTACAAACGATTATGACAATAATCTGCAGATTAAGGACTCCGTAAGTATGCACTGACATGATAAATCATATCATCTCTATTATCTATCCCTCCAGAGAGGCTGAGAGCAACTTCAGCAAAGCCAAGAGGACAATAGGAGGAGCTATGATTAGGTACTAGCTTCCCATTAGCATTGCACACCCATCTCTGGGGCTGCTGCCTGCTTTAGCTTTTATTTTAAACACACACACAGACACAAATGAAACCTAAGCATTGTTTCTGGTCCCTGTTGACACTCAGGTGCCTGTGTAGCTCCCTGATCTTGTTACACTGGACCCTAAACTGTCCCAAGACTGAGCTTTCCTGCTGCTGTGTGTTTCCTTGTGTGGCTTTAAGGGAGCCCTGAGCAGCGTGGGGCCAGCACAGAGCAGCCTCCTGGTACTCCCGAGCTGCCTCTTCCCTGTCAATGCTCACCCAGGATTCCCCTTGCACCACAGCATCCTCTGGGCTGTCTCCCAAAGCCACAGCAGCCTCAGGACCACAGCGCTCACATCAGTGAGCATCAGCTTCTAACCCAGTCTAAGAGTGATGAAACCAAGCACAATACCCAGCAAACTGAAATGTTTTATAAATATTCAGCAATATTGTCAGAGTTTGAGCCAGCTCCCAGAGCCTGTCCACAGCCTTGGCAGGAGCAGCAGGCACTCCAGTCCCCTGGGCCAGAGGTAACAGCACACATTCCCAGAGGAGCAGTTCCTGCTGCCTCCAGGGTTTATCTGCTGAGGGACTCTCCATGCACACACTCAGCCCAGCAGGGCTCTGTCCCACAGCCCCTCCATGCTCCAGGTCTCCTGAATTCTTCACTCCACTGGCAAACTATTGCAAATTCCCCCTTCTGGGCAGTAGGGCAACCAATAAGGTTTGCTCTCCCTGCATGTGAAAGCACACTCAGAATGCCAAGGCAGTGCTACTGTACTTATATCTTAATACATGTGGTTTTTCTGCAGCAGCTTATGCATGATCTGATGCATCTTCAAAGAGCATATCCCACATGTTTTCATGCAGATATGTGTGCTGGGCCTGTTGTTTAGCCACAAAATCAGTAGAATGAAGATTATAAACACTTACTGTTAATCCAGTTTAAAACTTGCTTGCTGCCTGCTTCAGACTCAAATTCACTTTGGCATATACAGTATTAGACAGCCAAAGCAAATCAAGCTAATTTAATCAACCTCTCTAATTAAATTTTACTTTTTAAAGTATTTTCTGGAAGACAGAAAAAACATAATTAGGGCAACATTCAGTAACATGTTACATGAGACATTAACAGGTCTTTGCCCAGAATCTTGGCTAAAAACCAGAATGATTAAAGCTGCCCTGGCAGCACATAGTTCTTGATGGGTACCCCTAAGAAGTCAGTACCCAGCTCCAAATACCAGTTGCTAGACATCTCACACACAAAAAGAAAACAGAGGGAAGATGAACAGCTGGTTAAAATAAAGAATGCAACATAGCGTGAACTAAAATGGGAAAAAAAGGCATGTCTGAGTCTCAAAATAGGTTTAACATAATTTTTGGGATGTGTCTCACGTGTTCTCTCAATTCCCAACTACAGTGTGCAGGTGTGTAAGAGTATAATAATGCTCATCAAAACCCACTCCTAATGAATCCAGAGAAAGTGGGAGCTCCTGGATTACTTTTACAGTAATTTAAACAGGATAAGGATTTAGCCCTTCGTGTTAACCTTTTGTGCAGTACTTCAGCACTGCAGTTTCCTGAACCATCTGTCAGCAGCAAACGCAAATGCTCATGTCAGTGACTAAGGAAATCATTACCTCAACTTACTTATTACTCAGGAAAGGCTTTTCATTAATTTATCTATAAAATGATTCTTTTTGTGAACAACAAAAACAACAACAAAAAAAGGCATTACGTGGAGAGTATTCCAGTATCCCATACAAAGGATGGATTGCAGGAACAGACCACAAAATGCCAACCAAATAGATAAATCTGTCCTATCTAAGAGTCAGAGTAGCAAATCCTGGCTGTTAGTGCTTGGTCAACAACACTAAATAGTATGTTCTGCATTCTGATTTAAAGGTGAAATACAGACATGAAACAGGAGAAACAATGGCCTAAGAATTTTTCCCCTGAGCAGTAGACACCAGAAATTTCAAGATACCTTTTTATCCTTTCATAAGGGTACAGAACCTTTGCCGTTTACCTTTAAGGAAGTATTTTGTCTTCAATAATCAATCTTTGAATTAAATAATATCATAATGTCCAAGACCAAAAATGCCTATCCTGACAGAATAAAAAATCTGCTTATCTCTTACATACAAAAATTCTGTTACTCTCTTAAAAAATAGGAAAAAAAAGAGAGAGGTCTCACATTTATAAATATGGCACTAGGAGACTCACTTATTTTCACATGGAAATCCCACCTGTTATCAAGCTGTGTGTGCATTCAGCACCTGCCCCTCACAGAACACACAAGGCTGGGCTCTGCCTGGGCATCCAGCTGATAAGCAGAACTTTGACACATGTATTAGGGAGACAGCCTCAGCTGCTCTTTGCCTTTCAATGCATTCAGCAGTGATGATGCTGTTGTAAAGGGTAATACCAGAGCCTTTGCCATCCTGTATTTTTGTAGGGCCATTCTATATCTGGGACATTGAAAAGAAAAATAGTGATAAAAAAAAATATTTACGAAATAAATATATCTTAATTGTTCAGCCTTGGAAAACAACATTGGGTCAGGTTGGAACAACAGGAGAGATTTAGCAGGAGCATGTGTTGTGCCAGCTCAGAGCAATCAATCTTTGCTATTGAATATGAGAACCAGGCAGGCACTCCTGAAACAATGCCTTTTTCCACGCAGCACCACATCCCTCTCAGCTTTTTCTTGCTTTTGGTACCGATTTCTGAGCCCTCCGGCGCTGTTATCCCGCAGCGCTGCGAGGCTCCGGGAGCCGCCCCGGCACGGCACGGCCCCGGGCCCGGCACAGCCCCAGGCCCGGCACAGCCCCAGGCCCGGCACAGCCCGGCACGGCCCGGCCCCAGCCCCGCACACCCCTGCCGGCCTCTGCGGGGGATGGCTGGTTGGGAAGCAGCCTCTGGGGAGAGCCAGAAAAACAAACCCGTGCTTCGTGAACCGCAGTCATCGCTGCCTTTTGCCTCAGTGGGAAGCTGTGCCAGACTCAGGAGCTGTTAATGCTTCTGCCCTCTTCCTAGATCCTGTTTCCGTCCCAGCCTGTATTTTTAGTTACATAAATTATCCCAGTGTCTGACCCCGAGTTTGTCATAGAGGAAATGAAGCAGAGCACGGATTTTCCTAACTTAAAGAACTAACTTGACTCCAACTATTTAAAGTACTGGTCCCTAATTATTTGGACTGCAGTGGGCCCTTGCAGAGGGAAGCAACTAATCCCCCACCAAGTCCCTTTCTCCCTGCTCTGTCCCTCCCCACCACAAGGTAGAATCACACTCCTCAACCTGGTACCCCTATGCGGCACAGAGGAGGTTGGAATTTCAGTCCAGATACTGTACCCACCATCCACATTACCCAGGAAAAGTCATCTCTTCCATGCTGCCCAATTAGAAAAAAACTTATAAACATTTTAGAAAGAAACCATCAGCTACCAAAGGTAAAATAGAAGCAATAAGGAAGAGCATGTGGAGAGAATGAAGAGATGACAAAATAAATTGACCCAGTTTCTGAATTCGACAGAGAAAAAAAACCACGAATGTGCCTAACAAGCACTGCAGGAAATCTCAGAGACTACAGTAACCAAACAAAAACCTGTGAATACAGGAACAACTGTTGAAAAACTATTCTTAGGTTATTAATTTATTTCGCTTAGAATGATTCTGAACAGTAGAACTTCTACAAATGAATTCAAAGTGGAAAAGGTCGAGGTGATAAATTAAAATGTCAAGAAAATATTATGGTCAGAAAGTTATTGGGACAGCTCTTGAGAGTTACCTCGCACACACAGAAGTGTGTTGGAAAGACTGCCCTGACAGCCCACAGCACCAGCACCACTAGTTCCAGACTTACTTCCAAACATTTGAACTTTTTCCTTCTCTCTCGCTCTTTTTTTTTTTTTTTTTTCCTGCTGTGGAAGTAAATAAAATATTTATTTACTTGGCTTGGTTGGGTTTTAACTCCAGCAGTTAGACATAACCATATGCATTGAGTTTCTAAGTCACTGAGGGCACTGAGTTAGGTGCCAGCCTGATGGAAACCATCCCTGTGCCCGACACGTGTGCCAACAAATCCCACACAGAGCCTGAGCTGCAGGAGGCTCATCAGCCACACCAGACTCTGTGACACTGCCTGTGGACAGTGAAAGGCAAACACATACTGCAGCTCAAAGTTACCCTGCTAGCATTCAAATTCTGAAATATCTGACCTGAATTCTCAGCTTTTAGCATCCTCCTGCACATTCACCTCTACTCCCAAACAGATAAAAGCAGCTCCTAATTAAACACTGGAAAGGGAACAAGGAAAATTGTTGGCTCTAAGCTTTGCCATCCTTGGTGTTTCACACACTGCTGTAAGAGATGCAAAATGTTAGTATCCGACTGCAATAATTTCATTAAAAATAAATGCAGTGCAGCTGTAGTAGCCTGCTGGGAAGATGAATGATTTAAGCTCTACAGCAACACACAGGTCAGAGGCAAAAATTTCACATAGTCACTCACAGCACTCACACTTGAGCTTACCCTTGTTTTGGCATCAATTTTAGCTCCTCGATCAAGTAGGAGTTTGACCATATTTGCATTTCCCCTTTTTGATGCAACATGTAATGGCGTGATATCATTCTGTGAAAGAAAACAACATGAAAATAAATATGCATTTGTCTGTCTTGAATGAATTCCATTTTTGGTTTGCTCACAGAGTGAATTATGCCAAATTTGCTAAATCATAATACAGTTTGTTTTCCTGGGAGCATGAAAGCAAAGAGAAGCTGTGCTCAACCTCACATGTGAATTACTGGCCTGATATCTCAACATGCACAGGGTGAAGACAAAAGTCAAATTATTGGTAGGGTTATAAGATTATGTGATTGTGCCTCACCTCACAACTTTTGCTTAAGGGTTGAACTTAGGCAATTTTACTGAATCTTAGCAATTTAATCCAGCTGTGATTGTTTATGAGACTGTAGTGATAAGGATTCGTACCTCAACTTCACCAGCCTTGTAGGAGCCATAGAAAAATAAACAAAACCATTATATCTGCAGATTTCATACAAAAAATTATTACTTATTTCTGAACATTATCAGCAAACTCTGAAAGCCTAGCAAGCACCTTTGTTTTAGTTCCACTGCTAATTTTGCCTACTCAGTTTGTTCCTCTAATGGGTGCAACACCGTGTTGCAGTGGGGCTGCAGAGAAGTGTGTGTGCTTCCCTGAGCAGTGCCTGGCAGGCTGGCACAGGCAGGGATGCTGCACATCCAGGACAGTTACATAACCCACGCTGAGCACACACAGGCACTTCCTTAACAAGATGCAGCCAGGACGTCTCTTCATGCTCTGATGAATCCTTTATCTCGTGGCGTATGAAGGCCACGTCCTGTATATATTTGATCATATGGAGCCAAGTAAAAATAAAAGGTTCTAAACAGAGCATGCAGCTAGTGTATGCAGACACAGAGAATTGTAAAGGACGTGTTCCTGAGAGCTCAGGGCAGCACAAACAGCTGGCTGTGTAAAGCAGCAGCCCTGGGACCCAGCAGAATGCAGCACACGCAGTGAGTGTGTGTCCCGTGGCTGGCTGACCTGGCCAACAGAGCCTTCAGCAGCGCTTCCTCAGAACCACAGGTGAGTGGAGTGATGGAGAAGCAGCACCAAGAAAAGATCCCCTCTCAGGTGTACCAAGCTGACTCACAGCCTAATCATAACACCAAGTATCTCATGCAGTTGTTACAATTTCATTTACACAAAATTTCACTATGAAGCAAACTCACAGCTACTAGAAAGTACTAATTAATATTATCACAGAGGTAAAATACATGTTATCAAGGTTAAATGACAGAGATCCTTCCTACAATATTCATGAACATTAGAGGATCAAAGTGATGACTGTACTAGGGCTGCTTCTCATTCCTTTAAAAAGCAAAGTAAAGCAAGAAGATGCTTAGCACATGAAACAGAAAGTGCAGCATTCTGCTTTCAGGGAGGTAAAACTATGTGATCACTTAAATCTTCTGTGAGATGGTTTTGAAAAAAAAAGAGTTAATTCTATTTGACTGGGAGCTGACACTGGATATAATATGGGGTCACTACATTACTGTACCAGTCACAAAAAGAACAGAAAAAAAAATGAGCAAAACAATTATGTGGAGATACTGTCTGCTTTTTTTCTCTTCCCAGGAGTAAAGATGTTACTGAGGTCAGAGAGAGAGAGAGAGATGAATTCTACTTTCTCATGAAAAAAATGGTAAAGGAAATAACTTTTATGTCTTCAAGTAAAGAGTACTGCAGGTAATTTAGATTCAAGAAACAGCTTTTTCTACTTGCTGATGTTAAGGGGTAAAGAGGTTAACCCTGCCTAATAGACCCTACTGCCCTGTTAATACATCAAAATAATTTAGTACTAATAATTTACTGCCTCATACACAGAAAAGAAAAGAAGTATTTTCTAAGCATCAAGAAAGAAGTGGAGGAGGAAGGAACAGCATTACAAAGGGCAAGAAAAACACTTGTTAGAAGTCTGGTATTCATTCATCTAGACACTAAGCTGAATCCATTGCAGCACAAGGGAGGGCATAACCACATAAGAATGTGCACTTTGGATCTATTTATTTGCCAGTCAAAGCTCCTGTTGCCATGAATGAAGGAGGGCTGATTCTGGAATAGAGGGATGAGTGCTGGCAAATACAGAGCTCAAAACGAAGAGATGACTTCCCCTTAGCAATTAAGGGTTAGGTGACACTGTTTGCTTGCAATGGGGGGAAAAAATAAAAAATATCCACTTTCATGTTCAAAACCAAGTCCTGTTCAAATGACATTCATATTTCTGGATTGCTACCAAAACTATTAGGACACCATATTTCTCTCCCAGCTTCTGACAGGGGTGATCACGCCAGCTGGAAATGTGAGGAAATTCTACAGCACTGAATAAGGACTGAGCTCGAGAGCTACCAAGCCATCTTTGCTCTATGTGATTACCTGTCTTTACAAAAAAACATATAAATATAATGTCTAGATCATCTTGAAACCTGGATTACTTTCTGTTGAAAATAGGCAGCAAGTTCACATCATGAAGAGATGGAAGGAGAAAGGATGTGATCGTACCAAAAAAATTTGTGAGAAAAGCCAACTACACACAGCTTCCCTGAAATAATTAATGGAGCAGGAGGAATCAAGCAAATTAAGCTCTATATGTCCAGTATAATATCTGTCCCTATAGCTGACAGAAGAGCTCCTCATTCCTAGGAAAGGGCACTCATTCTCTTGGAAGGAGTTTGCAGTTTTTTGTTGTACTTTACTAACCTGATCAGACAGTTCATTAAAAAATGAAGGGATGAAGGATTAAAAACACTTTCAACCTTTTTTACCCTTAACATCTCAGTAAAACACTGTGAGGAAAAGAAGGGGAAAAAAGAGAGGGAGTAATTCTCTATTCAGAATTTAATTTTCCTGTTTAGCTATTTAAGCTTCTACTGGCAGCAAAGAATGTGAAGTAATAATTCAGCTGGCTGAGAGTTTTGACTCCAAACAGATGAAGGAAGAGATGCATGATGTGAATGCTTGAATAATTGCACACTGATGTTCTGGCCAAGAAACTTGTCTTTGGTCAATACTGTGTTGTCCCAAGGGTTAAAGAATCACAGCTAGAAGTTTCATGTGTATGGTCCTTCCCCATCTCTCAATTAAGAAGTGAAAAAACCTCAGCCAACACCATTATTAATTTTTCTGATGACAAAACGTAAAGCAAGGAACTCAAAATGGAGTTATTTGTACTTGTCACAAGAAACAGGAGGTAAAAAAAGCTTCATAATATGTGCAACTTTGGTGTTGTTTATTAACACTAAAACTGTGGTATCAGCAAACAAAATAGCCACCAAATGTAAGGTTCTGAATTCTTCAGTGTATCAACAGCATCTGCTGTCTTTTCAGTCTATTTTTATCCGTTTGATCTTCTATAAATTTCTCCCTTTGTTCTTAAGATAGAATAGTAAATCAGGAATTTTTTGAAGCTGTTTTCCCGCAGTAATAAAGCTGAAATGCCTTCCAAAAGTTGCCATTAAAATATGTGCTTCACATTTAGAGTTCCTGCTGGAGTGCTGCTTGTTGAAATGCTGGGTAATGTCTCAGGTAGACCCCTTCACACGGAGGTCCAATTTGTGTGTTAATAAATTCTACAGGGAATAGGAAGCATCACTGTGAGAACAGCAAGCTAAAACTATGGAGAGAATGGGCCACAGTATTATCAACTAGAACACAGCCTTTCCTCTCCTTCTTGGCAGATTTCCTGGGACAAGTGACCTGAAGTACTCTGAGACCATACATAGCTCAAACGCCATGGATTAGGTGCATGCAACTTTTTCTACACTTCACAGCATTGTGGATGGTGGTTTTCCCTTTGTCTCCCCCACTGCCTGCTGCAGCCCACCACCCCCTCACACAGGGCTCGTGCCTTCCTCCAGAGCCACCCAACAACCACAAATACAATGGGAGAGTGACCTGCATTTAGCTTGTACCTGATCAGAGGGAACACCAAGCCTTTCCAGCTGCAGCTCTCTATCTATAGCTTCATAAGAAAACTCAAAAACTTTTCAGTTATCTTGTGCTGAGAAAGGAGCCACCGAACATGTCCCAGCTGAAATGAGATCAGCTGCCCTCTGACACACGGCGTTATCCATCACAGCAGTTCAGAATGGCTCCTTTCTACTACAAATTAGCCACATGAATGGCTAGGAAGTCAAGGAAAAAATAGGGTTAAAATCATCAGTGTGCAAAGTACATCTTATATGGTTCCATTTTAATGCATTTAGAAAACCAGGAACTCCCCCTGGGTTTCTGGTGTGCTATACTGTCCTACGAGATTGCCTCCTTCTCCCATCACAGCCAGAGTCTTACAAGCACAAGGATGCTAATAATAACTAAGGAAAGTAAATGGTTGCACTTACAGCTTCATATTGGGATCTGAATGCACCTTAAAGGAAGGCATGAAACAAAGGGAAAACCTTTCCTAGTCATGTACTGCATTGATTTAAATGCTGACTGAGCAGCTGATCACATCAGGACTGTGAAAACTCATTGCCAGTCACATGGACTTGGCATTTATTCTTGCTACCTCTGAGCTCTCCCAGCCTCTCAATAGAGTGCAGTTTTAATAGAAAAATTACATTATCTGATTTCAAATTTCACTTCCTTGATTTAGAACAAACCAGAACAGTTTCATACCAAAATGTTCAGATTAACTGATTCTCACTCCTCAACTGAGAGCAAACTCTAGGAATAGCTTAATATTGACACAGAATCTGTGACTAAGACAGAAGCTGAAAACAGCCAGAGTGCCATAACAGAAATTTCTTATAGAGTCTGGAAAATCCCTTCAGCATTAGAGGTTTTTAAGGAAAGAGCATAATGGTGGTTTTTGCATACTAGAATTGTCAGCAGCACCTCTGCATTGTTATTACCACTATTACCAGGTTTTGGAGGTATGGGAAGATTGTGGTATGCATTTAAAGATTCTCATATGCAACTATGCAACAACATCAACATGTTGTATATTAAAACACTCAATATCCTGCCCTGTATTTTTCTGCAGTTCAGAACTGGAGCTACAACACAGCAGAATTCCTGCAGCAAAAAGTCTTATATTCTAGTAGGAGTTACTGGGATCACTGAGGCTTGAATAGATGTTTCAGAAATTAAAGATAAAAATACACTATCAGATGCTTTCCAGGAAACCCTCAACAGTACACAATTTTCCAGCTTTTTTCCTTCTCTTCTTAATGGTAGTAAGTCTTATATTGTGCTATTTTAATTCTTGTGTGCTTATATACTTAACTTTCTTCAGGGTTGATATGTACAAAATGAATTCTAGAAGAAAACAAGGAAGACTATAGAAAAGGGCTCTTATGGCAAACTACCACTGGGGAAACAAAGATGTTTTTCTCTTATGCCACTGTCACTTAGATATTGCCTGCTCTTTTTGATGGGCTAATGGTGTTCTGCTTCTCAGCCTCAGGGTCATCATTAATGCATGTTGTCCTCACACCACCCTCAAAATTACCAAATCCTTTTCTAACCTTCCAGTAAGCAAACTTTCTGCAGGCAAAGCCCACTCCCAGTGGAACTGAGATCTCCTCTAAGATAAGGAGTGCTGTGGATCAGGAAGGCTTTTCCAGGGCTGGATGCAGTTTTATGGCACAGTGATGAGCTCCCTCCCATTTGCTTTGGCAAGAAAGATACAGGGAGAGGTCATCTTCACACAGAGGATTCCCTGGCTACCTCCATCTTCATACTTGCTCAAGCACAGATCTGGGGGTCACAGAGGTTTTTCTCAGCTGTTGCTCTGGAAACTGCAGAGAATTTCATCCTTCCTTCCTTTCTAAGCACTGTTTTCCTCAGAGACAGGTGGAGCTTCAAAGGCATTTCCTCACCTGAGCCAAACAGACCTTTCCACTGGAAGATCATCTCAGACAGAAGAATGCTATCTGAAAACTGTGTGAACCCCCAAAAGAGAATTTTTACCTAAATATAATTCCCAGTTTATCCAAATCACCTTCAAAATCATTAAAACTCTAGGTAAGACATCTGATACAGTTTGATTTAAAGGCACAAGTAGCTGATAAACAAGTTTTAAAATGACAGGAATTAATTTTTCCTGTTGAAAAAAAGATGATAAAATAGATTCAAAATAGATTTAAAAGTATCTGGCTTTAAATTTCAGTTGCTAACTAGGATTTATCGCACCTCTCCTTAGCACTGTCAGCTAAGAGCAGGGTGCCTGGAGGTGTTGTAATCCTTCAAAGCCCAAGCAGTGACTGCTTTAAAGTATTAATCTGGCTAAGAAAGGAGACTGACTTCACCCTTAGTTAACCTTTATTCTCCTCCTCCACTTCTTTAGTTTCTGTGTGATTGTCTCCCACTTAAGCAAGAGGGAAATATGGCAATGCAATATTTGAATTATTTTGTAGAAGCTGGGCACATGATAATGTACTACAGAAAAAGGATGATGAGTAGTCATAAAATGCCTGTTACCCTGCAATGCATACCCTGCCAGTAATTGTGACAGGTTTTCTGTTGAGCTTGAGCCCAAAAAGTCGAGCAATTTGGAATGATTGTTTTTGCTTTGTTGCGAAATGGCAAACATCCAGCTGAATAAGGAGATTTTGTTTCACTTGGAATGAGGTTAGGATGGCTCCCAGAGATGCCTCCTGTTTATAGGTGGAATAAAAGGCATCACAAGCTGATTTATTGAAATTATTTCCATCCATCCCAATGGGGAGTTTGTGCCACCTTCCCTGCACTTGCAGCTGGGCAAGAGGAGAAAGCAGACACAGAAGTGCCAGTGCAGCTCACAGGGAGAGCTGACATAGCATCAGCCACTTGACTGCAGAAATGCAAACCTGTAAAAGTAGGTACATTTCCAACCCCCAGCCTCCACAGTCAGCAGGTACACAGGCTGGCAGGCACTGTGACACCTGTAAGAGCTCCTGGAGCTGTGCCTGTCCCCTGGCTCAGTGCAAGAAGGGACCAAGGGAATATGTGACAGCTGAGAGGCAGGCAGGTGTGTACCAGCGGGGCTGAGGGAGCAGCTGCTGCTGAATTTCACTGGGGACATAATTTACTTACAGTACAGCGCCACTGCTCACTCCTGCCCACACACTGAGAGCCATCAGCAAGCTCATCTCTCTCCTTGCCTTTGCTGCTGGAGCCTCTTCCTTCCCTCAGGCCTCTTGGGAACAGCAGCTGGGATCTCCTTTGCCACAGGCCTGCCCTCCTTTACATCCTTTCACCAGCTCTTCATTTCACCACACTTGCCCTTGGCCTTAGAGCTCTGCCTTCATCCTACACATCCATTCACATTCCTCCACCTTTCCCCACCCTGACTACACCGATGGTGGCAGATGGCTATTTGTCACACATTTGTCTTCACATTACCCTGCTCACACAAGCTTCTTTTGTTACCATAATCCTCTTCTCTTGTTCAAACCTCTCCCTGAAGTTTGTACATAAACTGATAGACAAGTAGTGTTAATTTGTATCTATTTATTAAGAACAAAGGAAAAATGCACAAAGTGCATTTGACACCCCACCTTAAAAGTTTGTCTTTGCATTTCTGAAAGCCACAGTACATATGGTAATATTTTATTTGCGTTACAGCCCTTCCATATCTTTGCTCTGTTGCTCATCTCATGGTGTCAGCAACTCAAATAAAGGCCTTTCCTGCAGAGGGAAGACAGCACTGTGGATAGCACTTACAGAAATTACAACAAGAAGCCAGGAGGTGACAATGAGCAGGCTGTACCTGTGGGTCATTTTCAGTATCTGTTTTGCAATTTGGGTAATCAAGGATCAAGCAAGGGCTCTGCTACTTGATGCTGATGACTGGAAGTGCTCTGTTAGCCTACAAATCCACTGCTCTGCCAGAACCTAACCCATCCTCCTGTGCAGTGCTTTCTTCCCCCGCAGCCTGAGAAGCACTAAAGAACAAAATTCAACTCCATATTACTGCTGTTTATACTACAATTCTTTCTGTCACAACAACTTTATCTAGATTTGCAACTGCCATGGAGTGGAGATGAGCTCTCTCTCTCTGGATGCCCCCACCCAGTACCACAAGCACAAGCAAGAGCTCAGTGCTCCCTGAGTCACAGCCTCAGCCCACTGCTCCTTCAGGCTAATGTCACTGCATCCCCACTTCCCCAGCCATCCCAGAACTCTGTCTCCCTTTGAAGATGACAACTCATGGAGGCAGAATTTAGAATGTCCAGATACTGAAGAGGAGGCAAGAATGGTCTTTTTACTCTGGATGTGCTCTCCACAAGTGCCCTTAATCCAAAATAGAGCTGCTGAAGCCTAAGACTTACTATTCTATTAAAACAAGCATAGGCAGATGGCATTTAGTGCACTGGCACTAAATGCTGCTAATTGCTAATGTAGTAGCATTGCTAATCCCTAATCTTGTTTCTGAGTGGGAAAGAGTTGACCCAAGACCCCATTTGTCTTCCTTGCTTCTGTGATTAGGGCTTATCAAATATGCAATGCCAAAGCTTAGGATGGTATGAAATGCCTTAATGCTCTAATTGGGTCAGTTAAAGGACTTGGAAATCAGAGGTCAATGTTATCAGTGAAAGCAAAGCAAGGAGCTTGCAATGCTTGTCATAAAAACTTTTCTGCATGTGCCTTAACTACAGAAGCATTCAAGTTTTTACCTATACAAATATCTAAAGCAGAATATGGCAAATTCACTTTTCCCTTTGTGCAAATGGTCTAAGCAGTCTTGTAGTTCTTTTCCTCTTGAAAAAGTAATAAACATAACACATGAACAAAATCTCAGAAGAGGAGCTGCTGGATTATCCATTTGACATAATTCCCCTTATAAATATAATCTTGATTTTTACATTGGACTTTTTTTTTTACTTTTTTCTAGTTTAATTGAAAGCTTGTTCCAGAATCTCATTAGTTATATTCAACATTCATTATTGAGTAATTATTAATTAAAAAACATTAATTACTTTAATTTAATAGGAAAAATCTAAATTTCTAGACAACATTTATTCATGGCCAATTTATGCCTATTTACATTAGCATTTGCCCTCACTTTGAATGCCTCTTGTTCACTTGATTTTATCTCCCTATTGTCTTGGATCACTACCACATCTCTTCCCTGCCTTTATTTGGGTAAGGTTTGGTGAGACAAAGCCTTTGTTTTGATTTGGGGTTTATTTATTTACTTGGTCTCATGCCTGGCACTACCATCTTTCCTTGCTCTTCATACTGTACTCCTATCCCTATCCATATATATTTGGGTTTTTCCCCTGCTCTTCCAACTCTAACTTCCCTGTGTTGTTTCCTCTCTTTCTTCTGCTTACAGTATGGACTCCACTCCGAGGTCATGTTTCATTTCCTACTCATACAGTTTCTCAGCTTTCCTTTATGAATCACCTGGCTCTCGTGCATGCAATGGAAGCACAGGTGCTTTCTTCACCACTACACCTGATGTTCACTGGAAGCAACTGCACAGTGAGGAGAATTCAGCAGGGACACATCACTCCTGCCATATGTCACAGTTACAGGTGGAACCATTTGTGTCACTGGATCCTAGCCCACCTTTTGCAAGGCTGGAACCAGGAAAACAGCAGCTCCTTTTGATGCAAGCAGAAGTTTTGGGAGGTGAGGTCTCGTGCTTAGGCTGGGTTCAGCAGCCCAGGGAAAGCCCCTTTACACCAGTGGTAACAGAACAGCTCAGCCAGGTCGGGCCCTTGGCTGGTGAGGGTGATGTGCCTCTCACTCCTCTGTGCAAAAAGTGGTGACAAAGCAAACTGAGCACAACTGACTCCACACTTACCCTTGCAGTGAAGTCCACTGCAGCACCCCGATTTAACAGCAACGTGGCTACATTGATATTCCCATAGTGAGCAGCTATGTGGAGGGGAGTGAACCCACTCTGCAAAAAAACAAAACAAAACACAACCAATAGATACTTTTTAAAAAACATATTGCACTAGCACTCCACAATTCATGGCACATCACTGACAAAAGCTAGTAACAGGGGCCTGCTGCAAGTCACCACTCCAATTCTGTACTAGTTTTCACTCACTGATGTTTATTTATAGTATCTCAGAGAATCTAAATAAAATCACATTGCTATGCAAGAGGGAAAAAATTAACATAATTATTCTAGAAGAAAAGAAGTTGAATAAAACTTTCAGTTATTCCAGGAAAACAGCAGCAAAGCATTTGAGTATTAAAGCAATGATCTGACTTTTATCAGAAATTAGCTTCTAACTAGAAAAATATAGTTATTGGTATTATGTCAATCTTGCAAGTTAAACCTCTTAGAGATTCTTTGCAGAAGTTCAAATACAAGTCATTTAATGATATTTGCTAACTGATTTTTATAAATTCAAAGTAGATGCAAATGAAAATAACATCAAAGAGTATTTTAAATTATTAATATGAGGATTTTTTTCCAAGGGTTAGCACCATAAGGACCAGTCTCCCACTGTGGGTAATCACACTGGGTTATGTTCAGACACCACGAGTTACCACCCTAATTAAAAGATGTCTTACTGATAAAATTACTTCAGCAACTGATTTTAATATTTAAGTAGTTTTACTTCCTTTTAAAATAAAGCTAAAACATGCAGCAATTCCATCAGTCCTGCAAAGTATGAAACCTTATGGGAACTAGATGCATTTCTAAATTGTTAGCAAGCCATGCTAGCTGCCACTGCCTTGCTTTGGGAGTTTTGCAGCTGTAAAACCACTCTCAGATCATTCTATTCGCTGACACCATCAAGGTAAGTGTCATGCAGAAGCCTAGAATCAGACCTGGATGCACAACATGACAGGGTTGTCTGCAGCTCTTAAAACATCTGATAAACATATGCTCCATGAGAATCCCTGAAAACTCCATCTCTCGTAATACGGCCCTTTTGTGATGGCAGTTAGTTCCCAAGAATGCTTACTCTTACTTTTGAACCCTAGTTCCAGCTGCAGAGAGCCCTGGTCTCTAAACTACAGTCTTCTCTAGCACATGCTACTTCATTTCATCTAAAGCAGGTGTCTATCCTATAATATGCGATGCAGACAGGAGGGAGAAATGATGCAGCAGCACTAAGTCATGGAGGAGTGATGATGCATATATATATTTATATATACCTCTGTTGTTCTATTCACCATCATCTAGGTTAACACATTTGGAAGCAAAGAGGGGGAAAAAATGAACGGTTAGTCCACCACTGGTGACATGGGTGCGGAAAGCTTCATGATGGCTGTGTGGCATGGCAGCTCGGGGGCAGCACACACGGGAAGCCCCACAGGGTGGAAGCCGAATGAGCGAGTACTTTGAGTGCTAATTGTTACATGTCTACCAAAGTTCTCCAAGTAGCAATTGCACAGACAGCTGATCAAATGGCAACTGTGCCGCACCTACAACTCGCCACTGCTTTCGGGAGTGGCTTTCATTTGCAAGGTAATAATTCAAATAATATTTTGTTTATTTTCCATTTGCAAAGTTTCTACAAGAGAAATTAACCCTGATTTAAACAGAAAGGGAATGGGGGTAAAAGAGGCAAGGGAGGCAAATCAAACATTATTGTTTAACAGGTGCTGGAGGAGAAAGTTCTGTGTAACTGCAGCAAAAGAGCTCACACCGAGGGAGATCTCCCCTGGGTGTGGTCAGCACCTGGCAGCACCAAAGCTTTTCCCAACTGACCTTTGACTCCACGTCGGCGTTGTGGTCGTTCTGCAGCAGCAGAGCCGCCGCCTTGGTGTCGTCCTTGCGAGCCGCGATGTGCAGGGCAGGCAGGCGGACTTTCCCCTTGGTGTCATTTTCCAGCAGCAGGGAAACCACCTGGTCATGGCCTTGCTGCAAAGCTACTGCCAAAGGTGTGAAACCATCCTGCAACACACAACGGGCACGGTCAAGGCGCGCTCCAAACCTTCCGCGGGCTGGGAAAGGGGAGCGGAGACATCTCAGCCTTACGAACAGAGCTGGCCCGAATTCAACCCAGTGTAACATGGTGCGACTTAAAAGCACCCTGCAGTGACCCTGAAACTGGAGTAACGTGCTGGTGAACAAGGTTCCAAATACTCAAAACACCTTTCTGGCACTCCAGACACAGCATAAAATTGTACGACACAAATGACTGAGACTCAAGGAAAAAAAAGTGTGAAATTACTCACAAATTTACAGTTAATTATACAGGCATTTATGTAAGTGCTTAATTATATAAAAAGGTATAAAAAGCTGGAGTATTAAAATTACAATTGCTAATGATGTCTCAATAGTAAATTATCATCCATTCCTTACGGATTATAATCTACATTTTTATGATTATCTTAAAAAGAGCCAAAGAACAAAACAAATCAAAACAAACAAAATGAGCTCTAACATATCCTCTAACATATTTTATATGTAGATTTAAAGTATAATAATTGATCAAGAATACCACATTCTCCTAATGTGATGTCCTACTACAATTTCCCTTTATGAAAATGTATATAATTTGATAGACAATCCTCTTACAAAAAGAAGTTATTTCCTTTCAGATTTGCTAATAACCAAATTGGTGGAGAAAAAAAAACCTGAAAAACAGAAGGTTTTTATTTAACAGAATTTAGAGCAGATTCCTCAAACACATAAAAGTACAGTCTGGGATTTATAACTTTATGTTTTAATTTTAATTTTATGTTATGGATTCTTAGAAAACTAAAGAATGAAGGAGTTGTCATTTACATTCTTCTTTGCCCCAGACATCTGTCATTGCAACCCAGGAACTCATCCAACTTTGCCCAAGATAATACCCATAAATCACACAAAAAATCACAAAGGCAAACTACTTTGGATATTTATTTATTCAGTTTGTCTCCTGATGAATATATCCAAAGCCTGTATTACCAAACCTCATTGCATCTTAGGGAGCAAACACGTTATTTCACTTTTCAACTATTGCTGTCATGGTGAAACGGTGTAACTGTGAAATAAAAGTGCAGCAGTGACAGAGAAAGTGGTTGATCCTCACTCTATGTCAACAGTGCAGAGCTGAAGTGTTAACTTTTTAACTCTTTAAATGAAAAGTGATGTTTTCAAAATGGAATTTCTCCCTCTAGCTTCAGAACAAAGAACACCTCAATCTAGGATGAGAAACAGGAGGGGTCCTGAAAAAGAGAGCTTTTTCAAAAATTTTGAGGGAAAGAAAATCCAAGAAAACCACTGAAATTACTGTGTCCTAACAAGCAATTTCCACCTTACCCTCTGAAGAGTTTCATGCTAATTTAACCAGGTTTCCCTGCTGCCTGCAGCTGCCCATCCTCCCGCAGCAAGGGCAGGGCACTGGGCTGCAGTCCTGGGGTGAAACAGCCACAGGGCCACGGGGTGTGAAAGATGCTCTGCAGTCCTGAAGGCCAAAAATCCTCCCTGAGCATCCCCAGAGAGGGCTCTGGCAATATTGCTCTACTGTACATGCAGAAATGCCTGGAGAAACCCTGGAGACCTTGGCTTCCTGATCGATTTACACATCCCAAAATTCAGCCACTTTGCAGAAAAGTGGTGCAGACACCCACAACATCTTTGCTTGTAGGGAAATAGAACCAATTATTTCCTTTAATTAGATTGAAACACCTGATCAAATAGTTACTTTTAAAGAGTATTTAGCTAAGTGGCAATCCTTTAGTTACAGAAGTTTTTGCACTTAGAATGATAGAGAGAAATCAGATTTATAAGAAAACTTGAACCAAGAGAAAATAGGAAAGAACCCATAAGCAACTATCTCAAGGAAGGCAATAAAGGTGCCTCTGTTTTGTAGTCTGCTATTTTCAAATAAATTCTCCACAGATAAAATTAGATTGCACTTTATCACCAAGCTGAGATGGAAAAAAGCTCAGCCTAAACTGACATACAGTGCTCAAGGGAAAAACAATAACAAACAAACAAACTAGTACCCCTTCAAAACTTCTTTCTAAAATATATTTTCAGAAAATCATAGAGTGGTAAGTGACAATTTTCAATTAATTTTCTAGATGTAAAGTATTTTATTTTGGTATATTTTGACTTTAATATCCTTGAGAATTCCCAGAAAGTGTTTCTGATGCACACTTCAAGTTATAACTAACTTCTAGTGATTTTACACTGTTCTAATACATTAGCAATTCATTTTCCACAGTGGAATACGGAATAAGATTTCCTTTCTACACCATTGTACAGTGATACGATCAGGTATAGATGGCAATAAACTACCTGTGCATTTCATATTTTTCAAAAACTAGGCCTTTTTCAAATAAGCATTATTTCCTTCATGGGAACAGTACTGGTAGAGCAATTAGAATCCAATAAATATTAAAGAGAGCACATACTGAAGTACCTTTCTATATTTTGGTAGCAAAATCTTGGTAATAAGACAACTGAAAATTCACCAGATTCAACACCTTTTTCAATGCCCTACATTTACAACTATTAATATTTTGTTATTTATTTTCCTCACAGGTTGTCTTATTTGAGTAAGAATTAATTTTGTATTTGAGTTAGAATTGCTTTTTAAAGAAAGAAATATAAAGTGTTCTTCTAGAAAAATCACAGAACACCTTCAAGGATGGATCCTGCATCTTTCTGTCAGCTTGATATTTCTCCCTGCAGCACCAGGTGGGGTAACTGGGTGCCACAGAGAGGGTACCAACATGGCAATGAAGCAGTTCAGGAAACACCCCGAGCCCCAAGTAACCCTGGGTTTTCTCTGTCCAAAGCACAGGTGAACAACTGTTCTTGCCTTATGGCTGCCACCCTTCTCACTGTTCACTATTTTTAATAAAAGCACAGAGAACTTTTATATTATACACACAGCTTCCCTGTGTGAGCACTTAACCTAAAAGATTAGCAGTTATGACTAAGAACACATCTATATTTAGAACTGTCTCTAGTTAAAGTAATTTTTTTTTTTATTTTAGAAATGGCAAGAGAGTTTAAATTGCTGAAAAGCCCATAACTCTATTCATTAGCACACTTCACAGAGATAGCTTTTTATTCGTCTTTAATTTTGTATTGAAAAGACTAGTTTGATATAAGCTGGCAGAAATCATTGCTGAAACACATTTTGCTTTGTTCATAAAGTGTCAAATTCAAACTTTTACCTCTGTGGCAAGGCTTTGACTGGCACCATTGTCAAGAAGAAACTTAACAACCTCCAGGTGGTTTTCTTGGGCTGCCATGTACAATGGAGTGAAGCCATTCTGAAATATGAAAAGAGTGTAAACACCCCACAAACATTTTATACATAAAACAGATCTGCCAAATGAGGGAAGATTAGATGAAAAGCAAAAAAACTGTTTGCTCACAGATGAGTTAAAGGCACGATCTACACTGGCTTAAGTGAAGATGGGAGAAGGGCAGTATTATTTAAAAGGACACAGAAGAATTTTTCAGCTGACGAGATACAATTCCCACAGCTAAGTGAGAACAATTCCTTTCACATCTGTTGAGAAGTTAAGCTAAAAATCAGTCTGGACAGATGATTTGGTGGCAATGAGTTATGATTCCTGATAAATACAGCCACAGCACTGGAGATACAAAACAGGACATGGAAATACAATACAATCTGTGGTGAAAGCAGGAGCAGTGACTCTTCAGAGTAATCAACATTTTTTTCTCTTCTTTCCATTAGCTTTGACTTCTCTTTCGCTTGTGCCAGCTACTTCTGCCTTCCATCTCCTCCAAGAGCTGCCTTCTGAGCACACTCTGCTTCTGAGCACCCAGCTACTTCATATTTCAGGCACCAGGAGAAGTGAGGATCATTGGTTCTCAGCAGTTTGAGACAGAGGCTTATCAGTGTTTCTGAACACATTAGAGCATCTCTCAAATTATGCTTAAGTGACTGATTTCAATCAATGCAATACACGTATTAGAGGCTGCAGAGCTTAACTCATTCTTTGGTGAATGCCTTTGTCTTACAGTCCATACTTTTGTCTTTGCCTTAACTGTAAACAGGTCACAGCCTGTCACAAATTGAATTTTTTGGGATTAATATTAAGGCAGGTTCAACAGCTCAGCTACCACACAGTCAAAACTGTACTTAATTAAAAAACAGAGAAGGCTCAGGAAGCACTTGCTAAGGTACCTCCTATGTCACACTACAAGTTATTACAGTGAACAGCAGTCTGGTATTGAGTCTGGTATTATATCATTTCATGGCATATTCTCTATTTACTAACTCAGCTGGAGACAAAGATTAATTTTTTAGTTTCAAACATTTGCAATTAGAAAGGAAGCAGGAAACTCTACCTAACAGTTAGCTTCATGAAATAATTAATAGGAAAAATTCTCAAAACCAAACATTATTAGCATTTGGAGGCAGAGCAGAACCCTTTCTCCTATGTTAAGTTTTTGTAGGGTTTTAAATACCTTTGCACCCCACACTTTACACTTGCTTCTCTCTTTAAAAAGGGGCTGGAATTGCCAGACAACCACAAGTCTGAAAAAACATTTTGTCTTGAATAGTAATAAATAGCCCCTAGAAGAGGTGTAAAAGTCAACCCTAGCACAAATTTATGACTTGTATTTTGGCTATTTTACAGACAGGAAGATTTGGTTAAAGAAGGCCTAGGACTGGGAGTGTCAGCATGGCAGAGCTGCCACCTTCAAGGAAAGAGGAGACAAAGCTCCAGCAAAGCTCAGTACCACAGACCAAGCTGGCCCAGGGCAGTTTGGTAATAGAAACACCAGGGAGCTCCTCAAAAGCTGAATCCCAGCTGGGGTGTCTCACTGCCTGGCACTGGTGGGGAATGGCCAACAGAGGTGTTACATGGGTGTTCTGAGTAAAGACATCAAAGGCCTCCAGAGTGGGGTGGGGGAGAAATAAATCTTTAATTCTGGCATGTTAGCAAAATAAGAGTAATATGTGGCAAAACCTTAGGGTGTATGGACAATGCAGTTATATAAGATGTTTACAATCTCAGATTATTTTTAGTTTTAGGGCTGAATACACAAGTTCTCAAACACAAGCAGAAAAGGTCCTGTCAATCCCATTCTAAGTTCTTTAACAGGAAAACCATGGCAAATGGTTTGTTTTAGTTCTTAACAGCCATAGGAGATTTTACCTAGAAATACTTAATGTTGTTGTTGTGCTCTTTAAATTTAAGTTATATGGTTCCTGGAACCAAATAGTGTTGTATCAAGCTAGTATAGAAGAGTAAGAAAGAAGAACTGAGCCTTTTTTTTTTTTTTTTTGTTCAGGTAAAACAACATGAAATACAGACCACAAATAACTAACATTCTCAAAATAGATCCTGTTAAGCATTTTGTTCCTATTATTTGAATGCCCACTAAAAACCCCCACCCTCCTTCTTTAAAATGTATTTTTTTTTTAACAAACATTTATTTTCATGCCTACATCTTTATAATAGAGCAAAATGGTAACCCTGGGCCAGATGAAAAGACTTCTCTGACACTGCCTGACAGCCCCTGGGCAGGGAGAGCAGGAATGAGGTGGCATGCAGAACACCACTGGCACAGCCACAAGACTTTCAACAATCTGTAGTTCATTCATTTTTTGAGCCAGAGTTTTCTGTTTTGTTTTACTGCTTTGCTTGTAGCACCAGCACTGTTTCCTCCCATTTCAAACTCTCTATAATTGACCTAAACATTTACTCAAATGACTTGAACCAAACTTCCAAACCCTGCATATGCCTGCAGTACCTCCCTGTACAGGGGAAGGGGATGGGCTCAACTAAGCCTGAGACAGTGAATTATGTGAAACAGGATCTCTTTGAACATGTTCTCTCTCACTCTCCTGTTCTATCAGCGTTTCTTCCAGCTCTAACAAGTAGCAGCTCGTAGGACACTCCTAGGGCAGATCTGAGGTTGATCTCGCTGACTATCGACTCTATTTTCAAAAGCCAACATTAGCACAGCAAAATCTACCAAATATATTTGCTAAAATCAGAGTTTCTAAGAGAAGAACAATTTTAGTGTCAGCAGAGTTGTTGGTAGTAGCAAACAGGGACATATGGCTTTACCTGAGACTGTGCATTGACATTGGCCCGATTTGTAACCAACACTTTGACGACTTCTGCTTGTCCAGCGAGGGATGCTATGTGCAATGCTGTGTTTCCTTTCTGGAATTAGAGACAGTGATATTTGAAAAGAGTACAAAACTTGAATCTGAATACATAACAATACAATCAAGAACACCTTCCACTTTAGAATATAGTATTTCTTGCTGAATACTTCTAATGGGTGTGTTATTCTAGAAGACATGGCATGCACAGAAACCAAAACAGGAATCTACAGTTTGTTCAGTAAATCTCCTCCCTAGCAATCTGTGACATTTACTATCATCTACTATAATTGTTTCTATTAAGCAATTACTAAGACCCACCCCCAGCAGTGGAAAATGGGCAATTACTGCTGCAGCAGTCTGTAATCACTTGGCCAACACCTCGTGCCCAGGCCAGCAGAGTGAACAAGGGAACAGCCAGATAGGCTTGACTGACCTTTGTGGCTGCATCCACACTGGCACCTCGCTGGATCAGCTCAGAGACAACTTCTACATGCCCTTCTTTGGAAGCGAGATGGAGAGCGTTCAACCCATTCTGGTTTAAAAAAGGGAGGGGAAAAAGAAAAGCAATTAGAAGGAATACCAAGTGCTTTCCAGCTTACCAAACATATGAGGAGACAAGTTATTACCATCCCACTAAGAGGACTGCTTACAAAAACTACACTTGGGTAAACTTCACAAGAATTAGATTATAAGGATAGAGTAAGAATTAAATCAAGGTACACTGGTTCTCAAATTCTGAGTGCTATTCTATGATCTAATGCAATACAAATGGAATTAAAGATAAGGTAGCACATTCTTCAAATGAAATGGTGTCTGGGTAAAAGGTTTAAAACCAAAAAAATTAATTGGATAAGAGATGTAAACACAGTTCATTAAAAAAAAAAAAGTAAATTATCTTTGTCATGAAGTACAAATATAATGAGAAATCTGAGAAACAGCAAGAAAGGTATTTATCCAGAAAATTTGACCAAAATATTCTTCAACCTGATTTGAAATGTTGATGTCCACTCCATTTTTTAAGTAGTCAAGAGCCTTTTCCAAGTTGCCAGCTCGAGCTGCTCTCAGGTAACTTGCATTTGTGTCAGACTACAAGAAAAAAGGAGAAGTCCAATGAGAAATTGCGGCACAGTATAAAAACACACTTCAGTGGCAAAGAAATTATTAATGATACAGCATATTGTACATCCACTTAACTGAACATGAAAGGATCCCAAACCACCTTATCAAATGGGGGTCAAATCCCGAGCAGGCAGCGCAAGGCTTGACTTCCCCCATGAACATGAATTATGGAGCACTGTCTCACACGCAAGGCCAGCAGCCAGGGACACATCTGGCACCCAGAGTGGCACACTGCCATGGGGAAGCTCAGGCTGGGCTGCAGGGAAACCATGCTGCTCTTCCCAAAGGTGCCACACCACTTCTAACATCCAAACTGAACAGACCCAACCAGTACTGTGAGAACTAATCTGAGAGATTAAAAAAAAAAAAAAAAAAATATACTCAATCTTGAAGGACTGGGTTGGTGGAATTAAAAACCCCACGGTTCTACAAATGAAGGTATGACAAAATTTCATGTCTGCTAATATTTTGGTTTATTTTCTTCATTCTCCTTCATTTTATGGCCTATTTTTATTGACAATGCCTGTCCACTTTCAGTGAAGAAACCAGAAATTTCTAGGTACAGTGCCATTATATAAACTGCATTTTCCTTTTTTTTTCAGACCTTGCATTAAAGATAGTTACGCAAATTTTCTTTATGATGACTTCAGCTTGAACATGAGGACAGCAGAAATGTTGGTTAAGTCATGACAGAATCACTGAGAGGAAGTCCCATCCCCAGAGGGTTTTAACAAGTTATGCAAATATCCAAGGAGGACAGTTTAGATAATGCTGATCCTGCCTTGGAGCAAATAAAAGGAACTGGGTTAGCTTTCAAGCGGGACAAATCACACAATCTTTGATTTTATCTGTGCCACAGCTTTCTCTGGCATCCTAGACAGTCAACATATTTTTTGTGCCCTCTTCTAGACTGGTAAAGCAGGAGTTGTCTGGGTTCCTTCCCTCTCAGTATCATTTCATCCCAGGCTTACATCATTGCAGCTACCAGTGCATTGAGATGTTTTAACATTTTGAAGGAGTGCAACAGCGACCTTTGCACTAAACAATAAAGGCAGGTAGTGCTAAGAGAAATACAAAACACCCTGGCACTGAAGCACAATTACTTATCTGCTGCTCAAATAATTTCCTTTTTTTTTAATATATATACTAAATTTCTGGATTTGCTAAAGAGTTTTCTCTTCTGCTGTCAACACAGCCACTGCAAGCTGGATGTTGTGTTCAAGCATTGCTCCAAGCCCATCAGAAGCCACCTTCATATGCAGGATGAAGCAATCTTCAGCATGACGACAGCAAAATGATAAGTGGGTAGGAAATCTGCTTTTCTCCTTGTACCCATACAAGCCACGAGACCAGTTTACTGGTACTTCAAATAAAACAAGCTCTCCCTTCCAAGGAGAAAAGCATTACTTATGAGCTCCTCATTTTCTCCCGAGTTTTGCACACTTTGCATTCCACTTTGCAGTGATAAGTCACCAGCTTACAGCCTTCCCTGCTCTTTATAATTCCTTTCCAAGCATGCCATGCTGATCAGTACAAACCAGCTTCTGCAATGTCCTTCCAACAGAACAGCCCCCAAATACTGGTGTTCAGTTAGGCTTTCTCAAAAATAAGGTGCCACCACAAAGTAAACAGTCATGACTGTAAAGACCATGGGGAAGAAAAGCTGCCTTGAGAGCTGCTTTCATTCGGGAGATCATCTGAGTTGTGCAATGCAGATTATTACAGGAGACAGGTCATATTCTCAGTGCTTAGCAACAGCAGTCACTGGGGTAAAAAAACAGGTCAGCATTTTATCAGCATTACTAAAGGTACGAGGGAGGACTCAATAGAGAGGGAGCCTTTTTGTCAGAGGGTAATGGCATCCCTGTTTGGCACAGTCAGCAGGGGAACCAGAATTAACATCAGCTGTTTACAGCTGCTCCTGGGTGGGGAAGGGATGCGCCAGAGCCGCCAGCTCTGGAAAATCAGATTCCGGCAGTCGCGTTAATACATGCCAGACAAGGAACACTGCTCGTCTGCAGACACGTCCCAGTCTATTTGCTCAAACAAAATGGAGGGGGAGAGGCAGAAGCAGCAATAAATATTTGATAATCACATTAATCTCTAACTGCAATTTCACTGTGGAGGGAGAGCAATGCCTGTGTCTTTTACAGACTTGGGCATGACTTTTGGACTTAGGGGTTCTGAAGACTTAATGACTCTTGAAATCACTCACTAATGGGAGGAAGGATAAAGTTCAGGTCACAGTCCCAGCCTGAAGCCAAAATGTCTCAGACCAAACTATCTCAGGTGGTGCACAAATCCACTCCTGAAATCCCTCAAGCTAACAGTATGTCCTCCTTTGAGAGTCACCCATCAAAACTCACTCCAAAACAAGTGTCCAGACACACCACCGACACCAGCAGCCATCCAAACACTGGGGCTGCTGAGGTGCTGAGATCCTGCTCACCTGTCAGCCTGCACTCCCAGTGCTCAGACAGGCTCCCAGCACAAGGGCACTGTGCAGGAAAAGCAGACACAACACCAGCAACTGGGAAACACCCAGAGAAGCTGCCTTTAACAGGATAACCCAAACCCTCCCTCCGTTCAGCTGGTCTGGGCTGGCACTTGCAGTTTCCACCTTACTGGTTTCCAGTTACTGAACATGATGAGTGCAAGAGCATGAGTTGCCTTAGCACACAGGGTGTAACACATCCCTGTGCTCTGAGGAAGGGGAAAACCTTTTTTGTCTGATCTTGGCTGATGCTCCCATGGAGTTAGCTTGCTCTTTCTGGGCCACCATGCGCAGGAACTTGGAGATTTGCACAGAGGGATAACACACCGAGAGTGTACAACTGTGCAAGAAGTTCAACAGGGCTTCTGGAGTCTCTCCATCCTCTAACATTTCCACCTCTAACATAAGCAGAAACAAGCAGTAACATTAGAGAGAAAAGAGGGACAACCTTATTGGAAACTAAAAGCAGCTTCAGTCTCTCTTAAAGTAGCATTGCCAGCTTCCAATTCCCCTATAGCTAAGGCATTACTTCAGACCTACTCAGAGAGAGGAGAGACCTTCAAACGTTTTTCTTCCCTGCAAAATGTCTCGAGTATCCTTGTTAAGACATGTCACTTACGAAACCACAAGAACCAATGAACACTCTCTATCCAAAAAGTAAGGAATTGATCAAAAACATCAATCCAAAACTTTTATGTTTCTGAACCCAAAATTTCCCAACTTTACATTTGTATTTTAAGCCTAAATTTGTTGGTTTTATTGGTTTTTTTAAATACCTCAGTAGAGTAGAAAAATGTTACTTGTAATTGGCACTGTTTTGTTTAAAAAAGACCTTCTTGGAGTCCCCACTAGAGCCTGTAAATTGCCTCAGTATTACAGACAGAAACAGCACCAGAGCCTAGGCTCAAACCAATGGAGGATTTTAAAGATCAAAGAAGTGCAACAATAATGTAAATAATTCTTTATCTGCATTGCCATCATTCCTGGAAGCCCATGTCATAAACTGATAAAGGACCTGCTATATGAAATGCATTAGAAACCACAGTAGGGGGAAAGGATTTTGGGTTTCCAACCATCACCCAGGACATATGTGCTCCCCATTGTGGGCAATTCTTCTCCACATGCCCATTCCCACCCTCCACATAGCTGGCATCTGAAAATAAGATCCTCACACAGACAGAATAGACACAGACACTCTGTTTACAGGACAGTCTCCCACCAGACCTAAGAGATTTATTCTTCACTAATGAAACCTCAGCATTCCTGAGAAGCATTCTGGATGCTTGGGGCCAGTTCAGATCCCTTTCTCTCTTTCTGTAATCAATCCCAATAAGAAATGAAGATGAAAATTGGCATTTGATTCTCCAAGGTCTGGACAAATATCACAAGGACAACAGGCATGGGACACACATGAAAGCACCCCGAATCTCAGATGCTCTTGCAGTCAGTCACAAAGATTGCAGCCCTTCCCCTGCACTTGCACTGGATCCCTGCTGTCAGGCTGCGTTCCCAAAGCCTTCCCCTGCTCCTTCTTGGGCTTCCTCTGGCTGCTACCTTTTCAAACTCTACATGTAGATTAAAATTAAAAATCAAGATTTTTACAAGTTTTTTAATTGTTGGAGAGAAAAGCTTCAGATCCTGTACACAGTATTTAGTTCTGAAATGGCTATTTAGAGAATATTTAATAAACAGTGGATTTATGGGAGTATCAGCACTGGTGAATGCATAATACCAAGCTTTTTCTTCACAGATGGCATGGTTTCTCCCTTCTCTCCCCATACTTTCTTGGAAGAAAAAGGGACTGTTTCTAGTTTTAAGAAATGTACAAATGTGCTCAACTGGCTAATGAAGGGAGGTTTTATGCAATGTGTATTTCTTTTAGATTCATGTATTTCCCTTTAATGCACAGTGCTATAAAAAATCCCTTCTCTAATGTACAGCAGGCTGATGAGCTTGCAGACTGCCTGTAGCACACAACAGGCTTTCCAGTCTGGAGCCACTTTTCAACATTCATCCCAGGGACATCTCAGGAAAGGGCTGAGGCTGAATAAGCTGTGCTGGCAGCAGCACTCTGTTTGCCAATCCTTCTTTACCTTATGGTCCCCTAGTCCTGCCACAAGGACCTGAGAACTGTTTCCCCATTTTGAGGAAAAGCTACATGAATTAAAAATATTTCTATTACAGAGACTAATGCCTAAGCCACTTGGATATTTCCTTAAACCTCCAGTAAATGTTGATGCTGACTCATGCTAGCAAATACATATTCACTCTTTTTCTTTAAGTTCTTCCAGTGCAGTAAGAGATTATTTAGCACGGCTAAAGATAAAAAGCTATTAGCAAATTTTCACTGACTGTCAGTCCAGGGTCTGGCCTGGCATTTCCATGGCACTAGAGAGGGTCCCTTAAGTAAACAGAGAATCTGTATTATTGAGTGAACCCTCTAAAGTGCAAAGCCATTATTTTTAACATGCAC